CCGCCCCCCGGGGCGCCCGCCGTGTCGGAGGCGGAGTCACCGTCACCACGGAACCCCCCGAGCTATCCCTCGGGATCTCTCGGTCTGGCGACGGGATCGGGTTTACAGACTGCGAATATGTTAGCCTGTAGTTTTCGAGGGTGAAGTACCTGGAACAGAAATCGTAATGGCTGCGGCCAATGTAGGCGATGACAGCGACCGCGTGGGCACACGGTAAGCCGCTCATCTGCCAGTCTTTGCAGCTGCAGTCCCATCGGTCCATGTTCACGACCTCATACGTGTCCCCTCGGACCTGAAACTCGTTGCTGTCTGCCGAAAATGTCACGCAAAGCGTCTGCGCTTTCAGGCTCTCCTTCTCAAGCTTGCCCTCCATCGAGGGCGTTTTGTATTTCAAGAAACACTACAATATTTGTCTATCCATAATAATACTGACTATAAATCTGTACCCATTTTTCTTTGTTGATGATTCAGGCAAAATGCTTAGAGACAGGAGAAACCGTCGCAATTAAAGCTCGTTGAGCAGCTCGCCAGCTCGCCGAGCCAGGCTCATTGAACACGTGTTCAATGAGTTCTGGCTCGTTAGGCTCGTTTTTTAGCGAGCTGAAAAAATTACGGCTCAGATCGCTCGTTTTCTGGCGAGCCACGAGCCAGCTCGCGAGCCGGGCTCGTTTTGACACCCCTAGTCATACATTGTAATACGCCAAAAAACCACAAGAGGACAAGACTTACTAACGCCATGAAGAGTAAGGCGAAACATAAGAGGAACTGTTTGTGTTTCAAGAGGCAGCAGCTTCAGGTTTTGGCAAATCGCCAGTTTTTTCAAAGCAGATGACAGAATCAACGATGGTTTCTTCCAACGTTTTGTAATTCCATCCCAACCTCTTCAGCTTCTCTGAACTCAGCATCCTATCTCCCTTCTGCGGCGCCTCCTCCGCCTCTGTGAATCTGCCATCAGACGAAGAAGATGATATCAGCTACTGTAGATAGGGTTGGACATTTCGGTTTTCACTTCGGGTTCCGTTCGGTTATATTCAGAAAGTATAGAAAAACTAGAATCATTCGGTTTTTCTATCAACTTTGGTTCGGATTCTGTTCGCTTTATGCTCATTCCTAATCCAGGGGTAAGGAGTCGGAATCGTTTTTACCTTTTCGGGTAGTTGGGGCGAGGATACATGCTCTTCATCTTCTCCACCAAGGCGCTAATCTTGAGCGTGTAAGAATTGCAAATGTATCTCCCTTTGGCTTCCGGGTTTTTGTACACCAAAACGAGTGCTTCGGCGACATCACGTACATCCACGAGATGATAGGTTGCATCCTCCACGGATTCCGCACTGCCTGATTTCACCGAAACCAAATTGTATAATTTTCGAGGATCGAATTTCGGGGTAATAAGAAGGAAAAAAACACCATTATGATGATAGATATACCTTTAAGAAGATTGAGAAGGAGGGAGCTGCTAGCGTTGATGGTGGATTGAAGCCGAGGGCCGATAGTGATGGACGGACAAACCGTAACGACTTCAAACTCATTTCCCTTGTTATTGTACTCTAAAGCTTCCCGTTCTGCCAGCGTTTTGGCGAGCAAGTAATAGCGAAAATCTCCCTGATCATAAATCAGATATCGGCAAATTCAAACAAGAACTGAAGCAAAGATAAGGCAGGCATTTCCGAATTGGCGTATGCTCATTTGAGTTTGGTTCTTGAGACAAAGAAGTTGGTGAAATGTCATTCAGAGATGTAAAAAAGAAAACGACTGGAATACCTCAAGCGTGCGGATGAATTCGGGGTCGGACCAACATTCCTCGTCCATGGGGTGATCCTTATGCCATTTCGGATTGCACACAACAGCGGCGATGGACGATACGACCACGACTCTCTTTACCTTAGCCGCTGCGCATGCTTTCATAACATTTTTGGTACCAGTGATCGCCGGTTCAGTGACCTCTTCCTATATGAACCATATGGGCAAAATCGTTTTTGAGTGATTCATGCAAATGAAAGCAAAAAAAAAAACACAATGAATTCACTTGCCTCAGCAACAGTATCATGGAAAGCAGGCACGAAAGAAGCAACATGGAAAACGCCAGTGCAACCAGCAATTGCCGAACAAAGTCCTTCAAGATCAAACAAATCTGTTTTGAAGAGTATCAGATTCTCAGCAGCATTTTCCAATTTCTTCAGATGGGCATTCTTTTCATCACCTGAGACAACAAAAAGAGGGTCCTTTTAAACGAATCAATCAACACAAGACCTCTGACTTGTAATATCAAAACTTCTTCAACCATAAAGAAAAAAAGCTCGGTATTTTGATCCTCATCGACAGATGGAAGCATGCATGCAACCAAATCAGAGTACAATAACGGAAAAAGATTCATGCGATGAACATCGTAAGCTTCAAAAACGACAGCACGATCCAGAAAATTGGAAGTTTTTGGAGGAAATAGAAAAAGGGTATTCACCAGGATCTCGAACAGTTCCGTGGACGATGTAGCCTCGGGAGAGAAGATACTTGATGAGCCACGAACCAATGTATCCTCCAGCTCCGGTAACACAGACCCTTTGCTTCTCCGTCATTGTTGTGCTTCTCTTCGTGCTCTTCCCTCCTTCTTACTGAACAAAGAGAGACTCGCCCATGCACGCACTCAGTATTAAACATTAAATACAGAAAAAGAAAAGACTTGGACTTCTCACAAAGTTTGTGTCTTTTGGGCCCTACTCGGTTATTGCCTGAGTTGATTAACGTTATCTTCGCTGAAGAAAGTCAAAAATGGTCAAATCATAGATATCACCATTGAAATATTGAAAAGTATTTCCACGAGCCTGCCAAGAAAGACCACAAACACTGAGGCTGTGGAAACCAATTTGCATTTTGCTTAGGAAAATATTATATAATTATTTCTCCGTACATGTTAATCTTCTAGAAGATGCACGATTACGATCACGCAAAAGAGATATGCATAGACTATCCAATCTAAGATAACATTTCAGCGGAAGCGTATTGGAGCAAGAACAATGGAAAGCGATAGCAAAGACAAAGGACAAGAGCGCAGTTATGGAATCAAGGTTAGAGAGTTAACATTTCCATTGCTTCCTTGAATTTCCGCCCTGCAGGTGGATTTTGATGTTCAAGAATGCTTGCTGACGTTGTGACTTGCAGACCGTGCACCTCGGTTCGTTATAAGAAGATAGGAGGGGAGGAACCAGGGTACGATCAATGCCACCACAAGACATAGTATTACCAATATAACCACTGACCAGCTTGAGTGAGGAATGCCCAACAGTAGTTCTTCACAAACTGTCACAAGAAGTATACAACTATGCATGTTTGTTTGACTCACCAAAAAGATTGGAGAAAATCTCAAGAAATGGACAAGAGAATTCATATCAAAGTAATGCAAACGAAAAGAAGTAGAAGAGAAGATTAAAATTACCTATGTTGTAAATGATGAATGGCCGTTCTTGGAGATTTGGTATTGCCACAACTCCCTCGGGTTCCACGGTCACCAAAACATTCAACCCGCCCTAAATAGAGAAGTTCATGACCGGCACAGGCTTGTCTAAATGAAAGTAATAAACTGAAACTAATGAAGGCAATACCTTATCATTAACTTCCTCAAGACTCTCAGTCATGAAGATCAACTTCTCAGTGTTAAGTAATCTCCGTATCTTGTTTCGCTTCGAGCTTTCATCACCATCCCGAAGTAGTTGCAGCGAAAAGCTAGCAGGGATCTGTTATCATCTCGGAGGTCAGTTTTTTTAGCAAGAATCTCAGAAGAGAAAACAAAGCGAAAACAAAAGTTTACATACAGAAGCTGGGTATGATATCTTCACTTCATACCAAGCATTTGATTTGAGCCCCTCCAATTTGTAAATACGAGAACCCGATCGCAATGGTAAAGTTTCCCTCCATTTTTCCTTCCCGGCATATAAAACTTTTCCATCAACCCTAACACTCATATCACAGGCAACAAAATCATTAACAATTCAAGAGCTCAGTTGAACCATTACTCAATCTTAGCTCGTGGGTGCAGTGTCATAACAAATGCAATAAAGAGTTCTTTATAATTAGGGAAAAAAACCAAGGATTTGGAATTTGGATAAGTTTCAAGAACACTCACATGCTCCCATGTCCGAAACTAGGCACAACGATTATGCAGACAAGAAGACAGAACAAAACGAAACGTTCACTCCCGCTTAAGTCGAGCATACTAAAAGGCGCAGACTTTGCTCGATTTCAAGCTTATAATCAGAAACCCTGAAATCGTAGAACCCAGAAAAAAGAAAAACCCATTATTTCCATAATAAGGAACTGAAATTCAATTATAAACTTGTGTTTGATACGGATCAAAGACAAGCTACAAAACAAGTGCCCCTCTGGAATCTATTGAATTTGGGAGAATTTAAATATGGAATTGAGGAGATTTTCACTTGTGTATTTCATTGATCCACGTAGAACAAATAACTATACAATTCTTGGTACCAAACCAACCAAACCAAACCAGATTTTTACTCTAATACACCTCTACAAGATGGAAGGCCGCCGAAAATCGCCGAAAATCGCCGAAAATCAGAATGCAGTGGTGAAATCTATGGCTCGGACTCGGAATGTTGAATCAGACAAATCTAGCGAGGACCCATTGTTCTTCCGATTTGATTCAGAATGGACAAAAAACGAAGAATCAACACGAAGATTGAGAATTCTTATCTGATTTGGTATACAGCGCATCAACTTCATCGCTATAGTATATATATGTATGTCTGTATGCATGTGTATCAAGAGAAATACCTCAATTTGACAATAAAAAATCCGGAGAGCATAGCGCCTCGACTGAGAGCGAGAATAGCAAATTACGACATGGAAGTGAGACGAGATCGGAATTGGGTATGAGCTGTAGATTCGGTGAACAAGTCAGGGTATTTCGGTAATAACCCAAGTGAAAAATTCGCTGGAGAGAATAATGGGCCTTCTTCTGAATCTGGTAATGTGAGGCATAAGGCCCATACCCATTCTCACAGATTTAACAATCGATTCTTGTAAACCCATATCCATTTTCACACATTAACAACCGGGATCCGATTGTCGACAAGAACTCACAGCAAAATTCACAGATGTCCGACAACGACGAGCACGAGATGGACAGAAGGAGAAAAAGAAATCACAGAAGAGGGAGAAGAAGAACGGAACTCACAGTCACAGAGAGGCGGCGAAGAACCGAGGCGAGGCAGACCAGAGAGAGGTGAACATTGAACGACGACAGCAGCAGAGAGAGACACGACACAGACAGAGGCGAACGTCGGCGACGAAGGAGACGGCTCAGGCGACGGACAGGCGGGAGTCGAACTGACTCGAGCTCGAGGGAGGAAGCAGAGCTTGGCTTCGACAATGGTAGGATGGAGTTCGAAGGGGATGTCGACAGAGGAGGAAAAATATTAAACCCTAATTTTTAATTTAATTTCGGTTTAATCAAATAACAGAAATCGAACCGATCCGATCGGTTATAGAATGATAATAACCGGATATAACCGATCTGAACCGAAAATCGATTATATTTAATTAAATAAATAAAAGAAGAAAATATATTTTTAATTTGGTATTTTAATATGTATATTAGAGAATAAGACTTTTTCAGGAGAACCGTGTATTTCGGAGGCAAGTCATTTTCATATCTCTGTTATTTTTAACTATATAAAATAATAGTAATAGGGTCTCATGTATTCGGAAATTTGATGTAGCTGAAAATAATTCAGATATTAAAATTTGTGTTTTACACTAATGGCATTAATGTACCAATATAAATTAGGAGCATTCTTGTGTGTGCGTACATATATATATATATATATAATTGATATCCGTAATTAAAATGAAATATTGGAACTCGTTTCCGTTTTCACTAGTATTTTAACAAAATATAAATATTCTTAATTTCCGAACTTGTTGAAGGTAAGGATATTATTCGTAGATAACCAGTTTTTTGAATATTGAACAAATAGACCAATTGGTTTGATTCACCCACCCACTATTTCGTATTATATATATACATATGGATTGATAATATTCTTAATCTTGATTTAGGAATTAATATCTAAAAACATCAATTAGAACTACTAATCACGATTAGAAAATTTCAAAGTGTGGAATTAAACGTGTTCCATGACTTTAGGGCCTTTCCGTTGGTTTCCTCTTGTCTGTCTTCTTCTTCCAATAAGGTCATGCCACAGAACGTGACTTTCACACACACCAAAAAAAAAAAAAAAAAAAGACCAGAGTTTTATTATAAAAAAAAAGAGTGGTGGGAATTTTTGTTTACGGTTTAAAAATTTTTAAAATTCCATAAAAATACACGAAATCTATGTCAAAACAATACATCAATTTTCAATTCGATAAATAAATATACCAAAGATTAAAATATATAAAAAATACATTATTTTTTAAAATTAAAAACAATTTTTTACGCAGAAGATATTAAGATTCGAATATAAATTATTTTTGAATAAAAACTATTAGGAATTGTTAAAATTTGTGTATAAAACAATTTTAAATAATTTGAATATAATTGTCGACGGTATAATTGAAGATCATGAATGAAATTGCTTTCGATTTGAAATTTCAATAATTATTATATTTATTTATCAAATTAAAAGTTGATATATATATTTTTTGTCTATTTTGTAAAGTTCGGATATTTTTATAGATTTTTTTCTAAAAAACAATTTTATTTAATTTATTTTTCTTCCACTCATAAATTCTTATTTTTCAGTGTGATTTTGTTTTTATGGTTAGATTCTCATGTTTTTTTTTTAATAGAAATTACATATATTTGGATTCCATCAGGATTTTTTAATAATAGAAACCTATGTTAATTATTAGATTATACAGTCCATTTTATCTTGGTTTAGTATAGATAAATTATATAAATAGTTCTGTATTTAATTGGATACAATTCTATTTGAATTATAAAAATTCAATAGGTTATAGTAACACAAATTTTTCTTTCGAAGATTATTTTATTTTTTTCGATAGATATCAAAACGCAAATTATTTTCATTTACCAAATTTTCATTTGGTTTGTTTTATTTTTTTTTCTAAACAAATTTAAAATTTGAAAACTCTAAAAATTAAAGTCTTCTGGTGTCGGTGTGATTCTAGCGATTTTATACATATTTGTTGGTATTACCGGTTTGGTTGAATCTGTTCATGGTTTGTTATTATTTCTTTTAACATGATTTATAAGAGTTAGGTTTGTATTTATCAGAAAAAATGATATTTTAAATTTTATGAAAATATATAGAACATATATTTGGTTTAATCGATTTTTTAATTTACTTTTTTATAACATATGTGAGCTATATAAATATATAATTATACATTAGATATCAGTGAATAAAGATAATTAATATATTTGGTCAAGAATCCCTCAAAATTCAATATTAATTATGTTCTCTAAACATGGGCATTATTACTATTTTGACTTCAACAAATATTTTTCTCCACATGTGACCATGTGATCCGAAATATAGTGTGGTCATATATTGATCTCATTGCTCATAACATTAAATTTATGATGTTTTAATCAAATGATTAGTACGAGATACAAGGTATGAACATAATGAATTAGTGTGATCACTATAAATTTAACGTTATAATCAATAAAATCAAAATATGACCACAATATATTTTGGATCACACAGATTACGTAATCACAGTTGGAGAAAGATATGTGTTGAAATCAAAATAGCAAAGTAAGAATTTTTTTTATATAATGTCCACTAAATAATATACATAACGTAAGTTGAATCCATTAAATAAATATGCGTATAAATTATAGTAACCCAATGATTATTTATTTTTATCAATAATATTAATGTTGAGAATTTAACAATAATATTAATGTTGAGAATTTTAGTCCATTTCTTCGAAATCGAATCTGATCGAATTAAAAAATTCGGTATCATATCTAAATTGAATCATAAAAAATCTCTAACATTAATGTTTTTAGAAAACGAAATATCTAGCTAAACCGAATTGAATATTAAAAAATATAAAATAAAATTGAAAATTTATTAATTGTATAAATAAAATCCAAAAACGAACCGAACCAGAAATAATTTAACCGAATACACCAGATCCATTAAATATCGTGCCAACCCGAACCTAATATCCGAACGCCTAACATAAAATAATATATGCATATATTTTAAATTTTTTAAAATTAGTTAATTTTAATTAGGGAAACATCGGAGGCGTAGCGGGGCCCAACGGACACCCGCGTTCCTCTCCCTTAAAACGTCTCGATCCCTCTCTTCCTCTATCCACACTTCTCACGCCCTCCCTCGCCGTCGTCGTAGCCGGAAAACCTCAATGGACGTTCGCCGGCGTCCTCCCAAACCTCCGGTGACCTCCCATACCGGAGGATTCCATGGATTCAACGGCAGTCACTCCCCAGCTCAGGACGACCCCCGCCGATCTCCGGCTCCGACACCGAAGGCCTCCGATGCGCTTCCCCTCCCTCTCTACCTCACCAATGCCGTCTTTTTCACCCTCTTCTTCTCCGTCGCGTACTATCTCCTCCACCGGTGGCGCGACAAGATCCGATCCAACACGCCTCTCCATGTCGTTACGCTCTCCGAGCTCGGCGCCATCGTCGCTCTCATCGCCTCCTTCATCTATCTCCTAGGGTTCTTCGGCATCGATTTCGTGCAATCTTTCATCTCACGCGCTTCCGGTGACGGGTGGGATATCGCCGACGAGGGCAATGCCGGGAGTAACTTCCTTATCGGCGACGACGACCACCGCCTCGTCACGTGCTCTCCTCCTCCTCCGGTAGTCTCCAGCGCCAAATTACCCACTCCGGAGCCTGCACTCAGCGCATTGATGGGCGAGGAAGACGAAGAAATCGTGAGATCTGTCCTCGACGGCGCGATTCCATCGTACTCGCTCGAATCTCGTCTCGGCGACTGCAAGCGAGCGGCGGCGATCCGGAGAGAGGCGCTTCAGAGGGCCACAGGGAGATCTCTAGAGGGATTGCCTTTGGATGGGTTCGATTACGAGTCGGTGTTAGGGCAATGCTGCGAAATGCCGGTGGGATACGTGCAGATTCCGGTGGGGATTGCCGGACCGTTGTTGCTCGATGGGTATGAATACTCGGTTCCCATGGCGACAACCGAAGGATGCTTGGTCGCGAGCACGAACAGAGGCTGCAAGGCCATTGCCGCCTCCGGCGGAGCCACCAGTACGGTCCTGAGGGACGGCATGAGCCGAGCTCCCGTTGTGCGGTTCGGGTCCGCGAAACGGGCATCGGAGCTGAAGTTTTTCTCGGAGAATCCTGACCATTTCGATACTATTGCCGTAGTTTTCAACAGGTAATTCCTTTTGCTATGCTGGGTTTCACCTGATTCTTATCAATTCGATTTTGATTATAGTTTCAGATCATGGTTGCCAATCTTGGGCTATGTGGAAATTGTTTGATGGAATTTGAGGGAGAGGGTACAGGGTAGAGATAACTGCTTCAAATTAGTGTTGCTGATGGCATAAAACTTTGATTAAACAAGAATTTGATCCGATTGGAAGAGGGAATTCGGAATCAGACTGACTGTAGGAGCTTCTTCGTGTTCTGGTTCTGGATGCAGATCAAGTAGATTTGCGAGGCTACAAAGTGTCCAATGCTCACTTGCTGGGAAGAACGTGTATATAAGATTCTGCTGTAGCACGGGCGATGCCATGGGAATGAACATGGTTTCCAAAGGGGTTCAGAATGTCCTTGAATACTTGTTGGATGAATTTCCCGACATGGATGTGATCGGAATCTCTGGTGAGTTCTTTCCGCTGATCTTCTCTGTTTGATTCTCTGTTCTGTCCCTCTCTTGGGTTGCTCATAGCAGCTTAGTGCCCTCTCCAGATTCTGTAGAACTCTGGCCGTTTCCCTTCTCTGAACTCTTGGTCTCTTCCCATGTGTGATGCTGTCTTGTGGAAGAGTTCTGACAGATGCTGTCTCATAGATTCTTCTTTCCGTCAGTTTGATCAGTTTCGACAATCAATGTCCTCAAGTCCCGTGTTATCTTTACCCTTCAGGTAACTTCTGTTCGGACAAGAAACCTGCGGCAGTAAACTGGATCGAGGGACGTGGCAAATCAGTTGTTTGCGAGGCGGTAATAAGGGGAGAGATCGTGAGCAAGGTTTTGAAAACCAGTGTAGCTTCCCTGGTCGAGCTCAACATGCTCAAGAACCTCACTGGCTCCGCTATAGCCGGTGCCCTCGGTGGATTCAATGCTCATGCGAGCAACATAGTCTCCGCTGTATTTATAGCCACTGGCCAGGATCCAGCACAGAACGTCGAGAGTTCTCACTGCATTACCATGATGGAAGCAATCAACGATGGCAATGATCTCCATGTTTCCGTCACTATGCCTTCCCTCGAGGTGATATGATTTGAACTCTCTTGTTCTGTATCTTGCTGCAGTTTCGGGTTAAACCCATCGTCTAAAATCACGATCAGACTCATGTTGATCTATATAATGATCGAATTTCAAAGAGGGCATTCATTGTTCATGGCAGGTGGGGACAGTGGGAGGAGGAACACAGCTCGGATCACAGTCAGCGTGTCTGAATCTGCTCGGGGTAAAAGGGGCGAGCAAGGAGATGCCCGGGATGAACTCGAGGCGGCTAGCGACGATAGTGGCGGGAGCGGTTCTGGCGGGAGAACTGTCACTGATGTCAGCCATTGCAGCTGGACAACTTGTGAAAAGTCACATGAAATACAACCGATCCAGCAGAGACATGTCTTCTTCTACCACAACAACAACAACAACAACGAGAAAATCATTGTCTATGGGTTAGTAGTGGTGGACCAAAGATGAAGCTGTGACACAAATCCAAAGCAGTTTCAGTTTCAGCATGTGTGCCACTGCTGTTCAAAAGGTCTCTACTCTTTGTCTGAAACAAAGATACCCCCCCCCCCCCCTCTCTCTCTCTCTAGGGGTTGTCTCTTTCATTATATATATATATATATATATATAATGGGTGTGTGAATGTTTTGATTGATTCTCTGTATTGTTTGTTTGTTTGTTTGTTAGATCTGTATGAAAATTACCCTTTAGGATCTTGGCAGAGATTTTCTTTCTGCTCCTTTCTCGTTTTCCTTTTTCTCTTTTGTGTTTGTGTTTTGATGTATGATTTGAGAAATTGAATATTTCCTTCTTTCCACTCTTTATCTTTTTTTTTTTCTTTCCGCATATATTATATATAAATAATTACCAAAGAAGACCCATTGTAATTAGTTGTGGCACTTTTGGTATGTCCTCACATGCTAAACTAACCGATAATCAAACCACAATCCATCAAACCGACAAAGGTTATTCCGGGTTTGGATTAAATTTCAGTTTTTTTTTCTCAAGTTTTAATTTAGTTTTGATTATTATTATTATTAAAAATTATTCTTTTTTTAGATTTATAATATTTAATTCAGATTCATTTGATTTAATTTTATAAAAAAAAACTTCTATTAGATCTATTTACTATAGAAATCATCAATTTAACAGATGGTTAGTGGGCCAAAAGGAAGATGAAGTGATGATGGACTTGCAAATACCTTCAATTGTTAAGTATATTTACCCTAACTTAATGGGCCGCATACAAGTATATTGGCATCATCATTTTAGGCCACGTCAAAGGCCCATTAAATGTATCTATACATACAAACATATGCTTTATATACACACAAAAATAATAACCAAGTTTCAAATACGATCCACAATGAGCAAAATCTGTTTGGGCCATGAATTATCCTAATCGACCGTCAACTTCGCCCACGTCAATTACGTAGTGGGCCTTCTTCACGTGACAGTCCACGTCATTAATACACGTGGACGTCCAGAAGGATTTTGTCCTATCTTGATGGGTCCCACTTGGGCCCACTAAGTCCACAACGGTCAGGTAAAGACACATGGGCCCATTCCTCGAGCCTTATTGGCAATTTGCGCCGATTGTGCTCCTTGCATATGTATATATATATATATATATATATATATATATATGTGTATACATATAATTTAAAGATTATAATTTTAATAAGGTTACGAATAAAAACATGCACCAATTTATTTAAATATGCATAAACCTAAAACTTGTACGTTGTTGAAATAATTTATAAATAGTACGTCCAATTTTATAACTCCCAATTTTTTTTTTGTCGTTTTATTAATTTGGATGTTTGTTGACAAATAATAAAATTGATTATTTGGGTTGGTTGAATAATAATTGGCCATGTACTTCCACGAGACTTCCTATCATTTTTCTTTGAATTTTGTTAAATTAAAGATTATATCCTTTTTCAAACATTGTTTTATGTATGTGTGTGTATATATATATATATATATTCATTGTATACTTTTTCCAATTGTTTACTGCTTTTACATAAAATAACAACACAAAAAATAAAGTAGATATATAATTGGTGGATGGGGTAGTGGGAAGATCACAAGTGGTGAAAGATGAGATGGGACTTTTGTCAAAACTATTGTCTAACTGCTTTTTAATTTAATTCAAAATGTTGGGGCTAATAATTTGAAAAGATTATTTATTTAACTCACTGATTAATTTATTAATCAACTTAATTATTATTTTCTTAATTGAGCTGTGGTCATCATTACCTTAACCAGCAAAATCTAAGAACTATCCTTTCCATGTCAAATTTAAATATATAAACTATAGTTTATACAATGTTCCAAAAGAAAAACTTCTGATGTACATAAGATAAAATTTAAAAAAAAAAATCTTCTCCTTTCCTCAGAAAAGAACATTGGATCTCTTATGTCAATCTTTTTCTTTAACCTAAATTGGTAAAATATAAAACAAGCAACAACATCATCATCCTAATATTGACATATAGTAATGATATTAATCTACTAAATTATTTTTTTTCTTTTAAATTAAAATGGTACAAAGATAATTAGATTCTCAATGACAAAACCAAAAAAAAAGTCAAAACCTTTATTTGATGGCAAAGCTTGATTAGACTTATGGCTTTCAATGACGCAAATCATGAAACCCGAATTTTTCTCATTCGAGCGTGAAAATTTTCTTCAAATTAAAAGTTTGTATTTTTCTTATAAATCTTTAGAAATATATATATATATATACATATATATATATATATATATATATATGTGTGTGTGTGTGTGTGTGTGTGGATTGAGGGGTTACATCGAAGTGGGTATAAGTGGAACCAGACAAAAAAAAAAGTTTGACAAGAAACCTTGTCTGGACAATTTGCATTCTCCTAATTGGATTCCATGATCGAGAGCACAAAACTTTCAAATGATGGGAACTTTGGTTTCACATTCACACCTCTTGAATAAGAAAATCCGATTTGATATGGTTATTTCCCTAATAATATGTATGTATGCATGTATGTATGTATGTATGTATGTATGTATGTATGTATATATGTATGTATGTATGTATGTATGTATGTATGTATGGCTATTTCTAGGGTGTCAATTTGGGGTCCGAGGCCTGAAACCCGACCCAACTCAAAAATTAGAGGGGTTCGGGTCTAAGTTTCTCGGCCCGAAAAAAATCGGGTTTTCGGACCGGATTTAAATCGGACTTCAGACTCGAGTCGAGTCGATCCGAAAGCACAATCTTTTTTAAAAAAAGATTTACAAAGGGATTTGGGGTTTAACTACATAGGTCCGAAAAAAATTGGGTCGGGCCGATCCCAAACCCAAAACCTTTGGGTTGAGTGCAGACTCAGGCCGACCCGATTGACATCCCTAACTATTTCCCTAATCATCTTGTTGATTTATTACAATATATAGAACAACACTATGTATATATGTACGGGAATGATAATGTGAATGAGAGATTCACTTAGTGACAAAGTGAGTGGGTCCAAATCAAACATCGCGTCAAATATATGATGGGATTGATGGCATGAGAGCCACGATTCTTCATGTTCCTTCCCCTTCCCGTGGGCGGTAAAATTCAAACCTAATCTATATGTACATAAATATGTTATATTGCGTATTTAATTGAAACCTATACGATATTACACAATATCTAAACAAGAAGATAGAATCATCTACTAAATATTTCAATTGATAAAGGATAGAATAAAATTAATTTTCAATCTAAATTCGAATCTCTAGTTATAGAGGTACATATTCACTTGATTTTTTTCGATCCTCTAAAAAATATAATTATATCAAAGTTTTGTTGAATTTGTAGACTATAAAAAGAAATATTATCGGTGAAATATATTTGGACATGGCATAGAAAGACCATGGCTCCAACATGTAGTAATGTATATAAATCATTCTCTTTATTACTCATTTTTTTTCCTATTTTGATTTTCAGTATTATTTTTTTTTTCTTGATCGTTTGTATATAAATCATCATGGGTGATTTATGAAACTCTAACAATATCTATTTTCAATGGATTAAACTTTGATTAATTTCGTAATACTAAAAAATTCGATTACAAAAATCAGATTTATTGTTTGACGATCAAACTTTGGTTACATTTGTTGTCTTTTACGATGTCATGTCCTTGGAGTGTAGTGTGTCTATACCTACCTACCCACCCATTTCTAATCTCTTTATACGTGAACGCAAAAAATTTCGGTTATGTGGCTCAATAATTATGATAAGACCATATGATAAAATATTAATATGTGATCGTCTGTCCATTTATTGCAATTAATACACCATTAGTTTGGAAACATCACTATAGTTGGTTAGGCATTCGGGTGATGTATACAATTATAAATCTTCACATCTTTGGACCCTCCATTGGGCAAAGCGAGATGTGCATATAATATGAAATATAAATGAACCGACTAATATATATATATATATATATATATGTATGGCCCTAATCACTCGATCGAAATGGACATGCCACGTTAGACAGCATGGATTTATGGGAATGTGTATGGATGGTAATTCCTAGTACTTATGGAGTTTAGGTCCTTTACAAATGCATGCATACGTATATACACACGGCGCCCATATATATATGATATATTAAAATGCGACCGTGCATATTCATATATATATATATTTTTGGTTTAGTCCATGCAGCTATATTAATTAACTTATTGCGCAATGATTAGATATTCGTTATAAAAATTAAACATATTGTACTATTTGGGTAGGAAGATCTACGCAAATTTAGGACCGATTTTAAATTATACATCATGTTAAACAAGTTGTCAATCATTTTCATAGGTTTTCATATTGAGATTTAGGTTAGATATATATATAGAGAGAGAGAGAGATCAATCCGCATTCCCAAAAAATAATAATAAATATTCACGGATATCCATAATAAAACTTCTACACCAGTTGTAGGAAAATATATATATTTTTTATAAACGTAGGGTTATATTTTTTCTCGCACAACTAAACTGAATCATTACAACATTTTAAACTTGGAATCACCATTGAATATAATTTTTTTTTCGAAAATATGAATATTTTGAATTATATAGAGTCAAAAATATACTACGAAGAATTATAATTTAAAAACATTGACACAAAAAAAATGACATCAATTGTATTGCAAAGCCGTTGACAATATATATACACACCAAATTAGTAATAATCTTATATTTATACACCAAATTAGTTCAAACAGAAGTAATAATCTTATATTACTTCTGTTTGAACTAATTTTTGTTACAAAATGTGAGTACAGAAGAGTCGAATTCGAATATTTTTAGGAATACTGTTTGAATTTTAAATATATTATTTAATCTATATATACACACACTGAAATTGTAGTTAATAGATATGTGTAATGAGATAGATACGAGAGGCGTGATTGGATAAGGTTTTGACCAAGTACCGATGTTCCCGACCGCCTCCACGTGGTCTAACAGCTCAGCTTCAGCTCTGACCTTTTGACCGCACGTGACTTTTGTCTGTGCACGTGCGGATCATCTGACGTGTATATGAAATGCATTGCACCGAGCCATGACTCGCCCGATACTGCCGCTGAGCCGGGCCCTATGGGTCCCACAACATGATGGACGGCTGTGATCAGTTTTCTGCTTGTGGGCCCATGTGGTCTTGTCCACATGCAACCACGTTCGCGACGCTTCTAGGTTTAAATGCAGGACAAGGAAGCTGTTGCTTTATTATTACTGCGTATGTTATGATATAATTATTAAAAATATACTCGATTTGAGTTATTTATATTCCATTATATATTGATAGCGTTATAACCTTTTTTCCTCTCTTCAATTGTGTTCCAATATTATTTTTGTATCCCATATTTCGCATACTTAGAATATGATAATCTCTTATATATAGTTTCTTTTTGTCCCACTAAATTGTTTAATTTAATATATAGTTTAAAATTATTCTTCTCACATACGAAAAGACAGAATCATTCTAAATACAAAAAAAAAAATGAATTGGTTTTAATCTATTTTGTAGTGGTATAATGGTCATAGTTAGTAATTCATATAAGATCTCGTATTCGATATGTAGAGAAAGAAGATGCAATTTAATTACATTTATCTCTCGATTAACATAGATATAGTTGGGTTAAAGATTCGTGAAACTATCTTGATTAAAAAAATCTAATTGGTTTTAGTCATTTTTCTTATAATTTAACTAATAATATATGTATTTGGTTATAAATATTGTTAAAAAAATACCACTAAAAATGTATGATTATTCCTTTCGTGATAGGCCATGGACTAGATTGATTATTCTTAGTTATGCCCTCTTCGTGGACAATTAAAGTTGATATAAATAATGGCAAATGAAACAAGTGGACAACTTTGGCTAAAAAAAAAAATTCTTTTTAGTTAAGACCTACAATATAATATTATACATACTATTATGGCCATAATATATATATATATATATATGTACATATATAATTAAAGATGTTATTAGTCAATAAAGTATACGGTAAGTTAAACAATTAGTAACTAGTTATACATGGCTAAGTAACTCATTCTTACTTTTAGTAAAGCTTACTATATGTAATAAATATATTCGAGACTACATAATTCTTTTTTTTTCAAAATTTTTTATGTGGAGACTGTAAGTCTTGTTTTTTTGTTAATACATAGTTGTATGCAAATCCTATTACATGGTTAAACTATGAGAAGTAACATCATATTAATTTGTTGTAGATCATGATCTTAACGACAAACTAAATGAAAAATATGTAAATTAAAATACAAATAACAATATTGTATACTATTTTTTATATTGGTAAATAGTCCAAGGTTCGAACCCGTGATCGTGTGGCTTTTAATTAATTGCCCATTTTATCACTTGTTTTGCTTATCTTGAATATAATATTGTGTAATTTAATCTGACTATTTTAATAGAGAATTTAAATGGAAAATAATTAATCTAATTGAATTAGTAAAAACAACCAAAACGACTAGGATTTTTTTTTAAATTCAAGTCATCAATTTTCAAAATTTGATTAAAAAATTATTAAAATTAGTTAAAATTTATATATGATATTTGTTTGTGAAAATTTTAATTTTTTAATATTATATTAAATAAGAATCAAAACTAAAATGGTAAGTTAAAAGAATATACGTTACGCCAATAAACTGATGATACGTATCGTTCGCTCAGTGGTTAAATTTGAGAGAGAATCAATATATTAATTGATATATATTTAAAAATATCTTTTAAAACTATTTTTCAAAAAAATAATTTAAAAAATAAAAATTTAATTAACTATAGCCTCTCATACATTAATTAATATATGCTTACATATTTTGTATAATTAAGTTCATTGAATATTCCCTTTTTGAATATAAGGTCCGGAGAACATTAATTTAAATTATAACCTTCTCATGCAGAAAACAAAATAAAATAAAAGTCATCTCTTGAAACTCTTTTCTTTTCTTCTCCACTCAAGAGCTCGAAGCCAAGAAGAAGGGGAAAAGAAGAAAAAAAAGGACAGAGAGCAGAGCCGAAAGATGAAAACCCTCCGCGAAGCCCTAATATTCTCCTCCATTTCATGTAAGTATATGTACACCTACACACGCATATATATAAAAACATATATACATATTTATATATATATTAAGGTTAAAAAAAATAGTAAAGAAAAGGGAGGTTTATATCAGCTAAATTCTCGGTGTCTCTCTGCTTTTTGATTGATGTGCTTTGGTGGCTCTCTCTTCCTTCTCTCTCTTTCTCTCCTCGTTCGGGTCGGACCAAAATTTCTTGCAGAATCAGCACATGAATTAAAATCTGCAGCTTCTTCCTTTTTTTTTTTCTCTCTCTCTCTTTCTTTTTCAAGTTTCAGATCGACCAAATACGACGTCGTCTTAAGGAAACTCTACCCTAAGCTAAAGCTAGGGTTTCTCCTAGAACACATTAACAACAACACAACACCAAGTGAAAGAAGTGCATGCTCTTTGTTGTTTGTTGTTGGTTTTTTTCCTTTTGCTGTGTTTCAGTTTCTGTTCTTGGGTTCTCTTGTCGGGTTGTGTAACCGATCATCCCCGTCTATTGGTTCCTGAAATCCTGATTTTGACTTCTCTCGACATGATCTTCATCATCACCACCTCTCATATATGACCCAAGAACAAGAGCAAGAAGAATCTGTCTGCCTTTGATTCTGGCGAACAAGCAGCAGTGGTGGGAGAGGAGTTTAGTAGATGCGGCGGCCATGGAAGGAGGTTACGAACAGCACGGCGGCGGTGGCAGATACTTTCACAACCTTTTCCGACCAGAGATTCATCAGTTTCAGCCTCAGCCTCCGAATCTTGACCAGCTCCATCACCAACATCAACAACCGGGTTCCGACGATTCGAGGGACTCCGATTCGCAGAAGGATCAGCCGGGTCGACCCGACTCCGACCCGGCTACGTCCAGCTCGACACCGGCGAAGCGGCCACGTGGACGGCCTCCGGGATCCAAGAACAAGCCCAAGCCTCCGGTCATAGTCACGCGAGACAGCCCCAACGCGCTTAGATCTCATGTTCTTGAAGTCTCTGCTGGCGCCGACATCGTCGAGAGCGTCTCCACCTACGCTCGCCGCCGAGGGAGAGGAGTCTCCATCCTCGGAGGCAACGGCACCGTCTCCAACGTCACTATCCGGCAGCCCACGGCGGCTACCGGCGGCGGAGCAGGCGGAGGAGGAGTCGTCACCTTACATGGGAGATTCGAGATTCTTTCGCTGATGGGCACGGTTCTTCCGCCGCCGGCACCGCCTGGGGCAGGTGGGTTGTCGATATTTCTGGCCGGAGGGCAAGGTCAGGTGGTCGGAGGGACGGTGGTAGCGCCGCTGGTGGCATCTGGTCCGGTGATTCTAATGGCGGCTTCGTTTTCGAATGCTGTCTTCGAGAGGCTTCCGATCGAGGAGGAGGAAGAAGGAGGAGGAGGAGGAGGTGTCCATCACGTGCCACCTCAGTCAACGTCTCCGCCGTCTGGGTTGACCACCGGAGGTGGAGGAGGAGGAGGTAATGTCGGTGGTGGTTATGGTTTTTCCGGTGACCCTCATCTGGTTGGATGGGGAGCCGGAAATGCTTCGCGACCACCTTTTTAATTTCTCGGTTCCAATTTAAATATTGTGTTCGAATTCTATAACTATAATCTCTTTTTCTCTTTTATCATTCCGACATCTTCGTATGTATCATTACTTTGGTCTTTTTCTCGTTTATTTAGTTCCATTCATATGCTTTGAAATCCATGGTCGAATTCAGGTTTACCTGTAGTAGATTGCCAAGGGGTTTGTCGGCTTTGATGATCTTTGAAATGCATTGACGATGTGGCTAGGGTTTTGTGTTTTTATTTAGTGTTATGCTTAAATTTGTGAAGAAATGGATCATACATTGCCAATTTTATATGATTTCCTTCATGTTTTTGACGACAAAGTTTGAGCTTGTCGAAATATTCTTCATGATCTCGAGTATCACCCACATGCCATTTCCTTACAGCTTCACGAATCCTGAAACCCTTTTAGAAACACAAACTATTTACTCCGATTAACAAATCTTCTTACTTCATATATAGTTTGATATAGATCCTTAACATGCTAAAAACTAAATCATTTGATTAAACTTGTCATATAGATATTACATGCATGTTTGAGATTCCACTATGAATTATGATTTGAAACTTTCGCATTTTTATGGTTCATGTTTCTTATATTCAATGTGTGGACTGTGGAATGAGATATATATATATATATATATATACTCACATATATGTGTGTGTACGTATATGTATATCTTTATATATAGGATGCATGCATGTTTGAGATTCCTGTCTATGAATCATGACATGAAACTTTTGCATTCTTATAGTTCCTGCTTCTTATATTCAATGTGGAGTGGGAGAGATATATATAAACATATATATATATATATATATATATATATATATATATATATACACATGCACACAAGGAAGAGCAGGTTTAATTATACACAAAGAGGGAATTAATCATACTTGGCTAGCATTTTCATATGTTATATATAATCACTCATTATTAGAGTTAGTTACAACAACAACAACAACATCGCCTTGGTCCCAAGTTTATTTGGGGTCGTCTGCATGGATTCTTCGTTTCCACTCATTTCGATTTTGGGTTAGTTCTTTCGGAATTTGTAACAACTCCAAATCGTTTCTAATTACACGTTCCCAAGTAAGCCTAGGTCTACCCCTTTTCTTTTTCTTCACCCCATTTCTATACCCTCCACTCTTCTAACCGGCGCATTTATCGGCATACGTTGTACACGTATTAGAGTTAGTTACATGCATAATATATATATATATATATATATATATATATATATATATATATATATGTTGCAAAGGAAGCTAAGGGACTCTCTCATTCTCGTTCTCTCTCTGTATATATCATACCTTATGAAGAAGGATTTGGTATTTACTTATATCCTCTATATATACACTATCTTCGAATATATGCACACTAATATATAGTTTGATGGCACAAAACAATTAAATTTTAAAAGTCCTTGTATTTCCAGCAAACAATACATTCTTTTTCCACCTTAGAATATATTTTGAATCTTAATATTTCGGTCTAGAACTAGAAACTGTAATGTTTAAGCTTATATATAGGAGTGAGCTTGTATTCATTTTTAGTATAAACGATATATTTGATACTGATTTTTTCTTTTATCTGAAACCAACATGCCCAATGATGACCGTAAAAATTATTTTCAAGTGAACAAAGTTTTCTTATGCCATATTTGGGGCCAAATTAAGGATTTTGATTCTTACTAGATTTGGATATACAATAGGAACTAAATCTAATTACATGGTTTGTATAATCTCATACACTAAGAAGGGAATCTATCTATCCATCCATCCATCTATCTAATAAGCCATGCATGAGATCACACACACATATAGTGTTCTTCATCCTCGTCGAAAGGACGACGATATATATATTTGTTTGGACCGTTTTTTCGATGAAAAAGAGGGATAGACTTATATGCTATATCGTAAAATATCTTTTTTCGATGAAGATGATGAAGTACCGTCGGAAATTTACTCGAGGGATCAGAAAGTAGCCGTTACAACGGTAGAAGAATATGACATAGGAGGGTATATGTATATATGTATTCTCATATCAGTTACATGCTAAACAATGGCAGTAACATGAGAAAAGAACGCTTTGAAAACATTAACTTTGCTTCTCTTTTGTGATTGAGAAGCTCTGCCGCAACACAACAAAATGGGTTTTTGATGAGTACCGAGAAATATGAAAATTGAAAATTAAAAAGAAAAGAAAAGATGAATGTTTCAATTCCCTAGGGTTATAAAATTCATGGACTAGGAAACAAGAAATGTGAAATTCTCAATGTAGTATGTATAGGAAATGATATAATTAACTAAAACTTAACACTTTATGTAATCAATGTAATAATGTATCTAAGAGAATTTATGGAATTCAAGAACTAACACTAATATACTGACTAATCCGAATTGTAAAGCAATATATTTCTTTTTTGGGTATGTTTTTAGGGAAAATTCCATTAAAATACATGAATTCTATGAAATATGACATAAAAATACATGAATTATAAATTCGGCATATTAATACACGAAGTCTTCAATTTCTTCCATGTATTGTTATGGCTCATTTCATAAAATTCATGTGTTTTAATAGAAGTTTCCCATTTTTTTTATTAATCAAAGAATGAGTTTTTAATATATATTTAGTAGTTTTCTTTAGTAGAAATAAAAGTGCAAAATAAATAGAATTCTATAGTATATAAACTCTATAATGTTATGTAGATTTTCTATATTAATCGGTTATTTTTTTCTTGTTGATATAAAAACTTCAATTCCGAATAATTATTGAATCTTTAGTCTATTCACCTTCATCATGATCATAAGAACTATGAGACAAATATTCTTGTTATTGTTGTTACTTTTAACCTCGTTTTAATCTGTTCTAATTAGTTAACATGTAATATATATGTGTGTGTATATATATATATATGTGTGTGGTATGTTTGGAGTGTAATCATGGCATGGGATATGAGAATGGATGTTCAATTGATTTTTTTTTAAAAAAATCAGCTGGCTTTCTAGGGTTTGTAACTTGTAAAGAGGAAGACATTGTACTTGGAAAACTTTATATATATATATATATATATTCATTCAAATCTACACTATCTTTTGCAAATGCCCATGTGAGAGGTCATGTGCCTCACACACAAAGTTGAGAACAACCAAATGGGCTCTCTCTCTCTCTCTCAAAGAAAGAATTGAACTTGTAGGAATCTTGATCATGATAACACACACACCCCAATACATACATATATATATATATATATATATATATATAAACATGTGTGTATATATATATGTGTGTGTTAATATATATGTATGTATATATGTATAATCATCAAATTTGAATTATGAGAGCAACACAATCATAGAAAGCCCATCTCGACGGGCCAATAAATGCGGAAAGGTGTTGCCTTGTCAGCCCAACAAAATTTAATCAATTCACAGTTTTCGGTCCAATTGGTCTTGTTACCATGTCACCAAAACAAATCTTTAAGAATAAGGTGCGATTAGGCAAATAAAAAGTTAAAAAAATAATTATTTAAAAAAGTAAAATTTTTATGAATGAAAACTCAAATTGATTTCCAATGGAATAGATGTCCCAAGTAGAAATGTCAATTTGGATTCGAGATTCGACCCGAATCCATCTGAAAAATTGCGGATTACGAGTTTAAAATTATAGACCTCGAAAAGTTTTGTATTTTCAGATTGGGGTTAAATCGGGCTCTGCCTTTTTCGGATTGAACTCGACGGATTTCAACCCGAAACCTTCAGAGTTCAGACCGAATGCGGGTTTGAGACGGATTGGACCGGACCGACCTGATTGACACCACTAGTCCCAAGTATCAAACCAAAATCATTATAACATAGACAAAATTGAAATCCGGATATAAATATGTTTTTTCCCCCACAATTAGAATAAATTCAAATAAAGAGAAACATAATTTCTTTCCCATTTTATATCACAATAGTTAATAAAACCAAACTATCCTCCCTGATCTCAACTTGTCCTAGAAAGAAAGAAAGAAAAGCTCATTCATTGTTCCTACTCAGTTACAAGTCCACAACCTCTGTAACATTTAGTTCTGATATACAAAACCTAATTCCTAGTACAACTAAAGAGGAAGATCAAGCTTTAACTTAAGGTGACAAGATAAGACAAGGAACAAGCTTAGCTCGCACCTCACAGTTCAAATTCAGGCCACTCACTGCTCGAACGGGACCCGAACGAAAAGTCGCCCGTGAAAGCTCACCACCGCAGATGTATGAAGCGGGTCGATCCTTGCGGGTAGGCTCACAATCTGAAAACGGAAAAAAGTGGTTCAGTTTCGGTAACTATAGCTTCCCGAGGCATTGTGATTGTCGGGAAAAGGGGAAAGGTTTAACCTTTTTGAAGGATGTGATTCCCCACGGATTTTCGAGCTGCTCGGGTTGGCCTGTTATAACTAACTTTCCTGCAGGATCTGATTGGACTCTGACCTGAAATTCAAAACAAGAGATTTCGGGAATAAAAAAAGAATATAACCCGAGAAATAGATGCATATGAAAAGTACACGGGTACTCGGTTGAAGTTCTATGGTTTACTCGAAAGTGATCTCTCTTTCACAACGAAGAACCGGCAGAAATAGGGTTTCCAAGAATGATAGTGCTCACCTCTTCGCGAAGAAGACCGGGAACCAGGGCATATATCTCGAAGCAATCTTTCTGTAGATTCAAGATTCAAGATTGTAAGAATTGGTAAGATCTTGGACATGAAAGGCCACGTTGTAGCGTTTTCTCTCAATTCTTCATACACCGAGATCAAGTTAAAATGCTTTATATTTCTCACTTATCTTTGTGTCTCTCTATGGTTTTAGAGCTAAATACAGGGGCATGCTGGATTTACAAGGCGAAGAGGCAGAGGGACTCACGGTTTCTCTGACGTTTATCTTCACCCAGTCAGCAGGCAGCCCGACATCGATAACTTCAGCTACTAATCTATCAAAATGAAAACCAAATTATTAGTCTTACTTCGACAAGTTTCAAGAAATGAAAAGGAAGCTTTGGCATTGAATTGTATCGATATTTTCAGGCCAGGAGATGATTTCTTCATCACGAGACGTAGCAAGTGAAAGCCATATATATCGGTCGAGAGTAACACAACCTCGGAGATTCAGACAAGACACAAACATTCAAGGATGGAATTAGAGCTTTCTTAACTGTTTGCCTCCTTCATGTGAAACTACAAGGTCCATGCTAGTTGGTGTTTTGTGTTTCTGCACACCTGAAAAAAAAAAATTACGCATGATATTGAGTAAACTGTTCAACGTTAAATCCTTGGTAAAAAATAAAAAAATCGTGACCTTGAAACAATTACCGATACTTTTGAGGTTCTTTTGCCTTGGGGTTGAATTCAAGCCCTTATCCTGAGGGGGAAAAAACATCACAATGCCAGACAAGCTTATGCACTGAGTGAATCATGAGGTATTCAAAGAAGAAACCTTGGAAATAGATTCAGGGTCCTCCCCAGATCCAAGAAGGCGGTGAGAATGCCAACCCTGCATAGCACGAGCTGCTGCATCTCTTCGGGTCCTGCCTGATCCCGGACCTAGATGGCTGTTCACCTACATTAAAACCCATCCATGTATAGAATAAGGGAAGGACAATGAGAGAAAAATTAAAACAAAAAACTTATTTTTTTTTCCTGGAGAGATTAGATGGCGATTAACAACTAAAAAGGACTTTTCCGTGATCAAGTTCTATATGTGTGTCTCTTTAACCGAAAACCACGAATTTCTAGGTTTGGGGCTCAAAAAAGTGGATGTGGGTTTACCCAGTGACGCTGGAGAGAGGTGAAAAACCGGTTTAGATGGTAATATGTGTGTCGAATATTCATTCCTCAGATAAAATTTATAGAAGATATATAATCTCTGGAGATGTCATTACACCTAGTTTAGATTTATTAGCTTAGTTACACTGAAGAGGTACATGCCCCTCATCAACTACAAATTCAATCCAAAGGTGGTGCACCTAACCGAAAGCATAACAAACAGCAGGCAAAATCAGAGGTCGGTCTTCTTACCTCCTTTTCAACATCAGAAGATGGGAAGAAAGCTGAACCAGGAAGGGTAAGTTCACCATGTTGCCTTAAAAACTTTTCATACTCCAACAGTGCCTGTATGGAAAGCATGGAGAAGAATAAGACCGATATACAAATCATGTAAGAACTATATCCATATGCAAATCTACAATAGAAAAAACCTTTCGTTTCCGAAACATAATTTGAGAGGGGAAAAAAAACTAAACAAAGAGAAAATTGTCTGAACAGAACAAGTAAAACTCACGATGGACGATACATATGATACTTATGCACAACAGTAAATGTCACCTTCTCATAGAAAATGCGGAATGTCCAAGAAACTGTCGTGCATGTCCTGAACAAAGAGTGTTGAACAAAAACTATGGAAATTTAATTCATGAATAGATTGGAAAAAGAGGTAAAGTTTGAGGGCAGCATCATATCATACTTTGGAGGATGGAAGGATTCTCCAACTTGCCGCCATAGCTTAGATGAGGTGACCTACATTTTACATAAACATGAATATTTTAAGACCATAAGACATCTGGTTTCACAAGAATATGAACAATTCTGAGTCCAAACTTCTAAACTAGAGCAGAAGCCAGTAAAAATGAAACCACTTTCCAAATACTGAATCCAACACAAACTCAAAATGTCGGATGAATGGATGTATAACTGCACATAGAATCTATTTCCTCATAGTCAATCCCTCGGTTCTAGCTACTCTTCTAGTTCACTAACCAGCCGAATTTAGACTTAGAGCTTACAGTGCATGGACTACCCAAAATCCAAAACTAACATTGAAGGTGATGCCAAATGATGCATATAATATGAATAGAAGATTTCATATGGTGAGAGGTGAGAGAAAGGATAAAACTTTACTAAACATAAGATCTTTTAAAGTAGGAAACCGGGTAAATACCACATCATAGCCACCTAATTTAATGACTGCCCGCCATAACCTACAATTACATAATAAAACATGCAGAAGTCAGACAAGGATTATCCACAGATGCAGATTCTCCAAGAAATTAGAGCAACAGTGTCCAGCAACTCACTCACTTGAGACAGTTTAAGGGCTGTCCATAAAATTTAGGGGCTTTAAATTCTAGGAAATGCTCCCTGTGGAAGCTCTCCACTTCCTTTATAAATGCATCTTGTTCCTCTAGTGACCCTGATTCATCAGCCTCTACTACCTACAAAAAAATAAAGAAAAAAAGAAAAACTTGTAACGGGACAATGCCATTGATGAATACGATAAACCTGCTCCTTTTCCTTTTATAACAAGTTATCGATTTCAACCCTAAACACAGATGCAAGTAGGCTTTTCAAATCGAAACAAACAGTCTTGGTACCTCGGATTTGCTCAACAACCAAGTCCTCCATTTCTTCGTACTTCCACCACCAGCATCAGGAGTCGAATGTTCCACCTGAGGAGGAGTTAGTTCCTCCGGCTTCTCCTCCTCATGCCCATCATCACCAACACTTTTGTTTATCGATTGATCAGCACTCTTCCCATCAACACTGGCATGGTTGTCTGTCACTTCATCAGCACCAGTTTCATCATCAACGGCGGCGTCTGGTAAATGAACATCACTCTCCAAAGTAAGAGTCTTGTCCTCTGGAACAGGGGAAAGAGGTTTTTCTATAGGATTTTGGTCTGGTTCCGAAGGTTCCTGATTTGGACCTCTCGCCTCGACAGAACCCGCGTACAGACCAGAAGCCACATCTTGCTCGTGCATTTCGGTGTCTCCCATCAAACAATTCCTTCTGTAACAAGACTGTAACATGGAGATGCAACGTTATGAAGACGAAGGCAAACCCTTCATAACACAACAAGCCCAGAATTCATGCAAAGCACAGGACGAATTGACGGTTCCGACAAACACAAAAAGGCACGAACTTTGATCTATATGTCTCCCACGGGAAGGAAGCCGGAGGGGAAAAATACTCTCCGTATGAGAAAAAACGTGATTATAGAATCGAACCCACGAAATATCTGAGTTTCCTTGTCTCGGTTCCTCGCTCTGATTCGCTAACCTCCCACGAACTATAATCTTCCGACCAAAAACAAGGACAAAAATGGCGGAAGTGGACAAAAACTTCTAGAAACGTGGGAGTGATAAAGAGTAAAACGCTTGCCTGTTCCGCGGGGACGACGACGCCGGAGCTCCGGTGGTGAATTAGGGTTTACAGCCGGAGAAATTGAATAATGCAGGCCAAGAGGGAGGAGAGAGAGAGAGAATCTTCTTCAATGGCGAAAGAAAGATGAATGGTGCTCAGACCGGTGAGGAAGATACCCCACAACCCCGCCGTAATATAATAAAACCTTAAAACATAGTTTCGATCTAAAAGCAAGGAGACGATATCTAATTAATGATTTTATTTATGTGAATTAAAATCTATTGTTATTGGATTATAGATTTGAAAAATTCAATTAAAATGTATCGTTATTGGAGATTTTCTAATATCAATTAAAATTTAATGTTATTCAATATTCAGAACAAATTAGATTTCAAATCGCTTTATATTTTTTTTTCTCAAATTAAAAAAAAAACAATTACAAAGAACACAACTCAATCCTTATCAATAATATTTTAATAATTTGATAATTTATTTTTGAATATACAATATTTTTAGGATCTTATTCAAATGTTGTGGATTTATTAAACTCTTACTAAAATCAATAACCTAATAATCCCAAATCCTTCTTGGAATCAGATTGAAATCATAAGAATTTAAGTTTCTATATACAAAAATAAAATTTTAAAAACATTTTACAATTTTGCTATAACGGGCCTTTTCCGGTCAACTTTTATACGGCCCGGTTATGTATTTGAAATTAATTCGAGAATGCTCCTAAAAGGCCGTCTTTGGATCAGTTTCGTTCGGCCCATTTATATATTTTAAAGTTGGACATTCAAATAATAATAATAATAATAATAATAATAATAATAATCAAAAAATTAATAAATGGCCTGTTTAAATGTAAGAATGATCTGCAATACGATCATTAAATGTATTGGGACGTAAGTATTAAGTTATTCCACGAGAAAATTGTTATTGAATAATAAACTAACATTTTTTTTTTGGATTATTGTAAACGAATTATCTTAGAACTTTGAACGAACAAAAAAAAAAAAGACAAGAAATTTAATGAAAAAGGCCCACGAAGAATGATTTTTTTTTTTCTTGTTGCCCCCTCAAGCGTGACGAAGTCTTTAGACACATGCCTAGCATTCCCCAAACTTTGGGAAAATATATAGACTTTTACATCAATTTATCAAATTATATAGAATTTTAAATCAATTTAGTGGTCCATCCTTGATTTCCCCGTTGGGTTTTTGTTAAAAGAAATGAATGAAGATATTTTTTGTGATTTATTTTTCACTCTTTCTATTATTATCTATTTTCTCTAATTGAATATAGAAATGTGTTTATTATCTACTATCTTTATTATCTCTTTTGCATATTTTTATACTCCTCTTAAAATTTATAAATAGGAGATACTGTTTTTATTTTAAACACATAAAAAAACAAAAGTATTATGAAAAGAAAAAAAACTATTTTTAATTTTTTTATAATTCAAGTCGATATTTGAATTCGACGAGGTGTCGGAATTCAAATTATGATTGTTTCGATATAATACTTTCGTTCTGTTTTGGAAAGTTCCTAGCACCTCACCGTGCATGTGAGATTGATTCTGATCAGGTTCCTAGTAGAACCACGCGGTTTTTTCTTCCTGAGACGTATATCCATGTTTTGGTGGCCGAACTCGTAAATCTTTCTGTGTCTCTTTCATTTTTGTTCTTGAACAAACGAGTGCCATTGGAATGATCCGTGTGAGATTGAGTGCGTATTGGTTCAAAATATCCGGTTAAAAAAAAAATATATATATCGGTGAGAGTTTATTATAGATTCCGACGTGTACAGTACGCAATAGGTACGTACAATAAAATCATTGAAATTGTTTTGTTTTGTCTCGAATATTTTTTTAAAATAAAAAAATAATAATGAATATAATTCAGTGGTCCGAATAATGTCATATTCGGAATTGACTTCGACAGCTCCTTGTTTTTCTCGTGGAGAGATTCTTTTGTTTCCCGTCCTTACAACTTCGCATCACTCTGTTTTTTGTTCTGTCCATTTTTTTTTATAATCTGTAAGTTCACCGTATCTTTGGTCCGACTATATCTTCCAGAAGACCGGGGAAGTCCATGTGAATACCCCTCCCCACGCTTGTGTTTGGACCCAAAATGAGAGCATGTTTTACATGTTCTCTAACCACTATACCACCGAAGTTTGGGTTGTTCTGTCCATTTTTTTTTGTAGTTTCAGAAACATTATATTTTTTTTTAATATTGTTTCTTCTGATGCATGTCAGAAAATCATCAGCACATCGTGGCATAGAAACGGACCATAAAATTTAATTTACTCCAAAAAATAATCACTCCCCTCTTCTTCTTTTTTAATAAAAAAATCTATATAAATATATCAATTTTACAAAATATATCAAATAAATTTTTAAACTGATGTTAAAATGATTCAAATTCATACATCAAATGTTAAGATGTCCTAAACAAATATCACAACTCACGAAATCGAACACAATTTACAATCTCAATCTCAATAACGTTGTATTAATTAGAAGATAATTTTAAAATAAAAAACGAATCGAGATTATAAATTACTCTCAATTTCGTTCGTGAGTTGGAGTACTAATTTTAAATATTTTAATATTTGATATATCGATTTAGAATATTTTAATATTTGAGTTATTAATTAGAACAAACTAAAAAAAATTTAATTATTGATTTAGTGCATTTTATAAAAATGGGATACCCATATGGGAAGTTTTTTTGTAATTTGTTGTAAATCTTCATTAATGTTTGGTCGGGATGATATTTACGCACATGGCGATATATAAGTGAACAAGACAAGGGCATGGACCCCTTAAGTACCCCTTAGGGTGAGTTACGTTTCGTCTTGTCAATGGAAAATTAATGGATTTGGTAACCCTAGAAATTATGGTGGAGAAAATGACGACGAAAATGGGAAAAAAATATCAGAGAGTTTGAATAAGTGAATTTATATGAAAGTTTTACAATTGATAAACTACAAGCACAAAAATAAAAAAACAAAAGTATATAAGTAAATGTGACGATATGAATATATACATCATATATATGGTCTAACCCATATATCTACATGTTTTGTATTTCTGAATATAATTTCTTTCCATGTGCGAAAGAATGTGATTGTGGGTACCGCATTCAAATTGCATGATCTAGTTGTTGGAAATATAACTTTGAAATGACCCATGTAATTTTGGGTTTTGAAATTCAATATGACATTGACTTCATTGATGGACATGGATTTATTAAGATGTTAAATTTCATGGGTGTTTATGGTCATCCTTCTCTCCTTAATTTATAAATAGTGGACATATGTTTCACATTTTTTATCTATCAGAAAAATTATCAAAATAAGGGTAAAAGAAGAGAAAAACAAATCTACTCACTTAATTTTTTTTAAAATCATTCCGATGCAATATGAATTCAAGTATATATATCATATATATTGTATACTATCTTATTACATTTGTGTGAATTGTGTAATACCGTATCCAGTTCTGGTGAGTGCATAAAGTTATCGAAAACCATCACATTAAAATTTACACTAATACCAACATATATATAATTAATTTTTGAGAATTTGTTAAACATTAAGGTATGAATATTATTAAATGAATTTTGAATCTACGAATTTCGACTCGCGACAATTTAGTTGCTTTAGAAATTATAATTCATGTTTTTTTAATCGTATATTAGTTGTAAAACTCACATATATATTTTTTTAGCAGAAAATAGGAGAAAAAAAATATGAATATATTTATATAAAAAAATGTATTTTTGAAATCGTCTTATTCTCATAGAAAATCAATTTTTTTTAATATTATATATATATATATATATATATATATTTTAATTACAGGTGATTAAAATCCGGATTCAAAATCTAACAATTTAAATGCTGAATTTTTTTTCTTCATCCGCTTTACAATCAGAAAAAATAAATGACATTGCTAAAATAATTTTCTTTTGAGCAAGCCTCATATAATATAATCTAGTTATGGAATTCTTATTAATAATCAAAGGTTATAAACCTTATAGTCTAGCGACCCGAATTCTTATTAATAAACCAACGAAAATGGATTTCAAATATATCTTTACAAATTCATGAACCATTATAAAATTAAAGTTTTATATAAATCACTAGTTTTGATTGTATATATTAAATTAAATTTATGGACATGCACAGTCTTCTCGATGGAAATAAAACGACCAGCAGTCCATTGATGCGAACTTAAATATACACCAAACAACTTGTTTTATTAAATCCATTTGCAATTGTTTACATGAAAAAATATATGTATTTAAATTAATTTGTAGTTTTTGATAGAGACATAATACTGTGATATTACGATAACCTTTTTTTGACCAGGCAATTTTAGATTTTTGAATATCAATTTTTAATAGATTTTTATATCTATTAAAAATTATAGAATAACTATTAGTTTTTCTAAAAACTTACGAAATAGATTTTGATATTTATCGAAAACTAAAAAATATTTGATATTTATTAAAATTTACAAAATTACTCTTTTTTTTACAAAATTATAATTTGGGTACGATATCAGATTTTAGAACCGGCACATTTAAATATAAATTAAGATAACTAAAATTGTTGAATACCATTCCTGTTTGTATTTGTGACTGTCATATTTATATTTGACATATGGATGTATATGCGTAGTTTGTATCTGTTGTTTCAGATATTGTGTATTTTACACGTTTTTAGTTCCTCGAATATAATAAAAACACTATCTCAAATCATTTTTTTTTTTGTAATGGACAAATCATTTTTTTTCTTTTAAGTTTATGAAAAATGTCAATTCCATAAAAAAAACTGTCATTTTCAAATTATAGAAATTTGATAAGCATGTTGCCAAAATATAATCTATTTTATAAACAACACGGCTTATTACATGCAACTTGTGTCATCAACTATGAAACCTTGCGTTTTTTAATTTCAATAATTGCTGTACAAAGGTTGCCTCCAAAATATCGAATATCGGGTGGATTTCCCAATTATAAAAAAAAATCACTCAGAAAATAATTAGATTAGTATTGCTTCTAATCGTTTATATATATATTAGAAAAAACTCAATACAAATTCAGATTTTGGAAAGAGCGAACATCATTTTTTTTTTTGGAATTTGTGAATTTATATATGAACTATAAAGGAAATGCGTCTATACCACAGAAAAAAAAAAAAGAAACAAAACCTCGGAGACAGACTTCGACTTTGTTTTATTCCGGTGACGAAAGGCATGACGATGGTCCCGATGTTAACACTCACACCCATTCATACATACATACATACATACATACATACATACATTTGTACATACATACATACATACATACATACATTTGTACATACATACATACATACATACATATGTACATACATTTGTACATACATGCGTACGTACGTAACCTTTGTGACCATACACACAAAAATACATTCAAGTTAACGTCGAAAAAGGAAAAACAAAAACAAAAGGTATTTCAAATCGTTATAATTACATTGTAAATTATGCTACATTGGCCGTTAAATGTTTATGATTTAACTTTACCGATTGGACTGGTTATATAACTAAGTAATTGTTATTTTGTACCTGCTATAAGCAGAAGCATAGTTTTCTATTTCTTGTTTAGATTTGGATGATTTTCGATTTGTTATTGAGAATAAAAACCTGATGATATTCAAAGGCGATATCTATTATGGTAATGGTTACCTTATGAATGGATTGTATGTATTGAACGATCAACCTTCCGATTCTATGTTCGTGTACAACGTAAATGCGAAGAAGTTTAAACCGAACAACTTAAACCTAACATATCTCTTACATTGTCGTTTAGGTCACATCAACGAGAAGCGCATATAGAAACTCATCTTGGAAGAATTTCTGGATTCTTTCGATTATAAATCGATTGAAACATGCGAATCTTGTTTGATGGATAAAATGATAAAGTCTCTTTTTAGTAGAAAATAAGAGCGGACATTGGAGCCATTGAACCTAATACATAGTGATATATGTGAGATCATGAGCTTACCTGCTAGAAGAGGTTATTTGTATTTCGTCATATTTACTGATTATTTCACTAGATTTGGTTATATGACTATTTAATGAGATATAAGTGTGAAACGTTTGAAATGTTCAAGGTTTTCAGAAAAGAAGTACAAAACCAGCTTGACAAGAGTATTAAGATCTGATCGCGATGACGAATATATGAGCCAAGAGTTCACTGATTGTCTGGTGGATTGTGGAATTGTTTCACAATCAACCCCTTCTGAAATGCCACAGTGGAATGACATGTCTGAACGAAAGAACCGCACCCTATTGGATATGGTACGGTCTATGATGAATCTCAAATCAATAATAATAAGTTTAGATATTTGATGCGGATTGACAAAATTTATTAGAAATATATCAGTTTGGATATACAAAATCGAAATTGAATTCAATGTAAAAAATATATTTATATGGTTTTTAACTAAATTAAACGAATTTAAAGTAAATTCGAATAGAGTATAATAATAAATGAAAAAAATTGAATAGAAATAAATTTATTTTTGAAAACAAGTGTTTTTAATAGAAACCAAATGAAAATGTAAATTTTTTAACAATAAAAAAATACCAAATATGAAAATAACAAAGCAACACCAAATGTCCTATTCTGGTAAAAAAAAAACAAGATAATTAATTTTGAATAGACATCGGGGTGGGATGATGTCCGAGTTATTTTAAACACCAGACGTACCACAGAGTAAAATTATCCTCCCCACTTTGAATTTTTACATTTATATAATAAATAATCCAAAAATATATATGTTGATTTCAAATTAATATTTCACGAAATTTTTCTAATGAAATATATAGCTTTTTTTTTCTGTTACTGGGAAAATGTTTTATATAAAAAGAGAGGACATGCAAATGCTAGTATATGCCAATTTGGAGAAGGAAAAGTTTCCATAGAGAGAGGAAGAGAGCGGGAGAGAGAGAGAGAAGTTTCCGATCATCTTCGCGTCGTCTACATTTTACGGCGGAATCTGTCACTTAGCTGAAGCAAGACGAGATTAACACGGAACAATCTCTCTTTTCCCCGAAAATCAGTGGAATAGAAGAATTTCGCGGTGCTCCGGTGGATTTTTCGAGGTCAGTTTCGCATTTATTGCTCATTTTTGTGCTGATTCCTTGGCTTTTACGGTTCGTGATGTGTAACTGTGTTAGTTCATGATCGGATTCGATTCTCTGTTTCTCAGATGAAATCGATTCAGAATTTCCACGTGTTGTGTTTTCTCTCTGTTTCATCTGCTGGATTTCAAGTGTTACTGATTCTCACGTTTCGATTCGTCCTTTTTTGCTTGTTTTTTTGTTCTGTGGTGCACATGAGAGAAAGAAAGAGGGAATATTCTTCGTCCCTTTTGTCGTACTCCATACATATACGGAGATGGGCTCGAGATGTCTCTAATGTGATGAATCAATTGGTCATCTTGCAGATTCTTTTTCTGAAAAAGAGAAATCGTAGCGGAGATGAAGCTTTTGGATCTGTTCATAACTTCGTCGATCCCAGTCATCAAAATCCTGCTGATAAGTGCAGTTGGATTGTATATGGCCCTTGAGAGAGTTGATATTTTGGGTCAAGATGCAAGAAAACACTTGAACAACGTTAGTCTCTCTCCGATTTCCGATTTCCGATTTTAGTTTCTTGTGATTCAATCTCTCGGAAGATTTCTGAAAGGTTTTATGTTTCTTTTGGGTTTTAGGTGGTCTTCTATGTGTTTAGTCCTTCACTCATTGGAAGCAGCCTTGCTGAGACTATCACATATGAAACCCTGGCAAAAATGTAAGTTTGGAACTTCATTTCCACGAGAGAAAAAAAGAAGATTTGATCGTGTGATTGAATTTGTTGATAGATAACAAGCTGTATGTGAGATTGCAGGTGGTTCATGCCAGTCAATATTCTTCTCACATTCATCATCGGTTCGTTTCTTGGTTGGATTGTTATTCTGGTCACGAGGGCTCCGTCCCATCTTCGTGGCCTCATTGTTGGCGTCTGTGCTGCTGGTAACACTCACTCATTCCCCCTCTTGAGACGCTTCGGTATGATATCTGTTGGGAGTGTTTCGACCCAATTTTAGAGTCTGAATGATCTGAAACCCGGCAGGGAACTTGGGGAACATGCCTCTGATCATTATACCGGCGATTTGCAAGGAAAAGGGAAGCCCGTTCGGGGATCCAGAGTCTTGCGAGAAATACGGGCTGGGTTATGTCTCACTCTCAATGGCCGTACGTTCCTTCCTCTTCAAGGTTTAACTCCAGGATTTCCCTGCCACAGAATTCATATGCTTCTGATATTTCAGATAGGAGCTGTTTACATATGGACCTACGTTTACAATCTTATGCGAATGCTAGCAACCCGTGCCAAGGAAACCGGAATCAGAACCTCCTCCATAGAATCCAACTATGAGAGTTGTACTACTGTGCCATTGATTCCTTCCAGAGAGGAAGATGGGAAGAAGGTCTTCAGCTAAAGCTCTTTTTTCTTGCTTATTGAGCATTTATGTATCAAAACTTCTATCGTTGATTCTCTTGAGTAATCTACAACAGATCACAAGCTGGGGTATATTCAGGAAAAGATTGTGTTCGTTCGCCGAGAAAATCAATCTCCAGACGATTTTCGCTCCGTCAACTATTGCAGCGGTATGATTTCACGGCCCTCTGTTACATGTGAACATGGAAGTGTTGTGATTCTGATAGCAACTGTTGTTTGTTTGTCTTCAGATTATTGCACTTGTGGTTGGACTCATTCCTCCAGTAAGGAAACTATTAATCGGCAGCAATGCTCCTCTCCATGTGATCGAAGACTCCGTTTCTCTCGTCGGGTAAAAATCCAAAAAAGTATCAATCTTTCATGGTTAATCGATTTGAAACGTAAACCTCTAGAGTCTAGACCTTAATCCGCTTCTTACATCTTTTTTTTCGCTTCCTGCTCTAACGCTGATTATTGGCGGAAACCTTCTACGAGGTAAAAAAGAATAAAAAAATATGAAACACCGACATTTCGGGGATTCATCCTTAATATCTGTGGTATCTCTCTCTTAGGTCTGAGGAGCTCAGGACTGCAAAAGTCGATCATAATCAGCGTCATAATAGCGCGTTACGTCATGCTTCCAATCGCCGGTGTTCTGATAGTGAGAGGAGTTTACCGGTTAGGTTTGGTTGGATCTGATCCACTCTACCAGTTTGTCCTTCTGCTCCAATTCGTCGTCCCTCCTGCCATGAACCTCAGTGAGTTTATAAACTCGATGAACATGATAGGATACGTTTTCCTGTGGAACAGAGAATGACATTTTTCTTTCTTGTTCGATCTTTCTTAAGGTACAATAACTCAGTTGTTCGGAGAAGGAGAGAGCGAATGTTCGGTGATTCTCCTATGGACATACGCTCTGGCATCCGTCTCTCTCACGCTCTGGCCGACATTCTTCATGTGGCTTGTAGCCTGAAAAGCTCCTCTCCTGTCTCGCGATTCGGGTATCATTTCATAATATCATTCTTCGGTTAATTCGATCATTCATAAACACCACATTGTGTGTTCCAAAATACTTCTGTTGTAGCACGATGTTAAAAGGGGGAATATATTCTTCATATGCCTAAACTAGCCGGCCACATAATTGGGAATTAGCAAAACCCAATTTAAAACATCATTCCATCCTACAGTACGGAAACAAAAGGGAAGAAAGTCTTGAGAGATATATGCTTGAGACGAGCAATGACAATGAGAATATTGAAATAACAACAGAGTCCTCAGAGTGAGGATTTGTCTGGAAGATCGTCAAAGTAAGGATGCTCCATCGCTTTCTTGGCCGAGATTCTTTTCGCGGGTTCATACTGCAGCATTTGCTGTCGAAGACCAACGAAAGAAATGTCGGATTTAGATTCTCTCCCGGGAAAATAAAAAAGATACGGACGGAATCAGAGACTTACGGATAAGAGATCGATCCCGGCTTCCTCAAGGTTAGGAACAGCTATGGAGAGACTCAGAGGCTTCCACTGCGGGTACTCATGCCAGTTCTTCAGATTGCTCACTCCCGGCCAGATCGATTCGTTCGGAGTACCCAACAACCTGAAAATAATTCTCGCGTAAGAATTGATCCCAAGCTTAAGAACAATCGATCTGAATCGGAGAAATACACACCTGAAAATATGCAGAAGCTGTTGGAGCTCAGAGTCTCCGGCAAAAATTGCTTGCTTTGTCACCAATTCAGCTACCCAAGAAAAGAAGAAAACAAACAGAAGGAAACCATTTGCTATAGATAGTTGCTCTTCTTCGGGGGTTTTTCCTCGGAAAAAAAAAGTCGGTCGGAGAGGGAAGTACCGAAGATGCAGCCGACGGACCAGATGTCGACGGCGGTCGAGTAGTGAGTGGCTCCGAGAAGAACCTCTGGAGCTCTGTACCATAGAGTCAATATCTGTTCCCCATTTCCAAAACCGAACTTCTTAGTTTTGGATGATCGACTCTTTCTCATCGGGTAAGAACAAAAGAACACATAGGCTTACTTTAATAGGAATTGATGAACTTAATTACCTCGTGAGTGTACTTTTACACAACTCCGACCCTACATTACAAAACAACCAGCTTCAACCAAATATGAACTTCCAAGTTCCAATTACAGGCAATGCAGGAAAAGTTGAGAAAAAAATACTAGAAATGCACACCTAATTGCCGGATGCTCGGTAATGATCTGAGCATCGGGAACTTTAGCAGTTGCTTTCCGATCCATCAACAGATTGTGTGGCTTCAGATCCCTGAAAGGATTCATCAAAAAACCCGAAAAAGGGTTTTGAGAGAAACCGAGGATGGAAACCACGAGGGCGAAGAGCAAGAAGAGGATTGATGATACCTGTGCAACACTCCATGGCCATGGCAGAAAGCCATTCCTTTGCAGAGTTGGTACATCAAGCACTGAAAAAACATCAATGGAGAACTATTTCAGAGAGAGGGAGAGAGAGATGTAAAAAGATGGATGGATTATCTCGGACCTTGATGGTAGGAGAAGGAATGTTCTGTCCGGATTGGCGGAAGCTTCGGATGAATTTCTTGAGGTCGGTGTCCATGTACTCGAAGACCAAGTATAGTACGGTCCTCCCTTCTTTGTTCAGTCCTTGCTTCACATCCATCAATCTGTAGAGAACCATAACAATTATGCAGAGCAAGCGACAATCCATGGAACCACTCCACTGCAAATCTCAATCTGCTTAAACAAACTAATTTTGCAGTGGGCTCAGATCTTGAATCCCGAGGATTGGCGTTTGGAAATAACTAAATGACGGGAACCTAGAACAGGGACTAGACAACCATGGAATACGATACCCATTGAATTGATAACCCTAAAAGAGTAGAATCCATTTATCTCCGTAACGTAATTTTGTATTTCACCAGAGGCGAAGATATTGCAATGGGTAACCCTTGAAATGAAGTGATTCTACAGAGAAAGAAAAAGGGCCAGTAAGAACCACGTAAAATTGGAACAGATCCCCAAGAAAAAAACCTAAATCGAGAAAAACGAAGGAAAACAATCAAACCCTAGAATCCCAACCGAGCAATCGCAGGAAAAGAAACCCTAGAAAAAAAAATGGAGAATCGGAAGGAAAAAAGGACCTGACGATGTGGGGATCGCGAGCGAGCATGCGCAAGATGGAGATCTCGCGGAGAGTGGTGGGAGGAACACCTTCTTCGTCCTCATGGAGACGCGTCTTCTTGAGAGCGACGATCTTTCCAGTAGCCTTCTCCCTGGCTCTGTACACTTTACCGTAGGTCCCTTCGCCAACTTTCTCCAGCTTCTCGAAGGCGTCCATGGCGGAAACGGCTATAACTCCTTTCTCCATCTCTCTCTCTCTCTCTCTCTCTCTCTGAGATGCAATGTTGGTAGTGAAGAGAAAGAAGAGGCAGAGGGAAGAGAAGAGAGGAATATAAAGGGGGTCCGATTCCTTCTCAACGGTTGGATATTTTCGAAATTCAAACGGGAGCGGGTTCGCTTCCTTTTCCAATACCATATTTTTATTTTATTTTATTTTTTTATTTATCTAGAAATAGTTGTATTTCTAACTCTCCTCTCTGTAAATGTTCAGAAATCAATTTAAAAAAAGTTATGCCCATTTTTTTAGATATTAACAAAAAAAAAATCATTATAACCAACATTCTTTTCTACCTTAACATAGCAAGCCGAAATTAGCATTTCGAACCCTTCTTTCTTAAAAGTACAAATCAAATTACCAAATTTATACCCTTTTTTTTTTAATATTGAGAGTCTTGACCATATAAAAACAAAACAAAACAAAAAATAATCTAAACCAACAATTTTTCTCTCTCTATGTATGTATAAAAAAAAAAGCGAAACGAAATTAGCACACACTGCTCTTACATAGCCAAAAAAAAAAAACACACCGCTTGTTCTGTAATGTTACATGCAGAAAAAGAAAAAGTCAGAACAAAAAATTGGGACAAGACAAAACCAAAATGAGTTTTTATGCAAAAATAAATAAAAAAAAAACCAAAACTATATGATTGTTTTTTTTGTAAATGAAAAAAAGATATGAGAGAGAGAGAGGTGCTAATCGGATTGTGGGGGGATTAAGAAGAAGAAGACATAGTGGAGAGAACATCAGTCACCGACGCCATCACGCTCAGAGCCGCTTTCAGTACGTCCTGCGAGCACCCCGGCTTCACTATCGTCCTCACCTGTGTTCCCACAAATTATTATTATGGGTATATGATACGACCGATTATAAATTTAACAGAAAAAAAAATCTTTAAAATTAAAAAACCAAAACACAAACGTACCTGGTCGAGGTACTCCTGAAGTTTCTTGATACGCCCCATGTAGTCTTGGTCTTCCACACACAGGCTCACCGCCTTCGAATCCGAACCAGGTCCGTCATACTGAAGCGGACCCGGGTTTCTGTACAGATCATCCTTCATGAATCTCTCTGCGTTCTGTCTCAACAGCCTGTCGTATACGCATACGTTATATTCGTACACTTTTCTTTTGTTAATTCATTAATAGAGAGAGAGAGAGAGAGAGAGAAAACTTACTCGTACGCTTTTCCTCTCAGGTCAACTGTAGCCGGATGAATGGCTGGCCTTCCTATCGAAGCAGAACCCGCGTTTTGGGACCAACGCTTCACCGTCATCATTGCCTAAAGGTTTAACAAATACATGAGAGAAGGGTCGTTAAAAAAACATGATTTCGGTTAATCGGGACAGCAGAGAAAACTACATCAAAAACAGAAACACAACCGTCATAGGTGCAGCTCCACACTTCCACTTGTTGGAAGGACTCTTCAGGTTAGTCACAGTTGCCATGTAACCATTCAAACCAGCTGCAAGGATATGGTAACATATATGCCCAAGAACCTGCATACATACATATATTGCTTATTAGTAAATGAACCAGAAAATGTTAAAGATGCAGAAAAGCATTGCGGGACCAGGCGGGGAAATCGCATACATAGGCATAATCACAGTCGAATTTTGATGGCAGAGATCCACGAGCTTGGTAACCGAAAAAATGGCAGATAGCATTGAATTTCTTCCCCTTGTATGTGCCCTCTTTCTGACAATTTGCCCAAAAAAAAAACAAAATCAGAAACGAGACCGACTCTAGAAGCATATAGAAATAGGACTAAAATGCATGAAACAATGTTCTTTGAAAACAACAGAAAAAACCGGATTGTGATTGGTGAGAAGAACACGCAGGCATTACCAGGCGCTTGTTCATTTCATTCTCCACGAGATACGCAAGAAGTTTCTCCGTCTCGATCTGGGCAACAAAGAATAAGACTGCTTAGAATTCTGACATCTTACAACATGGTGGCGCCGAAAACATTTCTTAAAATTTTTCTTACCTGTGATAGCTGAGCAGAATCATCAGACTCGGGACGAAGCAGCAGCTGCAACAGTAAGAAACACAGAATTCTTTTAAGTATTGTACTGATTTATCTTGTGAGGAGAACAAACAATCCCCGTGTTAAAAGATTTCAAACCTGTTTCTTGATGAATGGAGGTAGAAATTCGAACAACGCAGACGACCAGGGTGAGAGTTGAGAAGAAATTTTATCAGCAGAGACACCATGTCTAAGCAGCCCATGAATTTCCTGTATCACAAAATATCAACAATTGCTTGGTAAATACTTGGAAAAGAAAAAGAAGACTTTCGTATCGAGAAAACTGGAGAAAAAAAAGAGCTTCAAATGATCAGCCCCTTACCTTCAGCAAAGCATACACTTCCGGAATACTTTCTATCAACCCTTCTGGGATCAGGATGACGCCATGGTTCTTTTCTGGTGCATATATAAAGTTGTAGAGTAAGCAAATAGCAAAACACATCATATCCAACGGGAAAAAAAGGTATTTTTTTAACTTATCATACCATCTCCTGCTCTTGCTTGAACAGCATCACAGATCTGTTTTGCGATGTCAAAAAGTGTGAGCTTAGAGGCTGCAACCTCCTCACCCAAAATCAACTGAGACAAAATCATCACATGGAAATGAGAATGTCAGAGGAAGAATAAGCAAAACCGAAAGTAACTGTTTACGTGTAAAAAACTGAAGGAAATACCATGTTTGGATGAGACTGGAGGGTACATTCAAGAGCAACATGAGAGTGCTTCCTGCCCATGAGACGGATGAAGTAATAATACTGCCAAGAAAAGAGTAAATTAAATTATCCTTCAGAAGATACATGATAAAAGCCATTGCCCTGCTAACTGTGCAATCAATTTTCCATCCCTTAACCAGAATGTTTCTTATTATAAGATAAAAGTTCACAAAAATTCTAGTTACAATTCCATGATTCTGTGCAAAATCATCGATCGCTCTAAAACATCATGTGTTCAGACAAGATTTTCAATTTACCTTCTCTGCAGAGAGGGCATCAGTGCAGACATTGCTGATGAGCTGAGAATTTACCTGTATGTAGCAAAATATCATTAGTAACAGCAATGCGATACTTATTGTAAAATTGTAGCAATCCAAGAGCACAAATCTATTTTGTTGCCGTACCAACAAAAATAAAAGGAAAAAAACAAAATTCACAGTTACCTTGCATATGGTATCAAAGCCAACATTTGTTTCCACAAATTGATTCTTGAGATCCCCATTAATAGTAACAGGAACACCAACCACCTGAAATTTATTGAATATTTCTATTGTTAATAAGTTCTTCGGTTGTCAAGTGCAACTGCATGACCAAAAAGTGAGATAAAGAACTCGAGATACATTAGGTGGAAACAAGATACTAAAAAATAAAGAGGAGATACCTTTGTTGGACATTTTGCTTCAGCGAAAAATTCAGCCAGATAAGCTGCATCTGTGTTTGACGTTACACCTTCAAAAAAACAAGAAAAAATCTTCATTCAGCAAATTGTACAATAAATCTTGCCCATCAGATTATGCAATCTGCAAGCATAAGCTACCTCCAATGATTACAAGGCCGTCCAATTTCAACTCTGTGCAAGCCGCTAGTGCAGCATTAACCTGCTCAGTTGTTCTGATCTGATCTTTGGTTCTTCCAAGCAAATCATATCCACCTTATCAAATACAAGTAAATCCCAACATCAGTCGAAATTCAGTAGACAAAATGTTCTGAGAATCTAAACAATGGCTTTGTCAAACAACCTACCTTGGTTTTTGTAGGTTTGGAGGATATCATCTGTGATTTCCAGGGTCTTTTTGGCAAATAGACCTTCAGAACCGCCTATTCACCAGTACCAAAAGTTTTCAATCAAAACCATTTTGGGCAGAGGTACACAACTTCTTAAAAGAATATTCATCATTTCCAAAGAAACTAAGAAATAAGCATGTATATGGCTGAAATATGAAATTTAATGAGTTGAACTTGAAAATACAAAAAGAAAACATCTTTTGTAGAAAACTAATTCCAACCCGGAAAGCCTCTTTTGTAGAAACTTACCCACGAAACCTAGCAAATTGCTCTTTGGGTTGTGAACCTGAAGAGCCTCGTAAAGGCCCCAAATTACATTATGCCCACCAGGAGATTGCCTTCCACAAAACACAACTCCGACCCTACATTACAAAACAACCAGCTTCAACCAAATATGAACTTCCAAGTTCCAATTACAGGCAATGCAGGAAAAGTTGAGAAAAAAATACTAGAAATGCACACCTAATTGCCGGATGCTCGGTAATGATCTGAGCATCGGGAACTTTAGCAGTTGCTCGGAGGAAGTGAGCCAACGGCTGACTGTAGGTGTGCGGGAAGGCACGTGAGACGACGTGAGCATCGGCAGCCTCGGACACAGTGGCTCCATCACCGAATTCCACCCGGACAGTAGTCCCCTAAAAGGAAATCAATAAGACAAGGACCAGGAAAAAGCGAAGAAAGATTCCAAAATGAAACTAACTATAGACAATGCAGAGATCACAATCAACCACAAAAAGCCGCAAAAAAAAAAGCGTTACTACTTTTCGGTACTTCACCAAAGGAGACATATTTAAACGATCACTTGTACATTAAATCTAAACACTAAAAAAACCTAAAACTACAAAGCAAACCTGTTGAATACCGACCCCTGAACGAGAAAATGACATTGAACCACAACAAAGGGACAATTCAACCTACCTAGTTTACATCTAAATCTCCAACCTAAACCAAACCGAACTGAAAAGCAGATCGAATGAATCAATAAACTCAAAACATGTAAGAGATACGCCCAAAAGCATAGATCGCGATCAGTAACACCGCCGAAACAGATCTGAGCAACACCAATACCGCAACCTCCTCGAACAGTAAATCACGATAAACGGATCAAGAACACCGCAAGACAACAAACACCGCAAGACAACGAAACTCTGACAGCAAATCCGAGCAAAAACACAGTGCACAGTTCGGACAAAAAACCAGAGGGATGCGAGTGATTTTGGACAGAGATCGGAGGGAAGAGAGATCTAAGAACGGACCTGGAGGCAAGGAGGAAGCTCGGGCTGGTACTGAGAACGGAGTTGCTGGAGAGGAGAGAGCTCTCTGGGGATCCCGAAATCTGAATCCATGGAGGTTTTCGAGTGTTAGGTTTTCTGAGGTTGATGGATTTGGTGGAGTGATTCAGTATATGGGGAGAGGTTTATATAGTGAGGGGGAAATTCGGTGGACTTCGGCGATACCACCAACCAAATCGCTCATATTTTTTTTTTGGTTTCTTCTCTTTTTCACCCTTGGCGTTTCTCTGTTATTACGATACTGCCATTGGATCCTCTATTTGAAGTTACCAAAATACCTCTTCTCTCCACATTGTCTCATATTTACTCCCCCCCCCCCCATTTATTAGGGGGATTTGATTTGACACAATTCTGATGTTCCTTTAAACGTGATTTTTAGGCATTCACATGATTTTCTAATATACCTAAACCGATCTAATATACATTTGAATTAACCAATTATTTTGAAGTGTGTTTTGATTACGAATGCACAAAATAGAATTTCAACCAACAAAGGGAAAATAATTTCCTTTGCGTTTCGTGGGAAAAGGTCAAAATAAGGAAAAGCAAAATGAGAATTTAGATGGGAATATACTTGGAGGGTATTTTTGTAATTTTACAACTGAGAAACAGGCGGAACTATAAGTAGGCGACTCACCCTTCCTGCATGAAATCCACCCCGTCTCCCCATGTACGGATGCGTATATGATGTGTGTGTGTATATATATATATATGTATATGACGAGAGATGTACTATTGATTGCCGAGTAGATATCAATTTTGGCTCCAACTCGGCATATTTAAATTTGTGAATTCTAAAAAATGTAAATTTTCTGGTCGAGTTCAAATCGGATTTCGCATCGGTTCGACTTAATTTTTTTATAAAAAAGTACAAAAAAATTTATCAATGCATAAATAAGGTTTTAAATGGACCGATTCGGTTCGAATTCAAACTGAAATCCTATAGAATCGGATTTTGGATTCGGTCTTTATGGACTCGAAAAAATTCATCATACCCGAACTCAAACCGGAAACCAGCTCAATTCAAACACCCAACTCGTAAATCGAATTCTCGTAAAAGGTCGATGGATAAATAATCTAAATCCAAATACCCGACTGTCCCAATCCACTAAATCGGATTTTCAATTTTTATTTTACAAATAAAACTTTCCATTCGTAACCGTAATATAATAATTGATTGGTATATAATTAGATAATCGAACCGATCAAATATCGTACCGAATACCGAACCACTGACCCCGTTCTCCAAGTCGTCAGTCGATATGCGTAGAGATAATTCCAACATCGTTACAAGCCAAAATCCAAAGGGTAAAGAGTACATAAACTATAAAGTTATACAACCACAAAGAAACAAGAACAGAAACAGAATCACTCTTTCATGTCGGAATCTGTGACGTGGAGGGAGAAAGAGTACTCTTGGTCGCAGCCCAAGTAGGAGTCGCACATGAAGTAGAGGGTGTAGGACTTGTCTCCCGGCTCGGTCGGGGCGGTGAAATCGAGCTTCACCCTCGCCTTACGTTGCAGCGAAACCCGTTTTATTGCCAGCAACTGGTTCGTGTTCGTGTCCCCCACCACCAGCCACCACCCTTCTTCCTTCGTCTTCGGGTATCGACCCGCGTCCACCGGTCCCACCTCGCTTCTTCCTTCCATGTCCCTCTCCAGCGTCACCTGTTGTTACCAGGGCATTATCGTAAACACACAGCAGGCAAAAACTAATTGGGTGGATCTGGACAAATACATTTGGTTCGGTCGTTCATAAATCAAACCGGTAAAAACTAAATACTAAATACCATGTAACCGAATGGTTATGATTTTTCTAAAACCGAACACAAACAGAATATACAAATAACCGAAGAAACCGAATTTTTCTATGGTAAATGAACATTTTTATCATTAAAAACCGAAACAAAACCGAAACTAATATAAAAACTGAATGGTGATATAAGTTTTTTCTCTTAAAAAATCGAACTTGAGCCAAAACCGAACTGAATCTAATATAAAAACCGAATAAAGATAAGTTTTTAAAACCGAAAAAACCGAACCCATATATAACTGAACATAAACCAGAAATACCCACCCCTAAGTCCAAATATATGTTTAGAATATTGAACTTATACCTGTAGCGTTACTTCTCTTCCGGGTGTCACGCCTTCGCTGTCCACAACCTCGTAGGTGAGATCGATGTTCGGGAACCGGTTGCAGAATCGGGCAATGTCGAGGAGCTGAGAATCTGACATCTGGAGAAGCTCCCGACGTTCGTCGTCCTCCATCTCCACGAGATCAAACACGGTCTCGACGCTTTTCCCGGGATTCTCTTGGCACCTCTTGGCCAAGTCTTTCGTGAAGTGAGGGAGCTGCAAAAGCATGGAGTCACGCTCCCACATGCCCTGAGTCACCATCTGGCTTACCTCCATAGCCAACAGCGCGAGGTTCAGCCACCCATTGCTCGAAATCACATCGACCATAGCCTGGAGAAGCCTGGTTGCGGATAAGAGGACCTCTCGCTGATCCATTGCTAGATTCCCGCCGATGTTCTGTCTCGAGAAATGGGCCTGAAGAAGGGCGTTTGCTTTCACATGAGGATCAGTGCATTTCGGGTTCTCGAAGGAGAATCTCTGGTGATTGATGAGTCTCCGGACGATGTCCTCCTCCCCGGGCCTTGTAGGGATCAGATCATACTCGGAAGCCGAGGTCAAAATCTCGAGAAGGCCCTTCATCTTGGTCTTCGAGGCCAAAACTGTCGACAACCGCTCAATGGTGGTGTAACTGATGTAGTAATACGAAGCGATCATACCGAGGTTGAGAGGGGACAGATCCATCTCGTCCTCAATCTCGATACACTTGCTGGCTTCGAGATCTGACAGCGTATTCTCGACGAGCTCCGAGAGGTGATCAGACAGATGCCTGTGGCTAACTCCCTGGAGATTGTAGTAATTAGGGTTTTGGGTAAGCCGTCTGTACATGAAAGTCCAAGTAAGATAATCGACAGCATCTTGTTTGTTCTCTACAACACCAGAGACAACTTCAGCGTTGAAATTATCGTGGAGGAAATGTTGAAAATGACTCTCTACTGGGAAGGCTTCGTAGAGGAATTTCTTGTAATACTCTTTCCGAGGCGCATGGCAAAAGATCACACATTTCCCCGAGTTATCGAGCAGAGGCCGACTAGCTCGGCCCATCATCTGGAGAAGATCGGAGACGGGATAATCAGAACGAGAGTTTTCCCTTCCGTCGTAGTACTGAGTCCCCATCACGACGACCAAGTGTGCCGTCAATGGTGTTCCCCAGCACAAGGAACTGCTCATAACACAGACCTGGATCCATCCAGCTTCAAAAAACTGAGTCACGACCTCTTGCTCCAAACCGGTTAATCCCTCGTGCAAATATCCGATCCCGTGGCGTAAAGCCTCCTTTAGGGTTTCCTCGTGGATTTTGCTCACAAACAACTCGAATTCTTCCGGTTTCTTCAACAGGAAATCGGGGTTCGTCAGATTGTCCATGGTCGAGTATGTCATCAGATCCACAGCGGTGAGGCGGACGTGTTTTCGGGTAGGAACGAAAATGATGGCAGGCTTTTTGTTCTTGGCGTGCTGGATAATAGCAGTATACGAGGGCTTAGTCATGGCCTGCATCCTCGCCTCGAAGTTCGCTATATCCACACCCTGAATGTGAATCTCGAGCGGGACAGGACGAACTCCCGGAGGGAAGTTGAAAAGACCATGAGAAGTGGCCCCGATCCATTCCCCGAGATCTTTCGCATTGGCGAGGGAAGTCGAGAGAGCGACGATCCGGATCTTGTTCTCGACCTGACTCGATATATATCTCATTCTTGAGACGATCACCTCCAAGACGTTGCCACCTTGACCCCCGATCAAGTGAAGTTCATCGACGATGAACAAACTAACGTGCTGAACGTATTTTCTCTGTTTCCACCTTCGGGAAAGAGCGTCCCACTTCTCCGGAGTACTGATGATTACCTGACCTTTCTCGAGTAGCTTCAGATCCAACGCTGTTTCCCCGGTTAACTCAACAACCCGCAAACCGAGCCCTTTGCCAAACTTCTTCTCCCAGTCACGGAACCGTTCCTTGGCGATGGCCTCGAGAGGTGCAATATAGACAACGCGCATTGTAGCATCGGGTCCCTCTTGATGATTCCTCAGTATAGCAAACTCTGCACATATAGTCTTCCCACTTCCCGTCGGGGCAGCGACTAAAACATTGTCGTTTGTGTTATACAGAACAGTGAATACCTGGGTCTGAACAGGATTGAAGTGCTTGAAGTCTCGATAAAGCGCCTCGTAAGACGGGTTTCTTAACGCTGTCACAGGAAGAGGTTGCAAGTCGAGCAGCTCGGTCGGCGGCGGATACTTTTCAGGCAGAATCAGATGCCTGAAAGACACAGGCAGCGCGGTCTGTGAACCGAGCCACTTGTCCGAAACCACTCGGATGAAATACTGAGGCGGCATTGGCTCAAAGATCGGGACAGTGAAACTCAGAGTATGGTCCTCATCGATGTACTGCTTTTTCAGAAGAAAGTACTCGTGATGGAGGATCTTTTCGCCGTCATTGTCTTCCACAAACACCCAGAACGGTTCGACGTATTTATGGATCCTGTCGTCCCACTGGAAATCAGGCGTAATCGTGAGCTCGACCTGTAATACCGTGCGAGTGATCGGCTGAACATGTGCAGCGAGATTCAATTTCGGGAACTGGTGGATGAACTTGTGAAGCGGTCTGCCCATTTTCGTATTACGAATAAGCTCCCCTAGCTCTTGCGAGGAAAGGTCATAATACCTCTCCCACGCCAAATCTTTCTTCTCCAACTTCATCAGAATATCATTTGGGATTCCATGGAATTGCCGGAGAGGTGTCTGGACACTCCACATCCTCTTTCCCACCATTTTAGACAAGTTCAGAGCTTTCTCAGCCAATTGAGCCCATCCTCGCTTCAAGACTATCTCAAAAAGAGCTCGTAGTAAACGTCCAGCACTCTAAATCGGAAAAAAAATAACACAAAATAAGCTAAGAAAACGATATAGGGAACTAATCAATTCAACTAATTGGCAAGAAAGATGTCGACTCGAAAAAGAGAATAAGGGACGAACCTGAGTGATGTAAACCATGTCGGATGTCAGAGAAAGCCCCTCCAGCTTCAGCTGCGAAATATAAGCCTGCAGCAGAACATTGATTTTTGCACTGGGCTCTTCTAGTGTTTCCTTGACAGGGATCGGAACACGATCCAAGAGCTTTGCCAGTTCCATCTTCTCGTCTTGGCGAACAGTCACATATTTGAACTCCTCGCTCAGTGAGAAAAGGCGGCAAAGCTCGATGTCACCCATTGTTGGCTTCAAATGCTCATTGTACGTAGATATGGTACCATGGGTTATGTAATAATAACTCGCAATACGTCCCAAATCGGTCACCTGGAAGTATCCACTCTTCCTGTCATATTTGACCAAGTTGTTCTTGTCCAAGATGGTGGCAGCAGAATGTATCTGAACAAAAGATGATGATTCAAGCAAAGCATTAGACATGAGCTCAACATCAATGGTTTGAGAAAAAACCCTAATTTCAGAGCACAGTTACTAAATAAACTGAAACTGATGCAAGCTTATGGAAAATAACGAACTTACCAGATCAGCCCTTCTCTCCTCGAGGGTTATATCTTTTGCAAGAGCATCAGGTGCTAAGCCATAGAGTGTCGGGTTTCGAACCATCCGGATATACAAATATGTATAGCCGAGCCAGTGGCAAGCCTCTCTAGCATTTTGAACGGTTCCAAGGACGATTTCAGCATTAAGCTGATCAGCGAGCTTTGAAATAAACTGGCTTTCGATGGGTAGTTGCTCATTCATCAAAGAGAGATAATATTGCAGCTCACCATGACCAGTGATGATTATACCCTCTCCATATTTATCGTACTGTGGTCTTCCCGCACGACCGAGCATCTGCATAACATCTAGAGGGCTCAGCTCCATCCACGCACCTTTTTCAGGATTATACACCTGGGTTCCTTTGATAATCACAGTATGAGCAGGCAGGTTCACTCCCCAGGCAAGAGTAGCTGTAGAAACCAAAACTTGAACATGCCCGTCAGCAAAAAGCTCCTCGACTAATTGGCGATCACCTCTTGTCAGTCCAGCATGATGAATTGCAAAACCGTATGGGAGAAGATCCTTCAAGTCATTGCTCTTGACAATATCGGTATGACTCTGGAGAATTTCGCGACTAGCACTATCTTCCCTCAAGAATCTGCTGAGAGTATCGTTGGCAAGAGCAGTGTCTCGTATCGCCCGGGCAGTTTTCGCAGTTTCCTTCCTTGAATGCACGAAAATAAGGACCTGGTGCTTTCCAGCAACGGCAATTACTTTCTCGTAACATATATCATTCATCAACTGGAACCTCTGCAAGGGCTTTCTCACAGTAATCCCAATATACTGCTGAGAGAGAGGCACAGGCCTGTAGCTGCTGTCAAATTTAAACAAACCCGCCTTAAGATCAACCCGCAAGAACAAGGCCACATCTTCATAATTTGGTAGAGTCGCCGATAAACCCACCAGACGAATATGATCCTTGGTGGTTTCAATCTGCCTAACTGTCCTAGCAACAATGCTTTCGAGCACAGGCCCTCTGTTGTCGTGAAGAAGGTGAATTTCATCAATTATCAGAAGTCTAACTAGCTGAGTATAAGTACGATCTCCGGATTTCCTGGTGATGATATCCCACTTCTCTGGTGTTGTTACGATTATTTGAGTCTCTTCAATCTCTTGCCGAGTAAGGGACTGATCCCCACTGAGTTCCTTCACAGTGACTCCATAATCCTTTAGACGGTTAGACAGATTACCAACTACCTCAGCAACAAGAGCTTTCATAGGTGCAACGTAGACAATCTTGTAATTCCCGTGGTTATATGTTCCATCTGGGTTCCTGTTCAATGCGAGCTGCTGCAGTATGGTGAGCACCGCAACATTGGTTTTCCCCGCACCAGTAGGGGCACATAGCAGAATGTTCTCTGCCTTAAACAGAGCAGTTTCATAAACCTTGCTCTGAACTCTGTTCAATTGCTGCATCCCCCTAAAAGCTGGTTGGGCCCAATCTGGCATATCAGATATCTTTACAAATTTCTCGTTACTACCCAATGGTTTTGGAGCCGCTGCCGGCACATGAACCTCTTCAAATCCCTTGCCTTGACGTTTGTAAGAACCACCAGGGAGTTCACATTTCTTATTCGCCATAAAGAGACCACCTTGTTGGAAAGACAGGTTCTCCAGGTCCAGCATCTGGCGCTGTCCTTTCAACCAATTACTCTCGAAATCTCTATCAGCAAGGTCTCTCCTTCCTCTGTCTCCATCTCCGCCGGTTTCATCCTTCAGCCTGCGGGCTTCTTCTCTAATACTTTTCTCCAGGTTCTTTTGCCTCTCCTTAGCGGTTGCTCTCGTTGCATGCAACTGCTCCACTATAGCAGCCGACTCTTGACCCAAATCCATCATTTCCTCCTCAATCTTCTTTCTTTCTTCCTGGCCTTCTGCCCTAGCCAGACGAGTGCACCACACGACTTTGAGACGATTCCGGAGCAGAAACTTGATAAGGTTAAACTTGTCATATTGAAGGTGGAAAAGCAGCTTGTTCTCCACCTCTCTATCATCTCCCTCGGCAAGAATCTTAAGCACTTCTTCGGCAAGTATCTGGCACTGCTGCGGATCGATCTGCTGTTCGAAAGCTTGGGATATCTTTCGCTGGAGCCAATATGCATCAACGTCCTGAACGTTAAGATTCATACCCTCATTTGCATCCCCAGCATCTTCATCATCAATGGCACCCATCTGCATTGCCCCAGATCTGTTAGGTTCTGCGACATCTTCATCCTCCTCATCGTCGTCCTCTTGGACCATATCAAGATCGCTTTCGTCATCTTCCTCTTCATTCTCTTCAAACTCAACAGCCACACCCACATCACCATCGAGCCCCCCGTCACCATTAGCACCGGAATCCCCGCCTTCTTGGTAATCAGTGATGATCTTCCCAATGTGAACAAGCTGGTCGAAAAACTGGTTAGGAACAGAATTCAACAACTTCTCGATCTCTTTCTTTTTATCTGGGTTTTTTATGGTCTCGTTCTTGAGAACGGCTAAAATCTCATCTGCGGCACTTCGAATGATATCTTGAGGCTGCCCACCCAGTTGCTGCTGAATAAGGCTAAGCATGGCCTCGTAAGCAGCCCTCGTCTCCTTAGTCTTTGGCTGGTAAAGCCCATCATCAGACATGTTCAGCACGCTCTCTTCTCCGAGCCGACGTTTCTTACTCTGCCGGGCAGGAGCAGCATCAGCCGCAGCATCACGCTCTTTCTTCTTAGATTTCTTAATCTTCTCGTCTAACTCCGGAGGCCTCCCTCTCGCAGTGCGATCCCCAAAGGATTTGGGATCGATCTTGCCCCAGAGGGTTTCCGGCTCTCCGGTCGGCTCATGGGTATCACGAGGACGCTGATCAGTGGTAAGAACAAGACTGGAATTTGCTCTGTACTCATACTGCTTGAACCTGGCATGCGCCTCCGCACCACCACCCAAGTTGGCCATCCCTAGATCTCAAAAATTCGAAATATCCGCAACAAAATACCTAGAAATAAACAGGAAGATGAAACGCGATGTTAAACTAAAACCTCCAAAATCAGCCAAATTCAATGAAACAAGTTAAAGAAAGGAACAGGAGAGAGAGAGAGCGCTTACGGGAACAGAACTGAAATGTCGACTTCTTCGTCCAAATCTCTGAAACCAAGCGATAAAAAACCTGAAAACCAAACGGGAACGAGGGACGCAACATTAGCCTAAGACCTTTACCAAAACATAGGGAGATTACAGCTGAAAACAAACAAAAAAAGCTCAAGCGGACCGAAAAATTTCGAGGAGAAAGATCCCGAAACCTTCTACATAAACCCTAAACAGCCAAACCCACGAAAATTAACAAAAAAAGGAAAAAAAGGGAAAAAGCTTACGGAAAAAGCTACGAGTAATCCGCTTCTTCCTTCGAGTCTCTGCAGAAATCGTCTTCTTCTTCTTCCACCGTCTGCCACTTTCTCTTCGTCTCCAGAAATGGATTTTGAGTCTTCTACACTGAATATAGAGAACTGAGAGGCTAAGCGGCGAGACAACCGACCCCGTTTTGTTTGATTTTTTTTCCTCACCAAAACGACACCGTATTAGAAATTAGGACCCAATGGGCTACTAAATTTGTATAAGGCCCAACGGGAAATCGTATAAGACACGTGGCGAGACCTGAAACGTAAGGATATTAAAGATATGTCAATATTATTTTCTTATAATTTAGAAAATCCGAAGCCGCTTTTTCTTCTTCTTTCTTCTTCTTCATGAATCTTCCAACGGTTAATTGATTCATTCATGGCTCTGAAGCCTTCGCTTTCCTCGAGTTCTTCTTCCTTCGTTGGCCTCGCATGGAGATTCACCGCTGCGCCTGGTCTCAGGATAGCGTCTTCAAGGTCCCTTTCGATTTGCAGAGCTTCATGGCAAGAGGTTTTGTTAATCTCTGTCTCTCTCTGTATCTATGATGAATCTTTCGTCTTTACTCTTTTTTTTGCTGCCGAACACCGGTTTCGATTTCCTTGCCGCTGTTGTAGCTCGCCGGCGTTCTGGTCTTCTCGGCGATTCCGTTCACGGCGGTCAAAGCCATCGCGAATAGCTCGTTGGGTGAATCTTTGAGACGGAGATTGGAGGAGAAGAAGAAAGAGGCAGTGGAGAATTCCTCCAGATTCAAGGCTCTCGCTCAGAAGGCTAGAAACGATAGGTAACAGTGATGCCTAGCCTGGCCCTTCAAGTTTTCCTCAGTGTTCTTACATTGAAAATTCAGGATTGCAACTACGGAATTGATGTTAAGAGGGGAATTTCTGTAGTATTCTGCGTGATAGGTTGATACTTTGAATCAGAAACGGATGCCCGGGTGAAATGAAGCGAAAACAGCAACTCTACGGTTCAAGATTTTAACTCGAATACTTTGTTTCCGAATGCGGCATGTGATGTGATGATAAAATTTCAAGGTCCATGGTTTTGAGATGTTTGAAAAGAATACTTCTTTGCTCACAAGATGTACAATCTGTTATCAGTAAAATATGGTATGAAACAAATGTATAAACCCATGATGTAAGCCTTCATTGGTGTATTCTTAAGATCCTTGAATTGTTTCCTTAAGAATGCAGCATGTGGTATGGAGAAGAACGCCCTCGATGGCTTGGTCCAATCCCATATGATTATCCTCCTCACCTTACCGGAGAACTACCCGGGGATTATGGTTTTGATATTGCAGGACTTGGAAAGGATCGTGCGAATTTTGACAAGTACTTTAAGTGAGTCTACTCCTTCCTACTTGTGCAGATGTTTGTCATTCTCTTGATGTTCTTTTGCTTTTACTAGTTTACTAAGATTGTCCTGCAAATTTGCTTGTTTGCCCTGCAAATCTACTGACATTCTCCATGGTCCATGAGAGAATTCAAGGACATGGACAAAATCCACTGGCTGTGAACTATCGTTAGCTCCCTATTGCTTTTGCAGCTTTGAAATTCTCCATGCCCGTTGGGCCATGCTTGCAGCACTTGGTGCTCTCATTCCAGAAGTATTCGATCTAGCTGGTGCTTTTCATTTCGCTGAACCTGTATGGTGGCGAGTTGGCTATTCTAAGCTTCAGGTCTTTACTACCGTCCCTCTCGATATGTAAATTCACTTGGTAAGTGAAGTTTTTATTGGCTAACTAACTTTATGTTTCTTACCAAAGGGAGAGACACTGGACTACCTCGGGATCCCGGGCCTCCATCTAGCTGGAAGCCAAGGCGTCATCGTTATCGCCATTTGCCAAGCACTCTTGATGGTAACAACTTTGAGATCTCCAATACACATACACTTCAACTCATTCACCAATATTCCTAAAGGAGCTTTCTTGTATAGTTTAGAACCTTTATCAAACTGTTTTATGAACCATGTTCGAAATCAACACCAATTCCTCTAAAACACCATGTTCTTGGTAGTAACAGCTTCAGGCGCCTTTTTCTAACTATTTACAATGTTTAGTCGCTTGAAATTTTTATTAGTCTTTTATGTTTTTATACCAAAATTGGCTAAAAGTGCCGTGTTAGAACCCTTGTTTCCCCTTAACGAAAGCTTATTAAGTTCTTATTTCTTGTTTTCAAGCAGGACATACCTTATTCTAACCAGATTCCAAAAGGAGCTTGCTTGTATAGTTTGGTTTGCTATATCAATGAACCATGTTTCGAATTCAACACAACAGCTCCTCTAAAAAAAATTTCTTTCCTCAAAAAACAGGTAGGACCCGAATACGCAAGATACTGCGGGATCGAGGCCTTAGAGCCGTTGGGAATATACTTGCCCGGAGACATAAACTATCCAGGAGGAGGGCTTTTCGACCCCCTAAACCTCTCGAGGGACCCAAGAGCTTTTGAAGATCTAAAGATTAAAGAGATTAAGAACGGGCGCTTAGCCATGGTAGCATGGCTCGGGTTTTACGCTCAAGCGGCTGTGACGGGTAAAGGTCCTGTTCAAAACCTTCTTGAACACATATCTGATCCGTTGCATAACAATATCCTTGCCATTCTCCATTTGTGAATAATCTGTTCATATTTTTCATAAACGTTAGAAGATCAAACTGTGTATTATGTATGATTCAAATGAAACCTTCTTTGATCTCACCCAGACTATACTCATTATCCTTGAGATCCAACCTATCCCAAATTGTCATCTTGTTTTAATTGGGGGTAGGGGTGACAATTTCGGGTTTCGGTTCGGTTATTTGGATTTAAAATAAAACTATGATCATTCGGTACTATTTTACCTCGGTTCGGTATCATTCTATTTTGGTTCTTCGGGTTCGGTTTTCATTGATAAAAAAAATGATAATTTCTCTTATTCAGTTTTTTCGATTCGGTTTTAAAAAGAAATCGTAATTATATCGAAATGAGTTCTGTTGCGATCACATGTGATTGGTTGCGATATTTGGTTATCAACAAAACTGACCACAGTAACTAAGCTGAAGTGAATTACTCTAACACGGATGTTATTCTCATCGAACGTAGTTTGGTTTGGTTTGGTTTTTGTTGGAATCTTGTCTTTATTTATCTGAATCTGAACTGAAAATCTTACAAAAACGATAAATCAAATAAAATCCTATTATATGCAGCCTGAAATTTTCAAGATTCTTCATTTAGCGTTTGTAGCCATATGAAATTCATGCATGTGACGATTGGAATTTCATTACGTTTTCAAGCATAGGACAACAAAGAATGCTGCCCAATCGAATTCGAAATTATTATCGAATCTAGGTTATTGGTATTAGAATCATAATTCATCTTTAAAACTATTTTTTTTAAGTTATGATATATCCGTTATATTGATTTTTTTTTATATAAACCAAAATCAAATCCATAAAATTCGTCACAATCTTTTGAGTTTGATTTTTTTTTAAAATTATTTTATTTTATTAACATTTACATTGAATATTGATTACATATTTTTTTTTAATAGATAAAACATCATCGTTTTTTAATTCAATGGATATTTATTTTAATTTTTATATTTTTTTTGCTATTTTAACAAGTGAAAATTATAATCTTTTTATTGTTTAATATGGTTAACAATAATTAATATATATATATATATATATATATATATATATATATTCATTTTTTTTTCCGTCAATCGTGTGGACCGTGTCGACATGATGTACATGGAGATTTAAAATAGAGACGACGGTGGTTGATTTCTTTGAATGTGAGAGATTGATTGAGAGTGAAGAAGGAGCCAACATGCATGCATGAGCATGAATCTGTTCCATGTGAGAGGCAAAACAACCTCTAACGCAATTTCAGCGATCCATGTGATAACTTATTTTAAATACGACAATTCCCTCCTGGCGTATTAAATTCCAACTCCCTCTTTAATTAATACTATATTATATATATATATACACACACACATATATATACATACATATACCCATGAGCTTTAGAATTTAGAACAAATCAATTTAAAATTCAAAACTAGCCAATTGAGTTGTTAGGTTAAAGCAATTGATGTAATTAAGGTTTAGAGAGATTAGTTATGAAAAATTAGACAATATAAGTTTTTTTTTTACAATTATATTGTTGAGTTTATGGAATTAATATTGTTAAATGGGTATGGGTTTAGAAATTTCCAATTTATAGGATAAACAATCTCATATTTTTTAGAATTTAATTAATGAGAAAAATTAATTAAATCTAAACAATAAAAATCCTAACTAACTCACCACCTAATCAAATCCAATAATGTTTGTTTTTATTGGTTTTAAAAGCAACAAGCTTCTAGAATTTTAAAGTGCGTAATTTTGGCCTTTTTATGTTCAAGACTCAAATAAACTTGGGGAAAGGTACTTAATTTCTTGAAAAATGGTCGCTTAAGAAAATTAATTATGGTTAATTAACTTGTGTTAGTGTAAGTAGATCATGTGCTTGTCACGTGCAATAGAAAAAAAAATAGTAAAAGGCTAAAAGGCCCTTGAGGTTCTTCTACGCAAGAAACATTGTTGACAAAGAGGACAAAAAATTTATTAAAAAAAATAATAAAAAAATCAATGGATAAAGATGCCAAACATTTTAAATCATGTGATTTTTAGGATCCGGGCATCTTAAATAGTTCATGGGACGGATCTGGAAAAAGTTAATGAACCGTGGGATTACAAAAAATTTACTTTTTTCAAAAAAATTATAACAGGAACATTAGAAAATATCATCGCACATTTATTAGATAATTAAATAAAATAAAAGTTATATATTACATATATATATGTGAAAAATATTTTTCATCGTTTTTTTTGGTTAAAAAAATAAACTGATGGGTTTTTCTTTATATAAAAAAATATGATTAAGGTAAAAATACAATTTTGTCTAAAGCCTAATCTTAACTTCTAGTCAAAGATAAAGACGATTTAATGAATTGCAATTGAATATGGATTCTAATTAACTAAGATCATGAAAAAAGGAATCTTTAATATTTTCACCAAAAAAAGTTTCCGTGTGAAATTAGCCAGCCTAATCTCTTTTATTATAATATATGTAATGTTCGTATTTAATTTACTATGACCTCATTGAGAGTTCATGAAGCCTTTTAATGAGCATACTCAGCATAGGGCTTGTATAAATCAACTATCATAATACATAACTGAATAATATCGTAAACACTTTCGATTTTTTGCTTGTAATAATATTTTTCACCGTAAAAAAAAATAATATTTTCACCGTTTTGGAATTTTATTTAGGAATAAATAAAAATAAATAAATTTGTCAACACAACGAGAGGATTGGTCGAGAGAAGGTCATGAAGTTGCCGAATTGTTTTAAAAAAAAATACTGAATTTAAATGAAATCCGAATAAAAATCAAATATCTAATCGAAAAAAAAAAATTTAATTAAATCAAATGCAAATCAAAATTCACAATGATCCCCGCCATTATATGTAACATTGCTACGACGTGTAAGTGGGTGGGATCTCACCATTTCTTCTCTTCGCTACTTTTAATAAATTTTCCCACGTTTCAAATGTTTAAAAAACCTAAAAATGTTCAAGAAAATTTATCTACGGGTATGTATATGTATATATATATATATATATATATATATATATATGTGCCGTGACGACACGACGCGATCATTCACGAAAGTTTTTCACTTATTTAAAGCATATTATATATATTAGTTGTAAACAAAATTCGTCGTTCTATTTATTTAGAAAATTCAGTGAGATTCCTCCTCTCTAATCAATTTCAAGTGATGATTACCTTTCCCCGTGAACGCGTTATTATAAAAAAAACACATCATCATCATCATCACCATCATCCATGATCATTCGGTTTTTACGTTGGATTCGGTTCGATTATAGTTCGGGTTCAGTTCGGTTATGATAAAAATATTCGTTTTTAAAGAAATTTATAATTTTCCGATTTTTTTATTCGGTTCAATTCAAGTTCGGATCATTTTTTTCAGTTTCAGAAAAATCATAATCATCGGGTTTCATGTTGAATTCGGTTCTGTTATAATAAAAATACTCATTTTTTTAAAATACATTACGATTTTTTCGGTTATTCTTTTATGTGATTCGGTTCGAACTCATATTCGGTTTTTTCGGTTTTAAAAAATTAAAACTATTCGATTTTATATATAATTCAGTTCAATTACGATGATATGTTTGTTATTCGTTTTAGATCGATTCGATTATTAACTATATTATTTGGCTGTAACCATTTTTTTTCATGTCATGTGCATATTCCAATATATATAATGAATAAAAAATATTATATTTTTTTTATATAATGCGTGTTTGCAATTTGTTTGTAACCCAAATTACGGATGTAACTCCATAGCCTTCACTCTTACAACAATAAAGATTGTTCCTAGAAATGTTTTTTTTTCCTTAAATATTTAATATTAAAAATATTAAAAATAAATATAGAATAGCTACAACTATATGATGTCGGTGGTATAACCGATGGAAAAGGACAGTATATATGGGAAACAAATATGCAAGATAATTTTTGCATGTTGATCAAATAAAATAATATATAATATGAAGTCAATGAAAATTTTCGTATTTTTTTTGTTATTTTATGAGGTGGGTAGGTAATATTTTCGTGTTTTTTTTAATTGTATAATGCATGGTTGACGTTTAAAAAAAAACAAATGATGAAAGAATATGCACTTATTCGTAAAATCATGTTGCAAAAAATGAAAATACGTAAATCGTCTTATATAATTGATATGGGTTTTTTAAATCCCGAGAATGTACTATATTATATATTGATATATCATCGTATAATACTTCATTGACGTTTTAACTTTTTTTCCAAATATTAAAAAGTCATATATACTCTTATTTAACAGTTAGAATATAATTAATATTCATCAGATTTTGATGATAAAACGTTGAGTTTATTGAAATTGGATAGTTTTAATTAAGATTAAAATTGAGGATTATTTTAAAATATTAACTAAAAAATATAAAATGATACAAAAAGTATTGTCTATAATGTCAACTATTAAAAAAATTCAAATATCGACTCGAATAACATTTCGAATAAAAGTAATAAATCAACGTTACCAATAAATACGAAAAAAAAATCGAGATATATTAAATTAATAAATAAATTTAATGAGAAAGATACAAATACATTTGAATGTGAAAGGAGGAAAAGTGGGATTAGTTTTCCAAGAAATTAAGCAAAGCACCCATGATTAAGAAGAAGGCTGATTGGGTTACATTAGTTTATAGTGATGATTAGATGAAATTAGATGCGATTTAGATGGCATTAGAGATGCAATAATACGATTTTTCAATGCAAACAAAAAACAGTGATGACGTGGATGAGATACGGCGAGACGACGTCGTTTTCTGTCAATCATTAAAGTGGAGTTCCGTTTTAGAAAAATGGGACCCACTTTTCATCACGCTCTTATAAAATAAAATATGATATATAAATTACTAGTTAAAAAATAAAGTTACAGATTCAGTTAATAATTGAGATCGAAATTGAAACATATATATTAACACATAATTATAACTAAATTTAATTTGATTTTTAAATAAAATTGTATACAAAATAAAATAAAAATAAAACGAATAAAATATAATGAATTTTTTTAATTTAAATTAAATTCTGAAATGAATAAACTCGAAATATCTGTATTTTATGGAGATCCAAGTTTTCTTTTAGAAGATAAGATATTAAAAGACTAAATTTTATAAGTAATTAGTGTATGTGTATACGTAATATATATATATATATATATATATATATATATAAAATATATGTAGCATCGTATTCACATTAAATAATTAGCAATTTCAACTAATTGACACAATTACTTTTTATCCAATAAAATATATTAAACTCAAAAGTAAAAAAGATTGGGAATCTTGAGGAGATATTACAGTTTGTAGAGAGATAAGGGAAAATCAATCTCGAGATTTTTTTTTTTGTAAATCCATTAAAACTGTTATTTGGAAGAGATAAAACCAAAAAAAAAATCACCAATTTCGGATTTTTTTTGCTTGAAATAAAAAAAATGCGGAGATTTTAATTAGAGTTCAAATGTGAAACGAGGAGCCCCTTATTATTCATCGAGAAGAAGACTATTTTCTCATCTCTGTGTTCCCTCCCCGAGCCAGCTGTTCTCTCTCTCTCTCTCTCTCTCTCTCTCTCTCTCTCTATAACCACTCGGAATCTTCATCCGTAATCGCCGGCATTGTCCTCACCGCCGATCCGACGTTCTCTGGTCTCGCTGTCGCCGGGGCAACCCGATCTCGAGGTAAGTCGAATTGGATATCCCGGAATTTCTTCGATCTCCGTTCACGGCGTTTTTGTTTTCGTTCCCTGTCGGTGGCGGTGGTGTTTTTTTCTATTTTTGGAAATTTGTGCTAGATTTGGTTGTAATTGCGTTTGATCTGGTTTCTACGATCGCGTATTGGTAGTTATCTGTTTGTGATCCGTCGGTGGGAAGCTGTAAGAATGATTGCGGAGGTGGAGAGACTTCAAGGGGAGCTGCCCTCGAAGGTTGAAAACGGGAATGTGGATGAGGAAAAGCAGGATATAGTAGGTTCGGGTCCGAATCAGGACGTGGCCAATGGGATCAGCCATGGCGGCAATGACAACGGCAATGGCAATGGCAATTGCAATGGCGACGACAAGGAGGAGACCGACGGTTCCTACGTTTTCGTGACGGAGAACGATACTGTCGGTGATGATCATCCTGAGGAGTCTGACTCGAACCCTCACAGCATGTGTGATGTTGATAGGCCTTCGGATTCTAATGTTGAGAAAAGCGGAGATGGGGTTGCGAAGGGACAGAATGGGAATTCTGTGGAGCAGAAGATGGAGAATGGAAGACCCGTTGATCCCTCTGTCGAGGTTGCCCTGGAGAGTAATGCCATGGCAGAGCCTGAGCCAGGAATGGCCGATGATGGATTGGTTGAAGCTGTTGCAGAGATCACAAAGTCAGAAATTGGGGAAAGAGAAAAGTTGGAATCTACAGAGGAAGTGGATCATGTTCTAGATTCTGAAGTCGAACCCTCGGGTTTGCAGGAGACACCTGAAGAGCAAATCAACTCGAATGGGATAGATGTGGAGGGAGATCAGGGGAATAAGATTGAAGGGCAAGACAAATCTGATATGGATGTTGAGCAACCAGTTGAGATGAACGATGGAAGGGAGTCAACATTGGTCAGTGATGAGACATCTCTAGATGATCCTATGAGTTTTGAACGATCTAACCAAACAGATTCAGGTTATACCTTCAATGTATCTGAATCTGTCATTGGATCAGAGTCCACAGCTGTTGCAGAACCTCTTTCTATTGAAAGAGGTAACAGCCCAATAGAGTCTGACGCAGTAAAAGGTTCTGCTTCTGACGAAAACGGTGATGTTCAAATGGTCCCGGAGGCAGAAAAAGGCCAATCTTCTCATGATGCAGATGCTGCTACCGAGGTTGGTGTCCCAAATGCAAATGGTGATGCTGAGGTAGAGACTCAAACTCATACTGTCCCCAGCTTGGATGAAGATGCCAGCAAGCGATCAGAATCTCGGGTTCTTGAAGTTCACGATTCTGTTTCTGACGAAGGAGCCGAGTTAGAGCTTGAGGCTATTGATATTCCTGCTTCTGATGAAAGGAGTGACATTGTTGGCCTCGTAGAAGACAATGTTTCAGGTACTGCTATTGCTGATGATGACTTGTCTTGTACTAACCAGCAGGAACCTGAACATGATGGGAAACCTGAGCTGGTCGAAACCTTGGGGAGTGATGCTGACGAGGTCTGCCAAATCACGGACAAGGAAGCTGAAAGCTCGCCTGCAAGTGAGAGAAGTGAATTGCACATTGAGGATAAGCCATTAGGTGGAATGGATTCCGAAACCACGGCCTCTGAATTGGCTGAAAAATCTGTGAATGTAGCATCTGATGAAATGGATGTTTCTGCATCTGAACCTGAAGCTGCCCAATCGGGTGAAACATGCGGTGAACCACACGTCGATTCTCCCATTCCCGAACACGGTAAGGTAGACACAGAAGCCGAGAATAATTCAAACGTGAATGGTATTGAGGAAACTCCAGAGGATGTCAGTGAGGATACAATAACCGAAGAATTTCGTGAGGCAGAGCCGTCAAACATCAAAGAAAGCTCGTCGAGGAATGCTGCTGAAGAAGCCGAGCCAGGTACCGAGAGCTTTTATAATACAGAATTTCCTCTTCTGTCCAGTTGTAAGGTAAAGCCAGGCGATCCCAAGGGGAAAGAAAACAAGCCAAGTTGGGCAACTGTCTTTCTTACATCAAAAGCCAAGACCGTTGTCCGGAATCTTGAACCTGAAGTGACTGTATCTACTGATACCAAGCATACCGGAAATGAAAATTTGACTTCAGAAGCAGTAGCTGACGGTGCAGAAGACAGAGGAGGAGGCGATGTAATTGATGATGGAAGTAAGACCAGTATTTCTGCTGTAGATGAGAAACCTGGAGTTGATGTTCAATCTGAATCGAGATGTACAGCCGACACTGCTGATGATGCAACAGATGCTAAAGTTGCTTCAGCCTGTGAGGACAGTGATGGGCAATCGGTGAATCTCCACGTAAATGGAGGAACTCCGAAGGATCATCAAGCTTCGGCATCTTCCGGAGAAGTTTCTGCAGTCAAAGCTTCTGAAGGGCATGCTGTAGTTGCAGAGATAGAGAGAAAGCAATTTTACTTTCTGCCTAAGGTTCCAAGATACGTCGATGAAAAGTTAGCAGAGCAACTCAGGCTTGCTGAGGCACAAGTTGATCAGAATACGCAAACCCGAGATGCTATCGGATCTGAAATCCAGAATATCAAGGTAAGAGTTGCTTCTTAGAATTCCTTAAAATTCGTGGCTATCTTGTCTTAACATGTGTTCCAATGGTTTTATGTCTATAGGTGACTTGCAATGAGTATGATGCCGTTTTCAAGGCAGCCATTGCAGAAGAGAAATCTGCAAGAAAAGCACTGCAAGCGAAACGGCAGGAAATTGAATCGCTTCAGTCTGTCATTAACCGGGTTAAGAGTGCGGTTTCAGTTGATGATATTGATTCGAAGGTGAGAATCACTTTTGTCAAACTTCCATATCAGTTTTCGTCAAATCTTCTGTTCACCAAACATTATTTTTCCTGATCTACTTTCATTTTTTGCTGCTTCCAATCAGATACGTAACATGGAACACATGATACAACACGAAACTTTACCCCTGAACGAAGAGAAGCGACTGATCCGTGAGATAAAGCAGCAGAAGCAGCTCCGTGATCAGATTTCTTCTAACATGGGTACACAGGATGAAGTTCGACAGGCATTAGATGACAAAGAGAAAACCGAAGAACTCTTAAAGGTAGAGACTTTCATTCAAATTGATATGACCCATTTCGTGAGATGATTCTAATGACTAGCATCAGGATTTTTTATTATTAGGTTGATCTGTTAGGTTATCTCGGTTCCTGGATATCAAGCTGGATTGTTAAAAGAAACCATTTTTTTTCGTGGGTAATAACAGGCATTCAGGAAGGAACTAGACATGCTGAGAAATGATCTCTCGAAAGCGGAAGCAGTGACAAAAGCTGCTCGGAAAAGGCGTGACGAGGAATGGGAAAGGCAGAGCAAACTGCGAGAACAGTTCACAGCAGCTGATTCGGTTCGCCAAGATTCATACGTTCTGCTACAGGGTTTGAAGAAACAGCTAAGAGAAAAGGTAACAACCTTAACCTGACGGCCTCGGAGCCCCAACTTACAAATGTGGATGGACATTCATCATTCTCGTTAATCCAAATCTTTGCAGAACAAATATTTCTTCAAGTACAGAGATGATTTGAAAGCTGCTACAGAAATGGCTTTGAAGAAAGACAGAGAGGCCCTTCAGAGCTTTTGTCTTGATCAGGTAACACAAGAAAATCCCATATCAATACATGTTAAAAGTTTAAACGTTATTAGAAAAAATTCATGAATTTTGAAACGTCGGGTTATACGTCTGTATTTAGTAAATTGGCAGGATTTGATAGATTGCTGTATTTATCTGGTAAGTTTCAAAATTCATGTATTTTATGATAATATTTTAACAAAACAGTGTATCTAAATGAATTTTTTCCGTTATATTATCAAACCACTCGGATCTCGGTTCTGAACTCGTTATTCTTTTTAAAAGGTGGAGGCGTTCATGAATCTCTGGAACGACGACGAGGAGTTCCGTACATACTACATCAGATGCAACACAAGGAGCACGTTGAGAAGACTAGGAACCCTAGATGGCCGATCTCTTGGCCCCGATGAGGAGCCGACTCAAATCCCTCGTCCGACAAGTGAAAGAGCTTCAAACCTCGGAAACGAGAAGCGTGAAAGCATTCCTCCAGCTTCAGCCCAACAAGAGAAGGCCACTCGTTTCGAAGATGCGAAGGCCGAGAACACTAAGGTCCTGACCAAACCCGCTGAGCAAAAGAATCAGAGTAAGAAACCCGCCAAGTCCAGGCCTCTACCGGGTGGAATAGAATCAGTTTCTAGCAGGAGAGAGGAGGAGGAAGAGTCGGAAACGGAAACGGAAGAGAAGATTAAGTTAACGAAAGAGGAGGAAGAGAGGTTAAGGAAGGCGGAGGAGAAGAGAAAGGCGGAGGAAGCTGAGAAGATGAAGGAGAAACGTCGGTTAGAAGAGATCGAAAAAGCTAAAGAGGCAATGGAGAGGAAGAAGAAGAGAGAAGAGAAAGCTAAAGCAAGAGCTGCCTTGAGGGCTCAGAAGGAAGCCGAAGAAAAAGAAAAGGTCCAAAAACCAAATTCCCGTTTTTTAACATTCTCTTACTGTTTCAACGAAAGAATTCATCATCGAGTTAACGTTCTTATTCTTCTCTGCACAGGAACGGGAAAAGAAGCTGCGAAAGAAGGAGAGAAAGGCGGAAGAGACGACCATTCAATCTCCAGAGAATGCACTTCCAGCTTCAGAGGCTCAACCCGAGATCCCGAAGGAGATCGAATCATCGGAAAAACAGATTTCTGCGGCAAACCCGTCGAAGAAATCACGGAAACAATCAAAATTCGTCAAGAAAAACAAATCAAAATCGATTCCGCCTCCGCCTCCACCTCTGAGAAACCGAAGCAGCAGCAAGAGAAGGCTGAGGCAGTACATGTGGATAGCCCTCGTGGCTCTGGTGGTATTGGCATTGTTCCTTCTCGGTAACGCAAATCTCTCCTCTCCCGCCAATCTCTGGTTCCTTATATAAATCAGTTTCCTTTTTTGCAACATTGGCCTTTTTTTTTGCTCACTTCCTCGTCAGGTTTCTCTTTCCAAACTCTTTATTATCTATTAGCTAGCTGGGTATTTTCATTATGGGTGTTTTTTTTTTTTCAAAGTGGGGAGGTTTGATTCTTTCATTCACACAAGACGGATATATATTGGTTTTATTGGTTTATCCCACAAAGACCATATTATTTATATATATATATATGAGCGTTACCAACTTTTAATAGCTGTGGATGTTTTGTTACGGTTTCTCATAACCAATACCGTTTTTGAATTGAGTTGTCCAAAATTTTTTAATGGTAATTTTTAGAGAAACGGATTTCTTGAAATCGATATAAATCGAATTTTTAAAAACTTTGAAAACCCGAATTTGAAAAAAAAAACAAATTTTTCTTAATAGAAATCGAATCCAATCGAACTGAATATGATATAATAACCAATTAATATATATTTTTATAGAACCGAATTGAATAATAACCGAACCCGAATTGAATACCGAAACGTTTAGCACTAATTTTGAATATATTGTCCGCTTACCATATCAGGATTTAAAAGGTTTTACGCTATTGTATTTTTTACATCATTCTACCGATATTCAAAACTCGAATATCCAATCTTCGAAATGGGTACTGATAGTCCGACCAAAAAATCCAAAAACAATATAGATCAAAATATAAAAAAAAACATCGAAAAATTCAATATCGTAATAACTATTTTTAACAGAAGTGTAAATAAGATATGTCGGAGAAAGATATCACTTGATACCTATTTACTTCATCCATATCCGTATCGTTGTCTATATGATTATTAAATAGAGTAACAATTGTGTTATTTTAAAATCATTGAAAACGGTTATCATCATTACCCATCTTTGTCAAATAATGTATGAAACAATAATGTTATGTTTTGGACCCTTTGGACTTTGAATTAGTCGTTGAATTCTCTTTCATGTTCACACAAAACAAACAAAAAAGAAAAAAAGAAAAGTATTTAGGGTATATAATATATATATATATATACGAATTAGACATAATTATGAAATTTGCAATAACGACTTGCGATGATTCGGAAGAAATTAAAGTATTCATGTATTAATATGTCAAATTAATAATTCATGTATTTTTATGGTATATTTCATAAAATTCATGCATTTTTCTGTGCTTTTATTTGATTATTACATAGATAAATATTAAATAGTAAAATCTAAATTCTATAACGAAAATTTCAACATCGCCCAATTGGAAAATCTTGAGAAGTCTCGTCAACTCTGCTCATAAAAAAATATTTCACCAAAAAAAAAACTCTGCTCATAAATATATTTATAAAAAAAAACATATACATAAACACACGTTTTAATTACCATATATAGATACATATATATATGTGTATATGTATACGTGGAGGAGTGAATGCATGTGAACCCACTATTGTTATGGATTAGACTTCTCGTGGTGCCCTCCTGCCTTTGTACGGACGTTCCCATCTCTCTCTCTCTCTCTCTCTCTCTCTCTCTCTCTCTCTCTCTCTCTCTCTCTCTTTTTCAACTACTCCACGTACGTACGTAACGTAGCCCATGGTTTTACCCCCACAGTAATATATATATAATTACGTATTGGTGACGTAAACATGAGGGTGAAAGTACGAAGATTAGATACAGTGTAGTCATGTATAGGTTTAACCCAAAAGAGTCATAGTTTAACTCATTTCCTTTTTCCTCTTTTTATTATTTAAATATATATATTTATAATAGTTATGACATCTACAAAAAATAATTACGTTATCTGAAAAATAATAAATGAGTTAATATGCATGCTGCCTAATCCTATATTTTAACTGAATTCGAGAAATTGGAAAGATCTAACGTGAGGGTGGTTGTGTTTTTGTCCCAAAATGTTAGGGTGAAATTGACAATATCTCCCCTCTCTCTCTCTCTCTCTCTCTCTCTCTCTCTCTCTCTCTCTCTCTCTCTCTCTCTTTTTCAACTACTCCACGTACGTACGTAACGTAGCCCATGGTTTTACCCCCACAGTAATATATATATAATTACGTATTGGTGACGTAAACATGAGGGTGAAAGTACGAAGATTAGATACAGTGTAGTCATGTATAGGTTTAACCCAAAAGAGTCATAGTTTAACTCATTTCCTTTTTCCTCTTTTTATTATTTAAATATATATATTTATAATAGTTATGACATCTACAAAAAATAATTACGTTATCTGAAAAATAATAAATGAGTTAATATGCATGCTGCCTAATCCTATATTTTAACTGAATTCGAGAAATTGGAAAGATCTAACGTGAGGGTGGTTGTGTTTTTGTCCCAAAATGTTAGGGTGAAATTGACAATATGATAGATTCTGTCCGCGTTTACAAATCTCCATGACAAAAAAATATCTAATTGAATATCCTATTTAAAAATATCTAAATTATATATTAAATACATTTGTCAAATAAATATTTAAATTGTTTTGGATGAAATCAATAAGAATAATATAAATATATGATTAATTTACGCAATATAACTAAGTATATAATATAAAGAGTGCACTCAAAAGTCTAGGATAAATAAAGCAAAATAAAAAAATAAAAATAAATGGATTAGGACTATGGAAAATGGGATTGTACATTGTATGTAGCTCACGACCACATTCAATTAATGAACCAAAGGCCAACAACAGTCCAAACTATAAAATTCAAACTTTGTACTTACAATACTTTAATGCTTTTTACCTTACGCGATTCATTTCATAATTTTTTTTGTCATTTTCAATATATATATATATATATATATCAATGGATATGTATCGACGAATACTCTTCAACACCCAAATCAATTCCAAATAGATCTAGGATCCTGATATGTAAACAAATTTTGCAATCTCTCAAATTTTAAAATAATAATATTTGAGTTTAATATTTGGAAAACCATCCGGCACTTTTAAATTTAATAATTAAGTTTTTCATATTCAATTTGTAAAATAATGTTTTTTTATTATTCATAATCGAATGAATAGATATTGGAGTTTTATTTATTCGATTTATTTACTTTTTATTTTTTAAAAATTAGATCCTTTTTTAATTTTATTACGTCTTCATTTAAATATGGGTCCAAATTCGACTCACTCATTAAAAATAAAAGTTTGGACACTTTCTATCACTTATTCATATTTAATATAATCAAATATATTGGATTTAGTTGAATATATATACATATATATAAGTAAACATTAATAGATAATTCTAATTTTGCCCGTTTCTCGTGGGTTGAAACATGTTGCATGAGGATTTTTTTGAGATTAGCATCAATAAGTTGCATGTTTAAAATTTTGGACCACCATGTGACATGTTACTCTATTCTCTTCTTTTCTTTTTTTAAATCACGTTTCATTCTCTTATTTAAAACAAAATTTATTCATTATGTTTTAAGTGATTTAAAATATTAGCCAATTAATAGTCTTCTTACTCAATTTAAATCCCTATTTGCACCAATTCTAATATAATTTTGTTGGTTATAATGAAGACATGGTAGATACGTAAATATCAAATCAAATATTATTTTTTTTTGTATGTATCCAATGATGATTCAGAAGATGCCTATATGATTACTGCAGGATATATGATGAAACCAAATATTCAAATTTTAAATATTTTTTTTTTCGACAATTTATAAAAACACGTTCGTTGATGATTATGAAATTAAAGAGATACATTAAATAGTTCATATCAGCAAAATTATAACTTTTTTTTTATTGAAAGTAGTTAAGTTTATCAATTTAGTTGTATGAATTTATTAGTTTAATAAGAAAATAATAGATTTCATATAATTATTAAAAGCAGACATTTTTATAAATTGTTACATAGTTCTGATTATGATTATTTATATTCGTTCGTATGAGTTGATGATAATAAGGTCACTATATATACGGTATATCTACGTTCTGTTCGATTCCTAATTCTTTTTTCGTTATAAATAGTCTGTTTGACTTCATGTTTTCTTTTTAATTTATAATTCCTTATTCTAAAAGATAATAATTATATACTTAATTACATATATATTTATATATATATATATATATATATATATATATATATATATATATATATATATATATATATATACGAGACATGTTTTTATTCCACAAGTGTTAGAAAGAGATTGTGTCGGCCAACACACTAAATACGTCGTTTTAGTTATATGTCTTCTAACAAATAATGCAACCCTGAAATTATTTAGGGTATATTTCTAAATAATAATAATAATGTTGAACCCACTATTTATGTAATAATGTAAAACGACATCGTTTTCTAAATCCAAGAATCATAATCTTTTGTAATTGTAATCAATAAATATTGATTGGAATTATTAGCATATGATATGATGGAACTTTTTTCTGCTATGATCAATTCAAACCGGACATGTCGTTTTCTGGGTCCATTAAGAAATGCATCGACTACCACGTACCAATAACTTATTATATTGTTATAATATATTTATACTAATAAATTAGTTTAAATTATTTAAATATTTATATATATATATATAAATAAATAATATCAATTTTATATGTAATTCAAATGAAAAACAAATCAATATATCTATTTCTAAGGACTATTAGTATTTTTAATGATGAACTTTTCTAAGTTAATATATAAAAAAGATTTTATTGTTTTTACAAGTTAAAATATTTATATATATTTTTTTATTAAGAGTGTAAAAATTGCTTATGTTTTAGGGATTATGGTATTTCAAACTTCATAATTTTTTTTAATTTAGGTCAACAATTTATTAAGATAATGTGTGTTTTGATTTGTATCTATTTTCTTTATTTATATTCATACTTTGTTCTTATTGGATTTTAATATTATTATTTAGAATCGAATATTTTAATATTCATTTGAAACATTTGTTACCAAATATTTACTAATTCACATTCTACAACCTAATATATTATATGTATCGAGAAATTTTGGTTTAAGATTTTAGAATATCCAATTTTCATATTCGAAATATATTTATTAAAAGTTCAAAAGATATTTAAGGACAATCAACAAAACTAAATGAACACTACTATCCTAGATAAAATATAATTAGTTGTGTAAAAAAATTAAATAAATCATGGATTTAAATGCATTTATGAATATTATAAAATAAAAATGTTTAAGATTTTAAATGGTATCATTTAAATAATGATTAAAAACACTACATTTCCAAAGTACATAATTTTTTTTTTTGTGAAAGTAAAAACAATATTATTATTTTAGATATTTTAGATATAAACAGATGATGTTTTTAAATACCTTCTCCAAATATAAGGGCAGTGCAAACTGGAAACAGTAAAGAAAGTGTGGTCCAAATCCGTACGAAATCACAGCTGTTTCCCTTTCACTCCCATTCCCCACTTTTCTTTTCTTTTTTTTTTTTCCCATTTTTATCATTTTACATTGTATAATAAATTTTGCATATAATAATGTATCATTTATTATTAATAAATTAAGTAGTAACAATCCAATCGTAATAATATTTTTAATTGATTTCTTATTCTATCAATCTTGAAATTATATAACTGGAGTTGATTCACCGAATATGTATTTATGGGGTGTTATAATTATGAAGACAACTCATTTAGAAAATATTAAAAAATATATTAATTTTGTCGTACGACGTCGTTTTCGAGAGATTGGGTGATATTGCACGCGCGTGGGAGGCGACAGAACCGTACGTGGGAGATGTGGGGCTCTACAGGGGTGTTTACGTAATTTTATTGAAGAGATAAGGGTAGTTTCGTCTTTTCCAAAGCAGACCAGTCTCGGGTGGCATGTTGTGCCGCCCTTTCGTGTTGACGACGACTCTCCAAGCGAACCAAATTTCGGAAATAAATATTTTTTTTTAAAGTAAATGTTTTGATCTTCGTTCAATTAGAAATCTATATATATTTGTCGGAATTTGATTATTTTGTCTTAAATACATAATAGGATTTCCGTTTTCAATGTCAAATTATAAAATATCATATCTTCATTTTAATTCAGTCCAAAATGTGATTGTTTTATATTATTAATATTTTAAAAATATCTGAGGTTTCCAGAAAAAGAGATAAATATATATTGTTGGGATAAAAAAAATAAAATTTGTGAAAATGAGAAGAAAGTTGCAATGTTGAGTTTAGAAAATACATGTTTTCGGAATTTAGATGCTAGAACGCAAGGAATAAAATGTTATATGATGAATATATATTTTAGAATATTTATAGAATAATCCAACATGTTAGTTATTAAATAAATTTGTGTTTATTAATATAATAAAATAAATCACATGTTGTTGTCCATGATTTTTATTTGGAACAACAATGGTAACAATGCCAAATCATAACCTTATATAATTAGGAAACAAAGTAATAAGGTCCTTATAAAATTAATACTAAATAAAGTTTGTAGATTATTTTTTAGTATCATCGTTTTTAAGAGACTATGCTTTATTACAACATGGTTGAATATTTTCATTATTATTGCTATTATTGTTAGAGTTGGGAAGAAATATAATGTTTAACGATTTGAACTTTAATCCAATTTTTATATTTCTCAAATAAAATTTTCTTTTTAATAATATATTATAGTTATATGTCTTGTGGGTAAAAGTGTATTTACTATTTCTAATCTCAAAAATATATTTCACCATTTAAGATATTTTTAAAAAGAGAATTTAAATAATAGAAATAGTTGTATATAATAAAAAATCGATTTCAACTAACTTAAATATTATACAATTATCTTTAAATATAGTTTGATCTAAAAATTAATAGAAATAAATTTTGTAATTTGATTAGTCAAGTGTAAACTATATTTTAAGTGAAAATAAAAGTAAAATTTTAATATATAGAAAATAAATATTTTAAAAAAATAACATGAACCAAATTTGAATAAAATATGAATATGAAAATAATAGAGCTGTAGAAAATATTCACCTTTAAATTTATAAATTGAAAATGGTAAAAATTCTTTTATTTTCTTTTCCCATTGAATTATCATTACATTTTTTTTTATTAATTGCTCGACGTGTATGAGTGTACCGTAGTTCTTTATCTGTATTGTCTTGTCCGTCCTTTTTTCCTTACACGTGGAACAAAAATGTAGGATTTTTAATTTTTCGGTGGAAAAAAATAGTGTTCATAATTGAATTTAATATAATATTTTAATTTTAGTTGAACAGTACATAATCATATTTAAATTAAATCTAATGATTTTTTTATAAAACTGAATTTCAATAAATCGTAGAAATCAAATTAATATAATTAAAAAAAATAAAAAATCAAACAAAAAAATGGGTTCCGCTTCCAATTTAAATTTGGAAACATGATGCATTATGTTACCAAGAATATGAGTCTTAATAAATTTGTGTAATTCGGTTTAAAAATTAATGGACCATTTGAAGGACAAATTTTGTGTGAAAATGACAAATCTTTTTTGAAATGAGAGCTGATTTTTTTCTCACCAGTCTGTAGAAAAAGGCGAAAATATATAAATACATAAAAAATAAATAAATGAAGTGTCTAGGATCCTTCATATGGGTAATAAAATACCCTCCAACTTGTTCGAATTTACAGTTTGTGCCATAACCGAAAAGAAAAGTTCCGTAGAAGGTAAGGAGTTGAAGACAACAGAAGAAGAAGAAGAAGAAGAGACTCATCTCAAGAAGAAGAAGTTCAGACGAAAACAATATATAGCCAAAAAAAAAAGTTCGAGTGAGAGACGAGAAAACGCAAACGTTGTGGAGGAGAATTTTTCGTCTCTCTTGTTCCTGGATCGATTTTGACTCGGGGAAATCTGGAAGCTGCTGAAGATTCGATTCGGTGTTGTTCGAATCTGAAGAGTTTTTTTTTCCTTCTGGTGTTGTTTGATTCGATTTCGGTGTTGATTTGTTCGGATTCGTGCCAAAGACTTCTGATTTTCGAGCAAGAGTGGTGATTGAAGCTGCGATTCCGCGTCCTTGTTCATCGAAACGGAGATGATGAGGTACGTTTGATTCGATTTCGCGTTAGATATACGAAGTTTTTTCCCCAGGAAGATCTCGAGATATGATCCAGTGGAGATTTAGCGACTGAATATATCTACGGGTGAAGAATTTCCCAAAGAAGCTCATATGATTTGATCCGAAAGAGAGAAAAATGGTTCAGTAGTTTCCTGTTTTGGGTTAATTTTGATTTTGCAGTTGGTGAGAGATCAAGAAGCTCGAGGAGGCATGGATGAGGTAGGCGCTCAGGTGGCTGCTCCGGTTTTCGTCCACCAGTCCCTTACTCCGATGGGGAGAAAACGCGATCTCTATTTCCAAATTCCGAATCTCCACACGCACCGGCTGCCGCAAACGCAAACGCTGCAACGGGGGGATGATTGGAACCCTAAGATGTGGGACTGGGACAGTCGGAGATTCGAAGCTAAGCCCGTAGAGACAGAGGTTCTCCGACTTGGGAACGATTCGCAGTTTGACGTCAGTGCCAAGAGCAACAACAATAACAGCGGTTTGACTTTGATGAATAGCGGCTGCGGTGGAAGTGAAGTAGATGAGAGAAACCTTGATTTGAACCTCGGAAGTGGTCTGACCGGCATGGAAGAGACGCAAGCGAACAGACAGAACAAAAGGGTTCGGTCCGGATCACCCGGAGGAGGGAACTACCCGATGTGTCAGGTGGATTTTTGTAAAGAAGATCTGTCTAATGCAAAGGATTACCATAGAAGGCATAAAGTGTGTAAGCTTCATAGCAAGGCTTCTAAAGCTCTTGTCGGGAAACAGATGCAGAGGTTTTGCCAACAGTGCAGCAGGTAGGAGGCTGATGATGGCCTAAAGTCTTCCCTTTTATGGATACTGTGGACTTTTTTGGTTCAATCTATCATTGAATCATTGAAATATCTGCTTGTAGGTTTCATCTGCTTTCTGAATTCGACGAGGGGAAGAGGAGCTGTAGGCGTAGATTGGCAGGCCATAACCGACGAAGAAGGAAAACCCAGCCGGAGGAAATCACTTCGCGGGTTGTAGTTCCGGGGAACCGTGATCCTAACTCTAACCCCAATACGGATCTTGTCGCTTTGTTGACGGCCTTGGCTTGTGCACAAGGTACTTGTTTAGAATCTGCTTTCTAGTTTTCCGTTCTTGTTCTTGTGGTTACGATCAGATGTTGATTTTGCTTGGTCTGAATGCGGCAGGTAGGAATGAGGTGAAACCTATCGAGTCTACAGTTGTTCCAGACAGGGAAAGACTTCTTCAGATACTTAACAAGATAAATTCATTACCTTTGCCTATGGATCTTGCCTCGAAGCTGAACAATATCGGAGTTTTAGCTCGGAAAAACCTCGACCACTCAGTGGATAATTTCCGGAATGATATGAATGGGACATCTCAATCTACCATGGACTTGCTAGCAGTTCTCTCATCCACCTTGGCTTCATCCTCTCACGATGCCCTAGCTTTGATGTCTCAAATGCCTGTTGAGATTAGCGACAGCGACAAGACTAAGTTGACTCCATCTGATCAGGGGACAACTGCCGATTTTGAAAAGAGAACTCGAGATTTTGGTTCTGTTGGCGGAGAGAAAAGTAGTAGCAGTCACCAGTCTCCTTCGCAGGATTCAGATTCACATTTCCAAGACACTAGATCTAGTTTATCTCTACAACTATTCACCTCTTCACCTGAGGATGAGAGTCGACCCACCGTGGCAACATCAAGGAAATACTATTCGTCAGCAAGCAGTAACCCTGTCGAGGATAGGTCTCTATCATCGTCTCCCGTAATGCAGGAGTTGTTCCCAAAGCAGGCATCTCCCGAAACAACGAGGTCAAAGAAAGATAAAAACACGGGTTTTAGGACTGGTTGTCTGCCACTCGAGCTCTTTGGCGCATCAAATAGAGGGGCCGAAAATAATATCTTCAAAGGGTTCGGGCATCAAGCTGGTTATGCTTCATCTGGCTCTGATAATTCTCCTCCTAGCTTGAATTCCGATGCTCAGGTATACACACTACTATTTGTATCTTGTATAGCACGTCTGTATGTATAGATTAAAACATTCCGTTTATGTCTTTTGGGATTGAAATTGAAACAGGACCGAACTGGGAGGATAGTCTTCAAACTGCTAGGAAAAGATCCTAGTCAACTTCCTGGGACATTACGAACTCAGGTGATAATTTCTTGGCTGGCAATGTTACTACGAAATTACGAATCTTATAATTGTAAGTTATTATTATCGATTGTGTCCATAGAGTTCTTACAATGCTCATTACCCTTTTGTTTCAGATTTATAATTGGCTTTCTAATATTCCATCGGAAATGGAGAGTTATATCAGACCGGGATGTGTTATCCTATCTGTCTATGTCGCGATGTCATCTGCTGCATGGGAGCAAGTGAGTAAAATAAACTGATCACTGGTCTATTAGTCGTGTTTTTTTCAGAGTTACAAGCGTTTAAACAGCGCGATTTTTTTATTTGTTTTTTCAGCTCGAGGAAAACTTGCAGGAACGAGTCGGTTTTCTGCTTCAAGATTCATGTTCGGAGTTTTGGAGGAGGACAAGATTTCTGGTAAACACGGGCAGACAGCTAGCTTCTTACAAAGATGGTTAGTGAGTTTAGTTAGAAGTTGCGTCGAATTGGTGGATACTACCTCAATGATTGTAGCTTTATTGGTTATTTGCTATGACAATCTTACAGGTAAGATCCGTTTGAGCAAATCTTGGAGAACGTGGAATTCCCCGGAATTGATCTCAGTTTCACCAGTTGCTGTTGTAGCCGGGGAAGAAACTACATTGTTAGTAAGGGGTAGAAATTTGGATAATGGCGAAATCAGGTGAGTCGGATCAAAGCTTTTGTAGAGGGTTTAGTGGTCTTTCTTGTCATTCTTCTAATCTTTTTCGGGTCACGATCCTGCAGGATACGATGCGCTCATATGGGTAGCTATGCGTCAATGGAGGTAACGACATCATCGTGTAAGAAACCCGTTTTCGATGAGTTAAACGTAAGTAGTTTCAGAATCAACGGTGGAAGCCATGGTTTTTTCGGGCGATGTTTCATCGAGGTAGGGCTTTGGGTAACCGAAACTTAAACATGTTTTGTCTCATGAGTATCTGTTTCGTCTCGAGATTTTCACTGTTCCTACTATGTGAATAGGTGGAGAACGGGTTCAGGGGCGATAGTTTTCCTTTGATCATTGCCGACGCTGCCATCTGCAAAGAGTTGAATCGCCTCGAAGACGAGTTTCACCCGAAAACGCAAGTTCACAGAGATATTACAGAAGAACGATTGCATAATTCAGATCGTCCCAGTTCGAGGGAGGAAGTTTTGTGCTTCTTGAATGAGCTCGGATGGCTTTTCCAGAGGAATGCGTCCTCGTTCGACATTCAGGGAGGTTCCGACTTCTCCATGACCCGTTTCAAGTTTCTTCTCGTCTTCTCGGTTGAAAGAGACTACTGCTCTCTTGTGCGAAAGCTCCTCGATATGGTTGTCGAAAGAAATTCGGGTAAGGATGGATTGATCAGGGAGTCTCGAGATATGTTGGCTGAGATTCAGTTATTAAACCGTGCCGTCAAGAGAAGGAGCACAAAGATGGCCAAAATGTTGATTCATTATTCCGTTACCGCCTCCTCGCTCAGTACCTCGAAAGAGTTTGTCTTCCTACCCGACACTGCTGGCCCTGGCGGTATTACGCCGTTGCATCTTGCTGCTTCTACTTCTGGTTCAGATGGTATGATTGATGTGTTGACAAACGACCCGCAAGAGGTACATTTCTTTCTGTTCCGTGGCTTCCGGTTCGTTTATGTTCGGGTTCGATTATTTCAGTTTTTAAAATATTATAACCATTCGTTTTTTTTAAATTCGACTCGTTTCGTTTGGATTCGGTTTTCATCGCTAATAATGATCTTTTATCAAAGAAATTTTCAGTTAGGTTATTTTGTATTTGATCCGGGTTCAGAATTTCGGTTTTAGAAAAATCATAATGATTCGGTTTTTATATCAAGTTCTGGTCGGATACGGTGATGTGTTATTTGAATATTAATCGAATTAACCAAATTCAGATTTAGTTCTTCTTAACTCAAATCAACTCGTCTTGTTGTTCAGATCGGGCTATCTTGTTGGAACTCTCTCCTCGACAAAAGCGGGCACACACCTTATAGCTACGCCTCGACGAGGAACAACCACAGATACAACGCCTTGGTGGCTCGGAAACTTACCGATAAACGAAACAGGCAAGTCTCCATAAACATCGAGAGCAGGATCGATGGTCAGACAGGACTGAGCAATAGATCGAGTTCAGAGCTGAAGCGATCTTCTTGCACAACTTGCGGGACCGTAGCCCTCAAGTACCAGAGAAAGATCTCGGGTTCGTACCGATTGTTCCCGACACCGATCATCCACTCGATGCTTGCTGTCGCCACGGTCTGCGTTTGCGTCTGCGTGTTCATGCACGCCTTCCCGATCGTTCGGCAAGGCGCTCATTTCAGCTGGGGAGGCTTGGATTACGGCTCGATGTAGCGGGCGGGAGATTCCCGAGGCGAGGCGGGTAAGTGTATTTCTTCGGTTTTCGGCGGAAATAAGAGAGTTGAATTCTCTTTTGGGAACTTTCTTGAAGTTCAAGTTATGGAGTTTGTCCCCATAGAGACAACAACTCTCTGACGGTGAAGGAGAGGAGATGGGAGAGACAGAAATGGTTTTGTAAGAAGATTCAGGTGAAGAGCGAAAGAGACAGTAGGGGAGGAACCCACCACGTGAAATTCCGAATCTGCCCTTCGTAGATCCTCGAGAGGAGACAGAGGTTTAGGGTTGAGGGTTCATCAGTGGGGATTAAGTTTTATATTATTTTATTGTTGTTGTTGTTATTATTATTATTATTATTAATATATGTTTGGGTAATTCTCTGTTTCTTAATCTGTTCGTTTTCATGTTTCTTAATCCTTTCAGAAATATGATTCGGGTTCTTATCAAATCAAAATTTGTTTGTAAATTGGGATTAGTCGAATCCCTCGTCGATTCCATTGATCGCTCGCAAGATTCGCTAAACACGGTTCCACGTGGCGCATACCCACATGATTAGGCCCATACAGAGAGAAAAAGAACCAGGAATATATATATATATATATATATATGTATGTATGTATTCATTTATTTATTCCGGCGTACGACGTGACCGTGAAGTAAATTATTCAACGCAATCGCACAGGATATTTATGTTCGTAGATGATGACCAGTCAACCAAATTTTTTTTTTAATAATCTAGTCTTTTGTCCGAATATATCTAAAATCGGAGAAATCATGTGAATATTTCTTTCTAGATGATGATTCGAATCCATATTGAAAAAGAGTTTTGTTTTCTTTTTTATCGGGTGAACCATCTAATCTAATTTTGGATGAGTCAACCAATTTTATTGGTGTTGGATTCTTATTTTAATTTGTAAATGAATTTCGGAATCAGCAAACAAGAAAAAACTTTCACAATAAAGGTGTGACTGGTGGTAACGCAATCGCCCGCAATCGCAGCGATTGCAACTTCTGGCGATTACGGGTGATTGAAAAAGTGATTGCTGGAATCGTAATCGCCCGTAATCGCAACAAAACATCAATATTCTAATCGCAGCTAAGGTGTTGACTGTTGGAATCGCAATCGCAATCGCGGTGATTGCGGGCGTTTACGATGCGTTTGCTGGCGATTCTAGGCGATTGGTACTGACTGGTAAAAAAACTGTTGTTGGTAGCGATTGCGAGTGATTGCAATTTAAAACGATTGGTTGACAGCGATTGCGATTTGATTTAAATTACAAAAAAATACATCATTATATACAATACTAACCATTTTTAAAATATTTTTAATTAGTTTTTTTTACTATTATTTAATATCAAATAATTATTAAATTTATAAATAATTAAATATAAAATTGAAAATATTATTTTGTTATTATTTATACATACATATCATATTATATATATAAAGAACTTACGTATGTTTATATATACATAAAATATATAAATATATATATATATAATACATATATATACACACACATATATACTTACAAACATACATATATATACACAAACAATCATATATACATACATACATCTATATACACGTACACATATATACATATACATATACACATACATACATAATAGTAAAAAAAACTTAATAATTATTTGATATTAAATAATAGTAAAAAAAACTAATTAAAAATATTTTAAAAATGGTTAGTATTGTATATAATGATGTATTTTTTTGTAATTTAAATCAAATTGCAATCGCAATCGCTGTCAACCAATCGTTTTAAATCGCAATCACTCGCAATCGGTACCAACAACAGTTTTTTTTACCAGCCAGTACCAATCGTCTAGAATAACCAACAAACGCATCGTAAACGTCCGCAATCACCGCGATTGCAATTACGATTCTACCGGTTAACACCTAAGTCAAAAAATACCCAAGGAGGAATTAACTATATTTTTTCAATCTCTCTCTCTCTCTCTTTATAATGTATTCTAAGATCTTTGATATTTTCTCTTCTCGGGCGATTGTTAGGCTGACTATCGGTCCATGTGTGATGGGCTCATCACTAGCAAAGCCCAATGGGCCTTATGGCCCAATTGATTTTGGAGATATTGTTGTTTTGGTGTTATTACAAAGTTCTAGTCGGTGTCGGTCCAAAGATGGTGCAAGTGGCATTACATGAAAATCCATAAAGACATTTGTTCCTAATAGGATTCACTAATTGCTGTGAACCTTATCTGCTTGTGGGTCAAGTAAGAAGCCACGTACGTATCTCTTTAACCCTTTAAGTTTGGCTTGAGAAACGTGATACGATACACACACGTGCTCTCTTCTGAATAAAAATCTTTTAGAAAAAAAAAGGCCAGCATAGAAAAAAAAACACGTGCGAAATAAAAATATGAAGGGATTAGGTTAGTAGTATTGGGATCATGTGTGTTCTTTCTTTGGGTACCGGTAAAATATGTCATCTAAATAAAATTAGTATTGGGATCATGTATAGGTATAAAATAACACAGTTAAAGATAATTTAACGAAATTGATTGAACTATTCGTATCGACAAAATATATTTTTTTTTATTATCTATCTCGAGAAAACTCCAAAACTAACTATTGCTCGTACTAAAGTAATATAAGGATGAATGAAATGATGACAAAGCACATTGAAAATTTTCATGTTGATTAGCGGGTTAGTTTCAACATCCGTAACGAATGTAGACGTTACATTTTTACACATAAATTTTAGTAATTGAATTAACATATTCTAATTAAATATTCTAGAATAATTTTATTTATAAATTTGTTACAATTGAGTCTGAGTATTTTTTTATTTTTTACAATAGTTAAAATTTATTTTAATGCAATAATTAATTAGATTTTTTTAAATAATAATTACAAGCTTTGGTGATTATCAAATAAATTAGGAATTATTATTTATTCTGAGACCATAATATAAGTGTATATTTTTTAATGTTTTTATTGTTTTTATTCGATTAAAACTGGTACGAAGGATTATTTACGTGGATACAAAAATTAATGGTATAATAAGTTTTTTTAGCAATTTATTTAGTTTTTTATTTAAATGTTTTTAATAAAAAAAATTAGTGATATAGTTTAGGCATTCCATATAATATTATGATTTTCAACTCATGTGACAATCTTTTGAAAGCATAAATAAAACAATAATTTATGTAATGCAAAACCAAATTTTCATTCTGTCCATAACTTTAATAATTGCTATGCGTGCTGCAAATTGCCCATTCTAGAATTCAATAAATATATTTTAAAAATGAAATAAATGATTACCTCGTGGACCCTCCAACTCCCGCCAGTACTTTTAGTTTCCAATCTCAATAAGACCCATCCATATGCATGAAAAATAGGGATGGCCGTTAAAGAAACGAATTAAATCGAATAGAAAAATATGATATTTTTATTATTTAAATTGTTTTAAAATTTTGAATAATATTATTTTTAAGAAATCTAATTTTTCAGAATCAAATTGAACCGAACTAAATTTTAAAACTTTTTTAAAAACCGAAATTTTTTAAAAAATATCTATCTTTTTTAATAAATATTGCAATCAAACCAAAACGGAATTAAAATCGAACCGAATCGAATATAATATAAAAACCGATTGATATCTATTTTTATAAAATAAAAAAATCCGAACCGTGCATTTTCGTCCCGAATTCGAATCGATTTCCGAAACGTCCACTCCGACGGAAAAGGATGATGATAATGATGATTTGTCAACCATTTTTTAAGAAATATGCAACCGAGGCCGGCAAACAAATCTATCCGGTTTGCTTCTTCATCTCAAAATTGGTACATTTTGGTTAAAATTCATTGAAATTGGTACGTTTTGGTTGCAGTTGTTGACAAATATCATTATCCAATGCACCTTGAAACTTTTTTAAAAAAAATCTCGCCATCAATAATGGATTTCATCCTTTTTTTTTTTTACATCACGACGCTATCCATCTATGCGAAATTATATTAAGAACAATTGAATACATTGAAATTTTATTATTTTTTCTATTTTATTTTAATTTCCGAACTTTTCGTATATACTTTGAATCTGAACTCTGAATCCATCAATATCTTAGTTGTAGAATATTCAAAACTGAAATAGACTTTTTGTTTAGTCAACAAATGTTATCTAATTCAAACCAAATTATTATGTTTGATAACCATTCAAATTCATTTGCATTAAATATAATTACCGGAAAGTAAATCTAAAACTAAAATAAAACTATTTTTTAAAATGAAATCTCAAACAAGTTCGAACAGTACAGAATCCAACTCTAAAACTGATTGAACAGTAGAAATTTATTACAGCTGAAAAAACTAAACATAAAAATAATGGAACTCCAAAATATCCAATAATTGTTAAAAACCGAAATTATTTTAATTATTCCTATAGTTTTGGATTCACAAATCACGATTACCCTCAGAATGAGACAGCTACTTTTAGGGTTTTTTCGATCGTAGTTATCTCTAATCCTTTTTTTTTCTTCCATTGTTGATAAACATTACAAATTAAGTAACAAAAAGCCAGACATAAATGTCACGTGAGTCACGTGCAGGTTGTGTGGCAGTGCCACTTATTTCCATAACTTTCCTAAAGCTTTTTAATGTTATTTTAGTGATATCCAAAATTCTTGTTTGGGATAGGGATGATAACTATTCGAGAGTTTCGGCCGGGTTCGATTTGATTATATACGAATTCAATTATTTTTGTATTAAAAAAATTATAACCATTCGATTTTTAATTTTATTTCGGTTTAATTCTGTTTGGGTTTGATTTTTTATTAGTAAAAAAATTTAAATAAATTTTTTTAGTTTTTACGAATTTTTTTGATTTAATTCGATCTTCAATTTTTAGATTTAAAAAAATCGTAATTAATTGATTTTTATATCGTATTCGATTCGGTTGAATTATTTTGATTAACAACCAAAATAAGCCTACTTTCTAATTTTTTTCTTCTCATCAACAATGTTGGTCGAATTCGAAAACGACGATGAAGATGACAACGATATACTAAATCCAATAGTATCATCGCCTTGAGTATCGTTTTAAATTTATTTTGCTCTTTTTTTTTTCTTCTGTTTTTTTCTCTAACGGCGGTGTTTATACACAATTTTTATTAATTGTTTTTGTGGATATAATCTATTACGTGGATAGCACTACTAGATAATGCTAAAGCATATATTTCAAATTACTATTGCAAACGTACATATTTAAAAATACGTAATTTTTTATTAGATTATGAAATATTTAGACACAATATCTCTATATACATATAATTTTAAGACAATGAAAATGATTTGTAGGCATATAAAAAGCTAGTATAGCATGAGAATGTGTTTTTATATATATATATATATATATATATATAAAAAGATTGCACGTTTAGATTCAAAACGTACGTGCTTGGCGTTGAACCATTTCATGATAGCGAGCTCCAAATATGTTTCCAATCATATTCTCTCGAATAGTTCCATGCGAAAACCGATTAAAAATCGCAAAAAATGAAAAAGCCAATTAATTAAACCAAATATTTTATATATTATGTTCATTTTTAGGTTTAAGTAGAAACTCCTTTTTTTTGGTAAGCCTATTAATTAACAATTTGATATCATTCATCATAATAGAAACCTCGGTCCACTCAAATCACACCCTTTTATAATAAAAAAAAATGACACCCTTTTTTATAAAAGAAAAAGTAAGCACCTATATACATGCCCTATATATATATGTATACATTGGTGTCTAAATGTACCACGTACGATCGTAAAAACGATGGATATTATTGCAATAAAAACCCGTACAAGAGATTCCCGGGAACTCCATGTTTGACCAGAGAATCTAAAATCAAAATAACAAAAATAAATAAACATGGATGTATCCTCATATATTTTTAATTGTCTTTAAAAAAAATTCTCTTGGACCATAAGAGTACACGTGGCAGTCAATGGCACACCCGATGATTATAAACCATCGCGGTCTTGGGTCCCACACTGGCGGTTAATCCGACGGTTCTGGATAGGCCACAGGCGATGAAAATGGATAGAGACACGCGTTATAAGAGTCCGCCGTGGTCCAGGGGCAAAAGCGTCCGACACGTCGAAAAAGATTGTCCGAGAAGGCGCTTCTCATCCGACGGCTCAGATTTAATCTCTCGATCGTCTGTGTCTCCTCTAGCAGCCGTCCGATCTTTCTGGCCTTTCAAACAATTGCCACATCACCTCCATTTGCTCACCTCAGTTGCATTCACTGGTTTTTTTTTTTGTCGTTTTCCCTTTTTTCAATCCGTGGAATATTATTACATTTCTACTTTTTTTTTAATAATTAGAGAGAAGTTATTTTAATACAGGAAAAAAAGTATTTTTTGTTATTTCATATAATGTAAATATTCTTTAAAATTTATCACGCACATTTAGATACGTGTCTCCCGAGGAGTTTTTTTTTTAAAAAAAAAGCATAATTATTGAAGCTACCGAATAAACAAATCTGAATATAATTGGAAAAAAAAGAATAAAGAATAAAATAATATTAAATGAATATATCATGAAATATAAACCGCTGAAAATTATTGTGACCGCCTTAAATCTCTATTTCTCACTTGAGCCGCCGCCTTCCTGTTCCTTCATTCCTGCAACCTCTTCCTCTTCTTCTTCTTCTTCTTCTTCTTCTTTTTCTTCTTCTTCTTCTAAGGACTGTGCTCTCTGAATAGAATCAATCGCCATACACTTCAAAGGTTTCATTTCACGTTAAGATTTCTCCTATTTTGTATTTTATTTTCTATTAAAGCTTAATTTATCCAGAGATTCTCACCAGAATCTTGCTCTCTGTTCTTGCAGGTTACTCTTGAGCTCGCAAAGCTGGCTATTGCAAACCATAATCACCAGTTCAACTTCGGGGCCATCAAGGCCAATCACAAGAAAGTCATGGTGATTGATTGATTGATTGATCGATTGACTTTTCCTTCGCTTTCTCGCCGTTTCTCTTTGAGGATTTTCTCGGGAAAGGCTTAAAGTTTGCTCCTTTTTTGTTTTCTGGGTTCTGATTTCAGGGGCCGATGATCAGGACAGAGGATGAGTATCTGGGTCCGCCATGGCTAATGCCGATGCTTCGAGCGAGTTACTTCGTGCCCTGTTCCATCCACGCCGATTCCAACAAGAGCGAATGCAACATGTTCTGTCTCGATTGCACCGGAAATGCCTTCTGTTCTTACTGTTTGATCAAACACAGAGACCACCGTGTCGTTCAGGTTCGACCGTTTGTTCGAAAGTTCTGATCTTTCCTCTGTTTTTTTTCCTCCGTAAAACCCTGAATCTGAAAACGAATCTCAGATAAGGAGATCTTCGTACCACAACGTGGTGAGAGTGAACGAGATTCAGAAGTACATAGACATCTCGTGTGTTCAGACATACATCATAAACAGCGCCAAGATCGTGTTCTTGAACGAACGGCCTCAGCCCAGAATCGGAAAAGGGGTTACCAACACTTGCGAAATCTGTTGCAGAAGCCTCCTTGATTCTTTCCGCTTCTGTTCCCTCGGTTGCAAGGTACTCTTCTTGCTCATGCTCTGTTTTCTTTTCCCATGTTATTACAGTTCGATCTCTGTTGCAGAAATCAGGCATATGAATGTCGAAAACAGAAGAAAATTTACTCATGCTCTGTTTTTCCATGTTGTTACAGTTTCGATCTCTGTTTCAGAAATCGGACATAACAATGTCGAAAACAGAAGAAAACCCATCATTCATTTCATCGTGTTGAGTACGATACAAACGGATTTACCTTCGTGTCTTTCTAGTTTTTGTGTGTTTTGGTCGAGTGCGTTCATGCTCTGTTTCACCCACCTCTGTGGAATGTGGAAACCTGAAATGACGGAATTGCCCCTTGCAGCTGGGAGGGATGAAGAGGGGAGACGCGAGCCTAACCTTCTCTCTGAGAGGGAAGCACGGGAGGGACTACCAAGGAGGGTCGGAGTCAGATGAGGCGACCACACCGACCAAGATCCGCAAGACGAGCGCTTTCAACCGTCTGATGAACGGCCTCTCGATCTCCACCGTCCGATGCAACATCATTGGAGAGGGAGGGTTAGATCAACGGTCCTCGAGCTCCGGCGATGAGGGCTGTCTGAATCTTTCTCCGGGAACTCCTCCGATCTACAACCACCGCAATTCTAGCCGGCGGAAGGGTGTTCCACATCGTGCTCCGTTTTAAAATAATTACATTTCACCCCCTACATTAGAACCATATTAATATAATTATAATATATAGTTTTTTAGAATATGGGTCATAAGGTTAGATTATACAGTAAGGTCTCTTATTATATTTGTTCTGAAAAAAAATGTTAGATCAGATGATTGGAGTGAAACCAATCACATAATGTAAATGGCAATAGGAAGAAGAAAGAATGTATCTCTTTTTTTTTTTTTTTGCCTTTTAGATTAGTTTTTGAAGCAAGAAAGGGTATACATACATTTTGGTTTTTTAATGTATAATTAAATAGCAAGAATTAGGGTATACTGAAAAAAGGTTGATGTAGCATTTGTAGTAAATCCACGCTTATGTATAATGTACATTAGATTTTGTCCGTACAAATAATATCAAGTTTATAGATGTATCATGCGTTGTATTAGCATTGTGGTTTGTGTATATAACCTAGATTATATATGTACATATATATGTATAGTGTGTGTAAACAGGATCGTATATATAGTTCTTCACTAAATGATATAGTTCTTGTAACATGACATGGATTTATACAATAGAATTCGTAAAATATAATCTATATAATATAAAAGGTTATCCTAAGAAGAGTCTGATATTTTAATGATATTAGAATCAGATTACTATTTTGACATAATATTAGAATAAAAATAAATGGATTAAATGTTTTGTTGAAAAAGAATAGTTATTCTTGAATATATATAAATGTTAGCGTGAATCATACGTCGAGTCTGATTTCTGTGTTTGATCTAATTTGAAATTAGGATAACAAAACTATATAATTTTATAATTGAAACTATAAAATTTGGAGTAAATTGACCGTGACTCTATTTCGACGATCTTTATTGGTATGGATGTGTATTATATTGGCAGTTTAGAAATGCGAAACCGTTCTTGTAAATTGAAAATTTCTGAAAATTTTTGTTTTTTTCGTAATATAAACACTATCATCAAAAAATGAAAAAATATTGAAAAAAAAGGTACAAAATTTAATATAATGGATTAAAAATAATGTGGACATGTATTATGTATATACATTGAAATATACGTACGTCGTTATCAAATGTACGTATTCCTATCCCTAAGCATTATAAATAAATTAAAATCAGCTAACTCTTTCAATGGACAATTTTGTCCAAACGATAAGGTTGATTTATTGATTTATTGATTTATTGATTTATTATTATAATATGAGAATATTATTAATATTTTATATTGTGGTTAGAGCCGTGTGGAATCCGAAAGGCTGCGCCAATAACCCTAGGAGCCGTGTGTTTCTTTTCCTTCACCTTTATATTTCCATTGGTCGGTCCACATTTAATAAAACCATCCACCATGACATTAGTTCTTACAGAAATTAGCTTTTTTTACAGTATCAACCAAATTAATTTGTAAAAAAAAAATAGCAAGCTCTCTTGCTGACAGTAATTTTTATTTTGGGTTTTTAACTTTAGTTTTTAGTTTTTGATTTTTAGTTTTTGGTTTTTGGTTTTTAGATTTCATAAGTTTATAAATCTAAAAAAATTATGACTTTTAGTTTTTAATTGATTTTTTTTTTCATAAAGTAAATCTTCGGCTTTTTAGAAAAATCAAATTTGATTGTCAATTTTTTCGGTTTTTGAAATCCAAAAATTCTGAAAAATTCTTCCCATTCAGTATCAATATCTTTTATTTATATCCCAAAAAATATTTAAACTATAGTTCTAAAGATTTATCATCAAAATTTACAAACTTTAACTTGTGTAACTAGTTTAATCTCTGCATTACAAGTGGTATATAAAGAATTAAATTTTCTATATTTTGTAATTTTTCGATTATATCTCCATTACTATTACTGGAAATTAATTTTCAAGCCGCAAGAAAGTATAAGAAATTGGATTTATGTATTTTTTTTCAAAAATTTATGTATCACATTTAAGCAAATAAAAAATAAATAACGACATTAAAGTACGCATCCACTTGTTCATTAAACTTATGCGGCCAAGAAAATCGGATGGGCCCCACTGCTTACGACATAGCACACGTCAGCTACCGTCCAAGGAGGGGTATTCCCGTAAATTCTCCGAAGGTTTTACTTTTCGCTCACTGGGTTCACGCCACGTGTCAGGTGATACCATTGCAGTCTCGACACGTTTTATATGGGCCCCATATGGGGCTTATCTTCCTTTCAGTCTTTCGAGACAACGAGAAGTAACTCAATATTTTGAATTTTTATTTTATTTTATATTTTTTTTTATGGACAGGACAAATGGAGAGATAATGATGATGTCTTTCCTTTTGGGAATTGTGATTTTTGTTTTTTTAGGTTATATCAATAATTTCACAAATAAAATATTGGAATATAGAATCGTCAAAACAATATGTATATATATACATACATATTCTCTAGCACATTTGGATTCAATGCATGCATAGGATATTTTCTCTATAGTTGGAATTGAACTTAGAAAATTTGCATAAATTGTTTGACATAGACATATATATCATTATAGCCAAATAGACAATTTCGAATATTTTTGTGGTGTCAGGGTTAGATATTTATCTAAATTAATCTGAAAATATTTTAAAATGATTTTCCAATTTTTTCCTAAAATATAATTAGGTTATGCAAAATAGAAGACAGTAATCATCTTTAACCCATAATTAAGTTTAGGAATTCTTATGGGTATTTCACAATTTTGTATCTATATATTATATTTACAATTTTGAAATTATTAACAAAATATAAAGATACAATTAATTAAAAAGGGCAGTGGAAGTGACTCAGCCTGCAAGTTAAATAAACAAAGCATAAACACACACACACACACAAAAATAGCCAAGTGGATAAGATCCTTTCTTGATAAGGCTTTTGTCTCGTGGCATCACAACTTGCGTCAACCTTCCCTTTTTTTTACATTTTAGAATTTAATAAAAACAACATGTGTATTATTTTTACTTTTATAAATTTGGAATTTATGAAATATATAAGTTTAATTAAATTGATCTAAATTCGGAAACCAACTAATTATATCAATGGAATGTCGGATTCTGTTTTCTTCCTGTTAAGGGTTGTGTCATGTCTAATTTATTTCTAAACTATTAGGCGTGTGACTATTATGTTGTGAATGTAGATTAAATATATTTAAGATAAATAGAATTAAAATAATTTTTGTTGAATAAGAGAAAATAGTTGACAATGACATTCTAACAAAGATCCAATATATACTTATAAATATTTCATTCCAATATTATATTTACATTGTAGTAGCTCGTATAATTATTTGACTCAATAAAATTACATTTGATACAATCTTAAATTAGTTATATGCTAGTAACCCTTTTTAAGGAAAAAGTATTAAAAAAAATGGTTCAAAATCTATAGATTGATGGTAATTATACAGCACATATCATGTACTTAAAATCAGAGCATATATACATCTCTCTATATATATATATATATATCTCTTTTTTTTTTTACCGCAGACATTTGCACGTGACGAGATAACATGTCTGTTTGACAGACGCACGTGCGTAAGATGCTGAAGGGGAAAGTCATCATGAACATACATACATACACGCATGCATACATACATACATCATTTTGTTTTGGGCCCTTCGAACTTATGTTGTAATAAGGCCTAGAAGAAAATGGGCCTATTGAGTCTATATTTATTGGGCCTTATTCGGGCCGCTACTTCTTGTTCAAGCTCCCTGGATAAATATTAGGCTGGTCTTTCTCTTTCAGTCACAATAATCTTTAAAAAATATTTTACAATAACTGAAAAAAGGTTTTCTAACAAGCAACATATATAAAATAAATAAATAAATAAATTCATACAAAAAAAATATAAAAATAAAAATTGAGAATTTAATCAGAATTTACGGAGTATATAACAAAGAACTCAAGAACAAATTGCATATATTTATATATATATATATAAATATATAAATAATCATCATGCGTAGGGAAACTCTTGGAAAAAGGCGACTGCGTTATATATATATATGTTGTGTAATATTCAAGGCGTTTCACAAAATTTAGAGGCCCCGTACATATTATAATTTTAAAATAATAAAAAATTATTAATTAATATAATAAAAAATAATAATATTTAAAAATGATAAAAACATATTTAATATAACAAAATATACAAATTAACTAAATTAAAATTAAGTGGGACCCCTAAATTTTGATGATAATTTGTTTAATTAAAAATAGATAACGAGAGTTGTTACTTCTTTGTTATAACTACATTTAATAATATATATTATTAACATTTTTAAAATTAGGTGGGATTTACAAAAAAAAAAAAGTGGACCCCCCAAATTTTGGGTCATGTTCCATCGCACCTATTGCACACGTTAATAGACGGTCTGGTAATATTGTATAATACATACAGATACCTCAACATTTTTTTTTCCAAAGAGTAAGATGTTATGGGTATTATTTTATGACGATGGAGGTGGAGGAATAAACGATATGCGAGAAATGTATTATGACCAAACGTATATATTATACATTAAATTTGATTTTTATTTTAATATTTACCTTCATTTCAATTGTTGCTTTTGCTTACCAATAAAAGATATGATATATTTGGAAACCGAGATAGCATGTTCACACACACACGCACCACATGTTATATAGTTATTTGCATGTGAACAAAAATTAATAACCCTAAAAATTTGAGAGAAAAAATAAAGTAAAAAATCTTTGCAAGAATTTAAAAATGTTGGTGTATCAACATTTATTAATGTTTTGTATCGGATCTCTTGTCTTTCAAAATGTACCAAAGGGATATCTAATAGAATACTTCATCGAAAGGGTGTTATTATTAAAAATATACATATTTAATACATCCTTAAAATAATTCTAAAAATATTCTTTTGCATTCATTTATTAAACTATAAGATTATCATGATTTTTTTTTATAAATTGTTAAATATGTTTTTATAAATTATATATCCACGAAAAACCAACCATTTTCTCGAATATCTAAAAATTCGGATACTCAAATCCATTCATATATTACCCTAATTCAAACTCAATATTGGAAACCTTTATTTATGGAATATCCAATTCATTATTACCTGTAAGATATACTTGACTTATATATAGTTGGATCAATGTTACAAGTATCCGATTATATATATACATACGCACATATATATAATCGGAATGAATATATTGTAGGGAGTGTGATTGTTTTGACCATATATTCAACCTTTGAAGGTCGATATATATGGAGACCATATAAGTGAATTTGATAACTTTTAATATAAAAGAATAAAATAAAATTTGATTTGAATGGGCCACCAAGTCAACGAGTTAACACGTAAATAAAAGCCTATGGCTTTTGCATGGCTTCCTCCCCCTTTGAGTTCACTCGGTTCGGTTCATTAGAAATATTAAATTTCATTTTCTTTCCGAGTCGTAATGTTTTAATTTTTGTCTTACTCAATATATGTGCTTTCAAATTTAATTAACAACACCGTTACAATATATAAAATATGCAAATAATATATGTTATTCATGAGAATCCAGATCAACCATGGTACCATTAAGAAAATAGATGGACACTGTGATAACTTGTGATAACTCAAGATACCGTATGAAGGCAGATAGTGATCGTCGGTGTGATAGACACGAATAAGGAGCGGCTCGTGACAAGTTTCTGGATAGGAGATATAGGGATGAATCGAACGCACCAGAATGAGAGGGATCCGAAGATTGTGTAGTTATGAGACTGCATAGTCAAAGATAACTTAAAGTAATTGATTGAGTTACTCATAACAACAAGACGTATCTATCTTTTCCGTTGCTTATATCGAGATAACTTGAAAGTTAAACGTGCTCACTCTGGGTTAATTTTAAGATGAGTGATCTTCTGGAAAATACTTTTCGCGATATGTGCGAGTGATGACAAAAGGTCCCATTTTAGTATGTGAAGATAGTTTTGACATTTCGTAGCGACCTCGGGTCGTTACATGCATGGACCCAATATTTAAAAAAATTTGGATATTTGAATTTGCAGTTAAAAATTTCAGGTACTTTATTTTAAAATTTGTATTTGGAATTTGAGATTTACTTGGATACAAATATTCAAAATAATGTTCGTATACTCTAATTAAGAACATGGTATCAGTTAGAACCGTTTTTAAAAACTTGCATTAAAATATGTATATGATTCTCCAACATATTATATATTATAAAATTTCTAGAAGAGAGATGTATATCAATCCGGTTTTAAAAAGATTAGGCACATTTATCCAGACGACAGTGTGCGACAGCGAATATATATATATAATGATTAACATAATCAGCCCTCTAGTGAATATTTACTAATTACAAAATTCAATTTTTAAACGGGTTGGTAAGAATTGCCTCCGTACGTCCGTCAAATCGTTGACGTTTTTATGTTTCGTTGACTTTTGTACGGCAACGGACAAGTCAAATACAAGTGGCTGCGTCTCTCTTGTGCTCCAAGTCACGTGTTACGGCTCACTTAGCCGCGTGCCACGTCATCGATGACTTCCCTTGCAAATCTGTATTCTCTGTTTATATTGCTATACCCCAAACTCGGTCATCTTAAAATATTATTATTTCGTAAAATATTAATATAAATGTGAACGTGGAATTCATGTTGGAACGTCTATTTCATTTATTTTGTTTTTATGCTATTTTTGCATATAATCGTATGAATTGAATAATATTACTGTATTATTTGAGTAATTGTTTGTCACATGTTCACACAGCATATTTTCTTACTAAATGAGGTCGCAACTTTTATTTTCTTAATTTTTTTAAATGCAAAATTATAAGAGAGTTTTAGATTTTATTTCGAAATATTTTTCCCTTTAATATATATAGAAATTAACATTCATCACATTGGGAAAAAATGATGTAGTTGTTCCTGATGTACAAAAAATCGATAAAACCAAAATAATTCCCTCTATTTTTTCATGATATTATTAGTGGTACGATATTAGGTTTCCTAAATCCCCTCTAATTAGACATGATTGAATTTATTTCACTCGACTTAGGGAAGCAAAGAGACTAATGGAGTTTTGTTAATTATGAAAGCTATATCGAGGTTAATTGAAATGGTGGAAGATAGACATTGGAAATGGAGAAGTTCTAGATAGCTAATTAATTATTTGTTTTAAACAAATAGTATTAATGAATCATTATGGCAATCTAAATCCAATAAAAAATAGTTTATCCCCACTAAAAAAATAAAATAAAAATCATGACAAGATATGGATTGAGTAAGCGCTTATGTGGCTTCTCCATAGAAGTGGAAAATTTAATTTTCTTTTGGTCATATAACTGCTTAGATATAATTTTTAATAATAGATAGATAAGAGTACGACTAGACACAAGACACGTATAATATATGTATTAAAATTCGAAAGAAATTCCCATCAATTATATTATCGGGCCAAATAAATTATAATATAATTATTTCCAATCGAGAAAATATAATATAAAATTTAACAACAAAAACAAGTTTTTGGGTGAATAAATTCATTAAAAAGGAGCTTAATAAAAGATTTACGGAAACCTACTTTCTAATACAAATCAGCTTCCGGTTTTGAAAAAGTTAAGCCGTAAAGCCATTTGTTATTCGGCCGGTTAAGTATTTGCTGACGTCACCAACACCTCTATATATATCCCACGTTCTGAATCGTCTCTGTTATACGCGTTCCTTCCGTGTCCGTTACAATTTCCTTCTTTCTCTCTCTACAGGCTGTCTCTCTCTCTCTCTCTAGAATTTAAACTGAAACGAATAAACGAATGCGAAATGGGGGGATGCGTTTCTGTTGGTCAAAGCGGGCGCGAATCTTCGCCGACGGCGAAGATCGTTACGGTTAACGGCGATCTCCGGGAATACAATGTTCCGGTGATGGCTTCGCAGGTCGTTGAAGCCGAATCTGCTGCGGCTTCGTCTTCCTCCAGATCAACTTCGTATTTCATCTGTAACTCCGATTCTCTCTACTACGACGATTTTATCCCTGCGATCGAATCGGATGAGGAGCTTCAGGCGGATCAGATCTACTTCGTCCTCCCGATCTCCAGGCGTCAGAAGCCCCTCACGGCGTCGGACATGGCGGCTCTCGCCGTGAAAGCCAGTGTTGCGATCCAGAACGCCAACGAGAAGAAATCTCGCCGCCGGAAGAAGGGACGGATCTCGCCTGCGGTTGTGCTGAGTCAGCCGAGAGAATCGAGCGGGACCGCCGTGAAATCGACTATTTACAAGGAAATTCCGGCGAATAAAACGAAGCCGACGAAGGTTTCCGGCGGTCTACCGAGATCTGGTTCATTCCGGAAATTACAGAGATATACGTCCCGGCGAGCGAAGCTTGCGGTTCGTTCGTTCAGGCTGAGGCTCTCAACCATTTACGAAGGCTCCGTTCTGTAGATTCTTTTTGAACTTTCTTATTTTTAAATTTTTGGAGAGAGAAATACAGAAAAAATAAATATGTAAAAAACCGGAATAATTATACATTATTTTTTGGGAGTTTATTGTTACATTTTCTTCTCTAGATTGATCAGCCCAACACATATTTAGGAGTAATTTTGGAATAATATTGATTAAATTCTTTAGATTGATAAATCTGATTAGTGTGCAAGTTACAAATATGAAATAGTCTTCATTTTTTAAACATTATTTTCAATTTATTTTTAAAAAAGGTTGTCTTACCACCAAGCCACCCAACACTGGGTTTAAACCAATAAATGTTGTAATATATTTTACCATATATTGTTATATCTTTGTACTTTCACCGTATAGATCATTAATATATATATATATATATATATATATTAATCCTTTTAATTACTTCGATACGCTTTCAATCAAGGGTTTCCTTAATTATAGTGAAAAAAGCCTTAATTCAATCAAAATAAAATAGCTTTTAAAAATCATATAATTTTCTATCCTTACATTGAATTATTTATGCAAATAAATATGACATTTTTATAATTATCACCATTGAGAGACACGCACGTCAACAAATACATCGAATATTCAATGCGTACGGACCACATTTTTTTTTTATAGAATAAGCGGTATTCATGTTTTTGGTTTCCTTTTATTTTACTTTTTAATATATAATAATTGTAATCGGGGTCCAATTTTAGAGTAATGTGAACGTTAAGAAATTATGTATATATATATATAGTATAATGCCATGCGTGCGCATTAATTAAGATGATAATCCTAATATTGTGTAATAAGAAATCTAAATTTAAGATATATATGTGTAAGATATGCCAGAATAAAAAAAGCATGACATGGCCTGCATGCAATGATTTGAAATTTATTGCAATATAAATATAGAATCTATTAGCCATTTGATACAAGTTCACACACAAATTCTATATATTACACGTGTATATGCAATGCATGCACATGCACGGTTGGAAATTTCAGAATATAACTAATGTTATTAATAATTCAACGAGATATATAATTACTAGTCGGACCAAAATTCCTAATTATGTCATGCTAAGAAAACTCATTGAAAATATTACCCAAATCACGTATCTTGGTATCCGTATAATTATTGTCGGAGGACTTGAAGTATTTTATCCGATTGCAAATTTGAAATACTAATTCTAAATATTTTATTATTTCAGAATCATAATAAATTAAATGAACAATAAAAAATTTATCCTCTACCATAAATTGACAAACTTAGAAGTGTATTAGTCCTACGTAATGATATTTTGATACATTTAAATTCCGGTATACACACACACATATATATTCCGGTATCCAAATGTGAAATTATGAAAATCCAAACTCGAATCGAATCCACTATACACGTAATCATGGCCGTATATCTTCTTAAAGGATAAGTACGGAAAAGTACATTTCATTATTTTCAAAGTGGTTGAAAACAAGTAGAGATAATGATTAATTATAATCATTTCAAAAATAAAAGTCACAAGAAAGATAGAGAGCAAATGGACCGATTTCTTCAATATTTCTTTTTCATATTAGGTATCTTTAGCTTTCGTCAAGATTCGAGACCGATTTCTACGGACCTTATGGATAATGTCCCTCTTGATTAAACGAAAACACGTCGGAATCATGCAACTCATGTGATAAAATTGAATTTATTTTTATAATCCGAAAGTTTACCACCGGATAAATCCGGACGAATATTCCTTTGCACGTTTGGATTTAAATCTGGATAAAAATATATTTTGTATGTTTTTTTTACCACTAGGTTATCTAAATTTGGATAAATTGGTTTTTGAGCTTTGAATTTTTTATGAACTCGTCATTTTCGATTGGTATATCTATTCTACGTGGTGATCCTACATTGGAAGTTTTATTGTCCGTGATGCCGTTTCTGTCCGGTCCATTGGAGCGTTGTGGGGTACGATTCAAATGGAGTGTAGGGCGGATTCTTCAACTGTTAAAAAAATAGGATAAAATATTTTTTTTGAATGAAGAAAAAAAAAGGAGAGAAGATAATGATTTATCAATCTCTCTTTCAAGCCATTTATTAACAAATAAAGATAATGATTTAAAATTTCAGGTCATTGATTTATTAGCATATAAAAAACAGTAATAACACAAAGTGACAAATTAAATGCGAAATTATAATGTCTGGTTTTGAATCGTTATATATATATATATTGTAGAAATGCAAATTAATTTACTTGTAATTAATTAGGGTTAAGTCGTCCCACGATGCATACAATAGACCTTCATCTAAACAAAACAAAACCTACACACAACCTTTAAAAAAAAAACTCTAGAGATATCAGATTCGTGCAACAATAAAAAAGAATTTTGTTTGCCATTATTTATTTATGAATATTTTTAAATCCATCTTTCGTATTTGTCATTGTGTGTGATGCGTGGGGGTATATTAGTAAAACATAAAATATGGGGAACAAAGTTGGGTCTCAGATATAATACAAGGACTTGTAAGTAAAATATTGACACACTTGATCTGTCTCAGGTGGGAAGCAACTCCGGCAATACAATTAGGGTTTCCGGACAGTTTGAGAACAATCAGAGAAGAAGTTCGCACGATGAATCAATCTGTTCGTGTTTCTCTCTTCAAGTTGGCATAACCCTCTGCAGTTTTCTTCTATCAAAACTTTTGAAAATTTCGACGAAATTGTTGTATTAATCACCGTATTTAACAAATTTCAGGAAGACGACGGCGGGACGGTGTTGCAGCAGCTGGAGAAATCCGTGGAGGCGAACCCAGACGACCCTTCTCTTCGCTTCGAGCTCGTAAATCTCCAACAATGGGATTTTACCTTTTTTCACAGGTCCTTTTTTTTTGGGTATTTGCTTAGGGAAAACCCCGAAATTGGTCGATGCAGGGTTTGTATCTGTGGGAGAACGGCGGAGATCCAGAGAAAGCGGCGGAGTGTTTCGTGCTGTCGGTGAAGTTGAACCCGGAGAATGCGACGGCGTTCAAGTATCTGGGCCATTACTACTCACGAGTGGCGCTTGATCATCTCCGAGCTGCTAAGTGTTATCAGAGATCTGTCTCGCTGAACCCTAACGATTCCGATGCCGGAGAAGCTCTCTGCGATTTGTTTGACAGAGAGGGCAAGCTGAGCTTGGAACTCGCGGTTTGCCGCGATGCTTCTGAGAAATCTCCTAAAGCTTTCTGGGCATTTGCCAGATTGGGTTACATTCAGGTTGTTCATCGTTTGCTTTCGATTTCTCCGCAACTTCACCGTTTTGTATATGTGTTTTTTACTTGTATGCTGTTTGGATTTCATTGCAGCTTCATCAGAAGAAGTGGTCTGAAGCTGTTCAGAGCCTTCAGCATGCAATTCGAGGTTATCCTACCGTTCCTGACTTGTGGGAAGTAATTGTCTTTTTCCTTTCTCCACAAATTTCATCATCACTTTGTTTCCAGTATACGGAATTGGACAGGAATCTTTGTATCTATTGTTGCAGGCTCTGGGTGTTGCTTACCAAAGACTTGGAATGTTTACGGCTGCTATCAAGGTTACTCTCTCTCTCTCTCTCTCTCTCTCTCTCTCTCTCTCTTTCTCTCTCTCCCTCTCTCTCGTGTTCTTAACTTGTTTCTCGAAGCTGTTTGGTTTTTAAGTTGATTTCACTGTAACCATGTTTACTTCAACAGGCATACAGCCGTGCCATAGAACTAGATGAGACCAGAGTTTTTGCGCTAGTTGAGAGTGCAAACATCTTTTTGATGCTTGGTTCATATAGAAAGGTAACCTTTGTTTACATATTTGCCTAGAAGGATTCACTATCCGGTTTATCTTGCTATTTGCATCAGCGATAGAAAGATAATGCATGTGTTTATATTTTCCTTCTGGCTCCATCTGCAGTTTTCAAGTATTTGGGTGTATGTCACATGCATTGCTCTTGAAGTCCCATTTCGGTGTTTCTGTGCAGGGTGTGGAGCAGTTTGAGCAGGCGCTGAAGATTTTGCCTAAGAACTCATCTGTACTATATGGTCTTGCTTCTGGACTGCTTAGTTGGTCAAAAGAATGTGTAAATTTGGGCGCATTTAGATGGGCAGCTTCATTATTGGAGGTTAGTGATGTCCCCCCCCCCCTCTCTCTCTAATTTAGTGCTGTCCTATATATCTAAGAAGAGGACAACTTATACTTGCCATTGTAGGATGCTCGTAAAGTTGCAAAAGCTAGTAGTGAGTTAGCCAGCAACATGTCTTCTATATGGAAATTGCATGGTGATATTCAGGTATTGATGATTGCCGTTTATTTTAAATTCCAAGACTTTCCTTACCTGGAGTATGACATTTGTTCTTATTGGGACATCTGACATTTGCTCTCTTGATTAGCTTACGTATGCGAGATGCTTTCCATGGTCTGCGGAAACTGAAATCTCGGAAGTTGATTCAAAGAGTTTTAATGATTCAGTTCATGCTTGGAGAAGTACTTGCTCCTCAGCTGCTTTGTCTGCGAGAGCTTCTTACCAACGGGCTCTGCACTTAGCCCCTTGGCAAGCTAATATTTATACCGACATAGCCATAGCTTCAGATCTCATTTCGCCTTTAGGAGAGGACTGCGAAAGCTCAATTTCTTGGTAAGATTCTGCTTAGTGTTATTTAGGGATGTCATTAGTTTTTGTGCATCTGTGCCCCTGTAATTGTCTAAATTTCTATCAGGCAGCTTCAAGAGAAAATGGCTTTGGGAGCTTTGTTACTGGAGTGTGACAACTCTGAGTTCTGGGTTGCGTTGGGTTGTCTATCTCGTCATAGGGCTTTGAGATTACATGCTTTGATTCGGGGATTGCAATTAGATGTATCTCTTGCCATTGCTTGGGCATACATGGGCCAGGTATTATGCGTTAATGTTGTTCTATTTGGTTTTATTTGAAAAAAATCTTTTCGAGGATATATAACTCTTAGCTATCCCATGGCTATGGTTCGGGGGGAAAACATTGTTCGACAGTCCATTTAAATCTTAAATGGGCTTTCGCCACATCTGGCTTATATTGCTTTTTGTTGGTCTTGAATAATGTGATTAGATTAGAGCCGAATGCCAACTGCTAGGCATTGAATTAGTACAGAGAATGGTGTGGAAACTTACAATGTTGTAGAATGATTCTAATGAAAGAGTTGTTATCCTCATCGCCCTACTGGTGTAGGATTTGGTACCCTTTAGACTTGCTGGGTAGATAAAACACAGGTTTCTAAATGCGAAAATAGAAACTGTGGTGCATTCTGAGTGCCATTTCCCCTGTATTTCATTGGGCCTGTTCAGTTTTCAATATGGTAAGTGCTTGTTCAGGAAAGAACTGCAACTTGCGGCTCTTTTTTGCCCCCAGTTGCTCACAGTTCATTGCTTGTTGGTGGGCTCTAATAACGATATGTTTTATTAAATAGCTTTTCAGGCAGACAGATGAAATGAAATTGGCGAAACAGGCTTTTGATTGTGCCAGAAGCATAGATCCTACACTTGCGTTACCATGGGCAGGCTCAGCTGATGTGTATGCTAGGTAGATGCTTTACTTGATGTTTGATAAATAATAGTCATGAAAATCTTTTCAAATTGAATTTGGCCTCATAGATTAATGAACACCACAGGGCATCAATAGTCGATGAGGCTTTTGAGAGCTGCTTACGAGCTGCACAAATATCACCCGTAAGTGCGTTTATCCCCCTTGTTTTGCTTGCCTGTTTTTCTGTTACGTGGAAAGTGTGTCAATGGCTGTAACTGAGGCTTGACCTTTTGTCCAGATTGCAGAGTTCCAAATTGGTCTGGCATGGCTAGCTTTGTTACATGGTACTCTTTCATCTCCACAGGTATTATGAGAGAGATATTCATTAAATAATGGAAACAATTACTCTTTACTGGATCAATAGAGCACATTCCCTGAGGGTTTTATATTGATGTGGGAATTCCTTTTTCCTCAAAAAAAAAAAATATTTTGCAGGTTTTTGCTTGCATTGAGCAGGCAGTGCAGCATGCTCCTTATTCCGAACCTCTTAATCTTCACGGCCTAGTCTGTGAGGCAAGACAGAACTATCAAACCGCTGTTACTTCCTACAGGCTGGCACGTGCTGCCTTAACGTTTTATCCAGCCAATTCTTTAAAATCTCATGATGGGGAAATATCTATTAACTTAGCCAGATCACTTAGCAAGGTGAAGAGCCTGGCCCTCCCTTCTGCCTTGTATATGCTTTCGAATGCTATTCATTGACAGTATTCTATGCAAAATTTAATTCATCTATCAATTCTGAAGACAGAAGAAGTGTTTATTACCCTGAAATATAATATTGTCGTGCAGGCAGGAAATTTTAGAGATTCAGTGAAGGAATGTGCAGATTTGAAGTTAAAAGGTTTGAGCTTATAACTTCTAACCTCCAATTTGAAATACGGTTTGCTTGTGGTTTCTTTGCATGCCTCTGTTCCCTTTTAAGAATTTTCACTTGATAAGACTGTTATGTTTGTTTATTTGTTTCACATTTTTTTTAGACTTATAAAGAGTTCAAAAGTTTTATCCAACTACAGGGGAGATATAATATTATGCAATCGAGGAAATAATAGCTGTAATGGACTTATTTCACTGCATGCTATATATCATTCTTTCTATTCGTGTCATCTCCTGATAATGTTGATGCTATAATGTTCTTCGCCGAATCTGTTTTCGTTTGTGTGTAAGACAGTTGAAGTAAACCTGTTACTAATTCTTATTCAAATGTTTCGAAGGAATGCTTGACGACAAGGGCTTGCAAATATATGCTTTCTCTCTGTGGAAGATTGGTGAAAATGATTTGGCTCTCTTGGTGGTTAGGGATCTGGCTGGCAGAATTTCTACCATGGAAAAAACTTCAATAGCGTTCTCAGTCAGCTTCATTTGTAGGCTGCTTTATTCTGTGTCGGGTTTAGATTCTGCTATCACCAGCATCCAGAAGATGCCAAAAGATTTCTTCCAGAGTTCGAAAATTAGCTTTATTGTATCGGCAATCCATTCTCTTGATCAGAGTGATAGGTTGCAATCGATTGTTTCAAGCACGCGTAACTATATAACAATGCACGAAGAGATCATTGCAATGCACTACTTGATAGCACTCGGCAAATTGGTGAGACTTTGTTTCTGGTTTACCATGTTGGACTTAACTTTGACTTTGACATCCTGTGTTAGTTATTTTCTCCTATGGATTGCAGCTGAAAACTGGTGCCGGAGATTCCCTTGGATTTGATAAGGGGGTTGCTCACCTGAGAAAAGCTCTTCATATGTATCCTCATAGTAATTTGTTAAGGTATGTGATAAGATTTTCCCTCCAAAATACCAAATGCCTTGAAAGGCTTACCAGTATGTTCTATCAATGTGGTTAGATGCCTTCGTATATGTTTCATGCGTCGTGAATAGTAGTCCGGAACCGCATACTTTATACCACTCTAATCAGGGTTTTATTCTTTCTAGTAGTCTTTTCAGAAAATTGTCACCTCGTGAAAGAAGAAAAAATGTACTTCAATTGGAAAATCTATCATATGGGTGTATATTCAACCAAAAGCAGCTACATAATTCACGTATTGATACATGCCATGCCAGTGCTTGATATATTCTCCTACATGATCTAGTTTATCGAGATTCGAGACATGGAGATTTTTATCCGATTCTAAAGGCTGTAGAATTCCTGTTTTTTGTGTCGTTTTTTTTTTTAGTTTTTTGAAGGCTATGTAATCAAATTACGAAGCAGAATTGAGAAACTTTGAAACCATACCTGCAATATTTGGTTGAATATTTAGGTTATATGGAATGGAGTTTCTTTTATCTTTTTCGTGACTTGGAAATGTATTTTGTGAATAGGAAGCTGCTAGGTTATCTTTTGTTAGCTGGTGAAGAAATGAATGATGCCTGCACCGCTAGTAGATGCAGCATCATAAATGTCTCTGAATGTACAAATAAAGATGATCTAAAATCCGCATTGGATGTCCTTGGAGGAGGGGCAGTGGCCTGCAATGTTATCGGTAATACAGCTCCAAGGTTCTCCTTTCCGACTTGCCATTGCCAGTGTCTGAATGCTCCTATTGTTCCTGTAGAACTGCAAAGGTAGCTGAAAATCTTTCCATAGCTATTTAGCAATTAGCATCTTCAGAATCTGAATTGTTAGTTTGATCCTTTTATCATCATGGTTGTAATTGGAGGACTCAATGCTTAATTCAACAAGTTTTTTTGTTTAATCTTTATTGATAATGGTTTTATAATTTCTCCCTTTCACAGATTTTTGCATCAAGAACCTTGGAACTATGGTACAAGATACTTGCTCATCCTAAACCTTATGCAGAAAGCACGCGAGCAGAGATTTCCTCGAGGGCTCTGTGGTGTTATTGAACGGCTGATCTCTGTGGCACTGTCCGATGAGATATATTCTGAGGAAGGCACCTCTTACGGATATCAAAAGTTACAGCTTCTGCTTTGTGCTTCTGAGATCAGTTTGAAAACTAGAAATATAGTTGCCTCCATCAGCCATGCTCAAAAGGCTTCTTCCCTTCCCCTTCCCGATAGCTACCTGTTTTACGGACATTTGCAACTATGCCGTGCTTATGCAGCTGAGGGTAACACCAGAAACCTGCAAGAAGAATATGAATCATGTTTGAAGCTCAAGACCGACTGTAATATCAGTTGGATATGCTTGAAGCTCATAGCAGCTCAATTCGATCTGCAAAATGATTCAAGTATCCTGGAGCTAAGCCTACAAGAATGCTCAAAGGAGAAGAACTTGCAGAAAGAGTGGATGGCATTATACAATCTTGGTCTTGGCTTAGTTTGTATCCGGAAACGGGACTTTTTCTCAGCAGAGGAGTTCCTTGCACAAGCTTGTTCATTGGCTAAGTCAGAGAGCTGTGTACTTCTCTGTCATGGTACAAAAGAACATAGAACATCCTCTTTTCAGTCACTATTTGGAAATCTTTCCTTGATTCATCTGAATGGCACAGCCTCTGAGGGGAAAAAAGCTGAAGTGCTTCTGAATACTAGTCTTCTGCACAGAAATCATTTTGATTGGACATTTATCAGATATTATTCTTGTTTATAACAAAACATTTAATGGGATAATGTTTGCAGGTGTTGTCTGCATGGAGCTGGCAAGGCAGACTAATGACTCGAAGTTCTTGTCAATGGCTGTGAAGAGCCTTGGCAAGGCACAAGCGAGTTCACTAGTGCCCTTGCCTATTGTCTACTCGTTGTTGGCTCAAGCACAAGGAAGTCTTGGTTCTAAAGAGAAATGGGAGAAGAACCTCCGTCTCGAATGGTTCTCTTGGCCACCAGGTTTAGCTTTCTCCCTCTGCTCATGATTACCGCCTACCCTCTTGAGACGTTATTCCGCTCATGGTTCGATTTTTTAATGAAATATTTCGATATGTTTCCACGTAGGCAAGTTCTGTTAATGATCTGATAGTACCAAATTGCATATTGCGGATACATATGATCACATTAGAGGCCTGGTCAATGCCTTGGTTGCATCTTCAACCCCATAGAGCCTCTAGAGGGTGCTGCTGGCTATCAGTGTGTGTCTGAATCAAACAGAAAGGCTTATAACTTTTTGTTCTTTTTGTATGTTTATGACAGAGATGAGACCTGCAGAGCTCTTCTTCCAGATGCATATACTCGCAAGGCAAGCACAAGGGCGACGTCCCGAGACTGGAACAGGCGTGGAGAATTTCCAAAGTACCGAGAAATGGGTGCTTCGGGCTATTCACACAAACCCTTCTTGTCAAAGATACTGGAGTGTTTTGTCTAAGCTTATACAATGAACAAAGGAGTTTGCTTTGTATTACATTAACAGTGTTGAATATGTTTGTGTTTTCTTTTTCTTCTATGAACCAGACAGAGATCATAGGATCTTTCATGCTTTGTGCTACGGCATTGCCCAATACAAACATCATGTCGTTTCCTTCCCCGAGAAGCGGAGTGTGTGGCGTTTTTTTGAATTCCGTACCAACGTTGAGCCGTACAAAATTTTCAAGGCCACTGTTCTTAACAAAAGTCAGACAGGGTTCTACTCAATAGACCAAACGCGTATCTGTAAAACAAACTGTTCTGTAATGGCGAATCAATCATTTTCTATAAAAAAAAGACAATGCCCCTTGTTCATGGGCACTTGTAATTATTGCATCAAAATCCATATTCACAGCAATCAAAGAGGAGCTGAAAGGAAGAGGAAGAAGAAGAAGGAAAAAAAATGGAGAAGAGAAAGAGAGACGACAGATTCAACGCATCATGAGTGCAAACTCATCGAAGCTAAGAACGCCATCGGAATTCAGATCGAAAACTCGGATCATCGCTCTGCAATCATCCATAGTTCTAAACTCTCCGAGCTTCCCAAGCATCTTCTTCAAGCTTGCAGCGGTAATGCATTCACGGCCTTCGCAAGTGTACATTCTGAACGCTCCTTCGATCTCACCCCTCCTCTCTTCCTCACTCCACTCGTCATCATCCATCGTCATCATGTTCAGGAACTCTTCGAAATCCAACATCCCGTCTCCGTCCGAATCCGACAGCCGTACGGCCACCTCCGCCTCCTCTTCCGACAGCTTCCCTCCCAACGACTCGAAGCTCCTCCGAAGCTCCTCGGGCGAAATCCTCCCGTCTCTGTCCGCGTCCATGTGATCGAACACGGCCTGCAGCTCCCTCTTTCCGTCGCCATGGCTTCTTCCATCACCGTTACCATTGTTCCCGCTTCTTCTTTGAATGATTTCTTCGATACCCTCTTCCTGTTTCTCGGTGATCTTCCTCTTCCTTGACAGTTTCTTGCAGAATTTGACGAAAGAAGACGAACCCTTCATGAGAGACGTTACTGACAGGTTTGTGATTGTTTTAGTATGATATCTAGTGTTTGGTAATGTGACCAAAGATGATTCATTACACACACATATATAGAGGGTGTGTGTGTGTGTGTGTGTGTGCGTGTCGGGTCAGGAAGAGGAAAGGGGTTACAGATCAGATGATATGATGCGTAAAAGACGTGGGAGACTTATGAGGATATTTATCAGAGAACACGGTTTTGACAAAGGAAAGACTTCCAGGGGTATTTCTGTAATTTATACAGCCACTTGTTTTCCCTTTGTTTGCCAGTTGCCGTACGGTGTGCGGCTTGAAGGAAGCTTCTCTTTCACCACGAGTTTCTTCTCTCTTTTTTTTTTCTTCTTTATTTTTGCAAAATATAAAAATATGTATATATATATATATATATTAAACTAATCAGTGGATAAGTTGCTTTTGTGGTTGTGTTAGTTTTGTATTTAGTGTTTTTAATAAATTAATCTTGACATTGTAAAATTTTACTTTCGTATATATAAAACTCAAAATTAAAATATTTTTACCCAAAAAAAAACTTAAAAAAATAAACAAATTTATCACTAAACAGTGAATGAGCAAATATAATTAAACAGTCGTAATTCTAGAAGGAATCGGTGAACATTTTTTAGTCACGGAAACTATATTACCTCAAAAGTTTATAAATATTAGTTTGATGTTATTTGGGATATGTATATAAAACTAATATTAATTTTTTTTTATCATTTTTTAAAGAATTTAAATAATTAAAATTACTTTTAGCAATATACGTGACCCAAACTTAATTTAAGGACACAATCGGCGTCTAGAAAGGAGTGCCAAAGAGTGTGGAATGTGTATTAACTGTCATATAGTTTTTTTTTTTGGTGACAAAGATATTACAGAACTTAACAGTTTCTATAAATTTTAATTGTTTTTTTTTTGGTGTGAAAATCCATCTATCCATCACCCAAATGTCAAACAAAGATTAATGTGCACAAAAATAAATAAATATAAAAACTTTTGCATAATGAATTTATGACATTTGAAAATGGAACACCCACAGTTTCATATATATATATATATATATATATATATATATATCTTATAAAATTCTTGCAAAAGTATATAAAAGATTTGGACAGAAATTATCCGAAGATTGCATCAAAGCATGAAAAAGTGAAGAGAAACCAGACAGCTTGCATTTTGGTTTTAACAGACTCATTACAAGAGTTGATGAAACACAAAAACAACCACTTTCTCGTCCTTGCTTATATATATATATATAACTTCATCTACTTAGACATCTATATATATATATATATACTAATTAGATATAATGACAGACAGAGTTAGCATCATCACAAGAGAAGTGAACCCAGAAACAGCATAGCCCTTTGGTGTTCGTACCGGGAGGAAGAAGACACAAGTACAAGATTGGATGAAACCAAACCAACAAGTCTTTCAGAGATTTTGGATCATTCTTATGATCAAGATTTGCGGTCTCTGCCTTCTCTTAAGCTTCTTCCTCTCCGGTATTCGATCTCTGCATCAGAGCATGATAAGCCCATATGACTTCTCCTGCTCCCTTTCATCGAACCCACCCTCGATAATAGAGCTTCTTCATCTGTCTGGATCCTTGGTTTATGGTCTGATTCAGACACATGCCCATGATTAGAATGATGCAGAATGTGTTGGATCAAACTTGCAACATGTTCCTCAAAGGTTTTACAGCCTAGGAGTTATGGAACTACAGTTTTTTTTTAGTGCGGCTAATAGTGAAAAAAAGAAAATACTATCTTGATCCTGTAAATCCACACTACAGATTGCATAATCTGAGACTCTGGGTTCAAATGAAAAGTCTTACCTCTGTGGCCATTGGCTGCCTTCAATGCATGAAAGTCTACAACTTCAACAGCACTGCGATTGGTTTCTGATTTGCCGCCCTTCTGAACCTCTTTCCTCAGAAACTTCTGCTCGTTGCTTGGCGAGAAAATCTCCGAGCTTTCTTTGAAGGACGATTTATCCGGGCCAAGAGGAGGAGCCATGGTGAAAGAGTCATCCATCACATCAGTGATCTCTACATACTGACTAGTTGTTATGATTTCATCTGCACTGAACCCGAAGGAAGCCCTGTAAGCTTCTAACTCCTCCATGTCTTGCTTGGGAGTTTTCGACGTCGTCTGCCTGTTCTGGTTTCCGTTTCCGCTACAAGGGTAGACATCCGAATCCTTGGACACACTTAGTCTTCCACCATTTTGAGGAACCGAAGGATCATAATCCAGGTAAAATTTGGCAAATGTGGCAGGACAGAAGAAGTTTGACTCCTGCAATGGCGTCGAAGCTCCGTTCGTGTCATGCCCAAATGCGTTGCCGGAATCACTCCTCGAACATTTGCCATTCTGCGGGGACAATAAGCCATCACCCGAAGCCCGTGAGATTGGCGATCTAAGAGTGCTTGCAGGGCTTCCGGGGTAAAGGGAATACGTTGCTTGAAGATCGTTTGAAACATTATAGTGCCCTTTATCGGCGTTCTTGAGATCCATGGAGGATATCAAGAACCGGGCATAAGGTACATCGGGTGAGGATGGAGTGGTGAGGTGAGCCAACTCGGGAGGGGGAGTGAAAGGAGCGGTGGACGGTTCAGTAGTGAATGTCGAAAACACAGGAGGTGAGACCAACTGGGTCTCGTGGGCATAAGGTCCAGTTGCAAACATGGTGGAAGAAGGACCCCCGGGCGAGTTTGCAGACATTGACAAGAAGCAGTTTGGTGATTGAGCGGTGGAAGGAAGAGCAGAGTTTGTAAAGGATGCAGGTGAAGATGGTGGAGCCAAAAGAGATAAAGCTATTCCTCCTGTGGCTTGGTTAGTCAATCCGATGGCTTGAGCTCCATTGGGTTGAGCCACCGAGGCATTGCCTTCGGGAATACGTGATGCGGGTACTATACGTTTTTTCCCACTTTTTTGAGACTTGAAATAAGATAACACTCCTAAACATCCTCCCCATCTTTTCCTCTGCAAATAGGGCAACCCAGTACAAGTTTTATCCAACACTTTTCAATGAAACAGAAAGAGCTTAAAGTGTCCTCAGGAAAGGATGAATCACTTAGCATAAACAGGAGGAAAGACAAGGATTAGTGTGCCAGAAGATGCTGAGAAGAGTGAGAGATAACAATGTAAATGTATCTAGATATGTTGGACAACCATGTATTTTGCATTGGAGGCCTATCTAAATATCATTCAACAAATCAATGAAGAGACTTGGGTGATTCCAAACGCACAAAAAGGCACACAGTTTTAGCCAGAAACTCTTGATTTGAATACAGGGCGATCAAACAGAATATTTCCAAAAACAGGAAACCACTAATCCAAAAGCCATGATCAGGTGATTCAGGTCAGATTTGAGAATTGGTAAGGATAAAGTCAGAGATTGATTTGGACAAGAGCGAGAAGAAAAGTCTTTAAACAATTAAGGTCACCATCAGATAAGCTCATCAGGCCACTACAAAAGCTATTAAAAGACAGATGACGCGGTGAATTGAACATGGAAGAAACATTAAGACTACTAGACAGGAAGATGCAGTAAAAGACCGTGATGGTGATGGGTTCACCAGATTCTTTACTGAAAAGAATCACGAAATGCTACCGTTTTAAAATTATATGATTTCCGCATGATGTCTTTGTTTTCATGCGTAGATCCTAACTTAGATCAGGTCAAGACCATGAAACTATACAGAAGCTTGTATCTTTCTCTCCCTAGTTCAAGATTCACTGCTGGTGCCAGCAAAAAAAGCGAGAGATTCTTTTCTTTGATCCATGAAATCCAACTGGGTTCATGCATAAGAAGCTGATCCTGTATACGATTCAGCTGATAATTGAGCTAAACACTGAGTTCTCACCATTAGAGAACACAGTAATCAAGAACAAAGCAGCAAGAACTATTATTAGCACACATTACTTGATCAAGTGGGAAAACAAACGAACATCAGCATGAACAGAGACAGATGCCTAGATCTCAAGCACAGATTCAAAGAACGAACTTCAAGAAATCAGTAACTTGAGCAACTAGATCTGAGAGCAAAACCCACAAACTCGAACAAACGCAAATTGAATGAGATGAGAAGAGACAAAGTGACGTGAACTAATGATTACCCGCTCTTGCTGAGGAAATCTGTTTTGTTCCGAACCCATTGGGGTGTCTCTGTCTCTGTCTGAAAACCACGTCGGATGGTGGGTTTGAGGTCAAAATCGAAACTTTATCACCCAAAGCTTCTCCATTCTCACATTTTCCAGCTGGGTTCGATCAAGAACTAAGTGAGAGAAAAAAAAAACCCAGAAAGGCTGCTAGACAGTAGAGAAGGGTTGAAGATTTGGGGAAACACCCAGAAGCTGACAAAGTTGATAGATTGATTTTAAGGTCGAGGGGAGATTTGTAAAATGCAAAAGATGGGATTTTTTTTTCCTCAGCGAGGGAGGGGAGAGGAGAAGGTGAGATGAAATGCTGCAAACGGCATGAAAAGATGATACAGATGAAGAAAAAGCATTTCTATTTTTAATCAGAATGTGATCAGAAAGAGAGAAAGGAAAAGGGAAAGATAAGAACATGAGCTTTAATAAAAAGAGAAGAGAGAGAGAGATCAATGCAAGTGTTTTCAGACCAACAAATTACAAAAATAAAAAAATAAAATAAAAAAAAAAAACAGAAAAGAGAAAGAGAAAGAACACTGTAGTAGCTCCTCACCATTCTCGATTTCAACCACGGAATCTCCGATTCCTTTGGGTGAGCCTCTCTTAGATCTGACTTTAGATGTGTCGTCTCCTACAGATTCGTTCTTTCTTTCAAAACCATAGATACACACTTGTTCACGTGGGCCCTGGTTGCTTTTTTTTTTTTATAATGGATCTAAATCAAATCTACCAATCATTTACACTTTTGTCAATTATCATATCATATGAACACATATATGTCGTATTCGTATCTTTCTTATTTGCTATTTACGAATCATTCATGAAAATAATACAACACCCATGATAGTGATTTAAATAATGGACATCAAAACTTCGAAACAAGTCAGAAGCATATAAGAGGATGGATCAATTGAAGAGCTCTATAACTGTCGACTCTCTCTCTCTCTCTCTCTCTCTCTCTCTCTCTCTCTCTCTCTCTCTCAATTTGGTTTGGGGGAAAATGCCAAAGAAGAGTGTTAAAATTCTAATTGTCTCCATTTTAAGAAATAAGAAATTTTTAAGGTGTCATATTATTATAATTATTATTTAGTACTTGACTCGTTAATTTTACGAGTAATTGTGTTTAATCTAATCCTAAAGTTGATTCCATTAGCACGTGAACAAAGTGTACTTTACTACTATATATATTTTATTTTATCTATTTAATTAAAATTGTCGTATGACAGTATGATAATAGAAACAACATATCCGGTTTTGTTTGAAAAATATAAGCTAAATTCAATCCAAATGTTCCGATCTTCCAAATTCTAGATTTTGTTTGTTGCTCTATAAATTTAAATTATTATTTGTTTAAACCATCTAAATATTTTTACTAAATTAACTAGACCTCACATCTATAAATCACATGAATCATATTTTAATTTCTTAAATTCTCTTAATTCAAAATGATTGTTATTCGAATAACTTATCTATATATAATTTTTTTAGAAATTAAAGTTTTTTTTAGGGTTTCAATAAAGACATTAAAGCAGAGAAAAAAGGGGGGGCTAGGCCTATGGAGTAACCCTAAGGATTTGGATTTTGGTGGACAGATTTTGGGACCCAATATTCTTCTTCTTTGCCCTTTCACACATCACAAAATTGCTCTTTCCTTCCCGTTTGGATCCTCTTGTCGGATCTTCGGCTCCGACCCGTCTATTAGGTGTGGGCGATCGGACGGATTCGATTTAATCGGGTTTGGGTATTTCGGATTTGAAATATTCATATCCAATCGGGTATATTTTTTTAATCGGTTCAGTTCGGATTCAGATCGGGTTTGGTTTGGTTTATCCAAACAAAAAAACGATAAAAAATTCAAAGAATTATCTTACAAAATAACAAAAACAACATTAAAATACATGCGTATTTCGTTTTTTATATACTCTGGTTATAAAACAATATCATTATACTAATTTTTCTAATTAAATTTAGAATATATAACATATTAATTGATGATATATGGATGGATAAACGGATATATTCGGTTACGGTTAATTCGGATTCGGTTTACAGTTATTTTGAGTTCGGTTATTTCGGGTTTGAAATATTCATATACAATCGGGTATGTTATTTTAATCGGTTCGGTTCGGATTGAGTATATATCGGTCGGATTCGGTTCGGTTATTTTGCCCACCCCTACCGATGATTACATCACATGATTAAGCATAATAAACCGTGTTAAAGTTTCTTTATTTTCAAGTTTAGACTTTTTTTGTTAAAAATATATTTGTTTGATATATGTGGATTTAGATGATTATTTTTAAGCAATTTTTACAGTTTTTTTCCAATTTCAGATCACAATATCAATGTCTGGAAAATCTGAACCGGTATGATTTAGTTCGGTTCAATTTCACTGGTTCGAATTCAGTTATTGTTTATATATATATATATATACGGCC